TCATATGGCTTAACAATACTTATGAATTATATGATCGTGTGTTTAATTTATATGTAATTCTTAAAAATCTGTAAGAGTTTAAGGAAACAAATTGGTAGTAGATTTCTATATTCCTTCATTTTAAATATTCACTCAGTCACTGGCATAAAGACACAATGTATCATTGCATGTCAAGCACTGTTGAAGACATGTGATTTAATTTCCCCCATTTTGTTCTTTGTTTTTTTTCAGTGGAGTATTTCTGTAGCGGGTATAACAGAAATACCTCCTGTCGCTCTTCTTCCAAACTACATTGTTCAGAAGAAAGTGTTAAGACCACTCAGATTACAAACTGGTGGATCTATCTTGGTAAGTTTCTTACATCAAGAAGAATATTTGTGGTTTCACTTATTTTTAACAGAAAAACTTGAAAGAACTCTTTGTTTGATGTAAAAAAAAAAGTTATATTTTGCATCATACATCTTGGATGTTGCTGGCTGTGGTCTGTAAAAAACACACCCAGTTGTAGAATAGTAAACTGAAGGCAAAATTTAGGTTGTCCATGAAACATTTACAATGCCTCCTTTAACTTATCATGGCCACCATTCACAAATGTTAATTGGATTAATGTGTAGCATATAGTGTTGTATACAAATGTTCCATTTTTTTCAGAAAGGCAAATTGCCAACCAAAATGTAATATGAAACCCCTGATTATCGATAGTTCCAACTGCAGTTGTATGTGGTGTATAGACCGGACCTAGATGTATTTGTCACACACATGCATTGGCAATGTTTGCTGCAAAACTTTCATTTAAATTGAATGACTAGATCAATATGTTCATTCCCTTGTCCATGGTCTTTCTCGTTAATGGCAGTATTGAAAAGAAATCCCATGAGAAGAAAACAACACTTGCTGACCAGAAATTGATATTTTAGATGTTTAGCGGTTATGGTAAGATTCTTTTATCAGGTTAATACAATTCCAAATACATGTACAGGCTGCCAAACTAGCTATGGGGAGAGTGTGAGCAATAAACATTGAAATTGGATTCCTCCACTTTTTCAGTAATCCAATCCAAAAAAGATATTTGATATAGCGCCTTTTCCTTGCAGGTACAAAGCGCTGCACACATGCTCGACAATGTTTGGGCCACTTAAAAACAAAAGTTAGACACTTCTCAGAGATCAGCAAAGTATATGTAGGCTGGTAATAAAGTAATTTCTAGCAGAAAAGATGTGACTTGAGTAGTTTCTTGAACTGGTCAACAGATGAGGCCGTCTGCACAGCAGTAGGTAGTTGGTTCCACAGTTTTGCAGCAACCGATGGAAAAGACAATTCACCAGCACGTTTCTTAGAGAGACACTGAGTGAGCCAGATGGATGATGATGAGCGGGTATTTCGGACTCGAGGACGACGAACCAAGCAGTCAGCTATGTACGGGGGACATCGGTGGTTGAGAGACTTGTAGACCAGTAGTAGGATCTTAAAAGCTATTCTCTGTCGTACAGGCAGCCAATGGAGTTCAAGTCGAAGTGGTGTTATGTGAGTCCGAAGAGGAGCAGAGAAGACAAGCCTTGCCGCTGAGTTTTGGAGTCTCTGAAGACGATCAAGGTCCCTCTGGCTGAGAACACTGAAGAGACTGTTGCAGTAGTCGTAAGCAAAGAGCAGGCTTCTGTACTCACACAAACATCACCTAAGCTCTGCTCTTCCTCCTAAGCTCTGTCATTTATTAAATTCATACCTTATTCCTTACAGGCTGCCAAACTAGCCATGGAGAGAGGCTGGGCAATCAACATTGGAGGTGGATTCCACCACTGTTCCAGTAAACAAGGCGGAGGCTTCTGCGCTTACGCTGACATCACCTTGGCTCTACGCTTCCTCTTCCATCAAGGTACCATAAAGAAGGCTATGATCTTAGATCTGGATGCACATCAAGGCAACGGCCACGAGAGGGACTTCATGCAAGATAAAGAGTCTGTCTATATACTGGATGTCTACAACAGGCATATATACCCACGGGATGGATTCGCAAAGAGTTAGTATTCATTAATTCACATTTTTAGAAATATTAGTATGACACTTAGAGTAAAATAATATGCTGGATGACTGATATGATATGTGCTGTGCTCTAGACCAGCTCTAGATGATATGTCACTAAATTCTTAATCTCTAGGTTTTGCATTGGATATCTAACCACCATTTGCTAAGACATTTGAGTATGCAACCACAAATGATGCATAAGTGGATCTGCTTGGGATATGACATTAGTTAGTTAATGCCCTTCAACTGTCCGTTACATGTAGATGATTTTCTACCAATACTAGTTGCCTGATATACCTACAATTAAACTCTACCATTAAACTCTACCATTGGAATCAGTTGCCACTCAGCATGCAATATTTCTGGTGTAGATTGTTTTAAAAATCCTTCAGGATTCACTTGTTCGGTTCCTTCATAATCTGCACCTCAAGCACATTGCTCAACGTGTATGTAGAGTTGATGCATTACAAATACTTTCATCTTAACATCAGTTTTTTTTTCTTCTACAGGGGGCATCAGCCGAAAGGTAGAAGTGAACTACTTCATTGCAGATGAGCAATATATGACATTGGTTGCAAGGTTGGTAGCATTTTAGATTGTCAAACTATAAGGCTTATGGTTTTCAGAATTAAATACAGAGGATTGAGCATGCATTGTAGAGATTATGAAGAGTAAACTTGAACATCACCTAACTGCCAAGGTTTAGACTTTTGTATGAAAGATTGTTATTATTATTATTTCTCTCAACTGATTCAAAGTAATCTTATATATTTAAACTGTGGTACAAACAATGAGAGCCCCCATAAAATATTATCAGCCAGTAAATTTAAGTAACTATTTATCAAGTATTGTTGCATTCTAACTAAAGGAGTGTATTGTTCCTACAGTAACCTGGAAGCAGCATTGAATGAATTTGTTCCTGACATACTGGTCTACAATGCTGGCACAGATTCCCTAGAAGGAGACCCACTGGGAGCTCTCTCCATCACTCCTCAGGTACGTATTTAAATATCTGATTTAAAAATATGCATCCCATAGTGCTGTGGTGAATTATAGTCTTCCACAGTGCTGTTGGAAGACATGGTCTTTCACAGTACCTTTGTTATACTTAATCTTCCATAGTGTTGTGGTAAAGCATAGCCTTCCATTGTGCTTTCATTAAATATAAACTTCCTCAATGCTGTGGTGAAACAAAGTCTTCCGTACCAGTTTGAACATGGTCTTTCATAGTGCTGTGGTGTATTATAGTCTACCACAGTGCTGTGGTGAATTATAGTCTACCACAGTGATGCGGTGAATTATAGTCTACCACAGTGCTGTGGTGAATTATAGTCTACCACAGTGATGCGGTGAATTATAGTCTGCCACAGTGCTGTGGTGAATTATAATCAACCACAGTGCTGTGGTGAATTACAGTCTACCACAGTGCTGTGGTGAATTACAGTCTACCACAATGCTGTGGTGAATTACAGTCTGCCATGGTGCTGTGGTGAAACATAGTCTTCCATACCAGTTTGAACATGGTCTTTCACAGTGCTGTGGTGAATTATAGTCTACCACAGTGCTGTGGTGAATTATAGTCTACCACAGGGCTGTGGTGAATTATAGTCTACCACAGTGATGTGGTGAATTATAGTCTACCACAGTGCTGTGGTGAATTACAGTCTTCCATAGTGCTGTGGCGAAACATTGCCTTTTATGGTGCTGGTGGCGTAACATATTTTCCTACAGTGTTGTGGTAAAACATAGTCTTCAATACCATTTGGGAACATGGTCGTACACAGTGTTGTGGTGCAATATAGTCTTCCATACCCTTTCGGAACATAGCCTTCAACAGTGCTGTGGTGACACTGCACTGTTTCAAGAGCTGTGATTAGTAGATCTAATATTTTATTTTCAAATGAAGATATTTGGCTATGTATAAAATATATAATATATATACACAAATGTGACAATGTAGTATGTATAGTGTTCCACAGTGCTACAATGGAGGACATCCATTTACATTGCTGTGTTAACTCTGCTCTCTTTGAAGGGCTGTGATGGATCAATCTTTTGAAGAGGTTCTTTTTGAGCACCTGAGAAAATGTAATACAAATGGTTGTCTCATTCATTTCATTACAGGGAATAATCAAACGTGATATGATGGTGTTTGAATTCGCTCGTGACCGACCAAAGCCTATTCCGATCGTCATGGTGACGTCTGGAGGATACCAAAGAAACAATGCAGATATCATAGCTGCTTCAATCCTCAACCTATGGAGGAGAGGACTTATATCATGTCCAGAAGCAGAAGAATTTCAAGGTAATGACATTTTAAATATCATTTCAGATGATTCTGTCAGAGATACTCTACACTATATGAATCCGAGGTAGTTGGAAATTGTTTCTATTCATTGCACTGAAAAGAGTATTTGTCCTTGATAGTACCGAGTAGCAGGAGTTTAAAATACATTTTCCTCAATCAAATACAAAATTGAAAGCAAGCTGTAATTAGTTGTGAGATTGTCTATTCAAGCATCTAATGACTTGTTTAGAAAAGGTAGCATTTTTTAAAATATGCTTATGAATCATGATGGCTTGTGCTAAACTTTGGTTCTCCCTTTAACAAATTCTTAAGTTTTGAGTTTAAAATATCCTTTATTTGAATTACTTCAACACTATTGGAACTCTGTGAATTCCAATTCCAGCCACAAATCTCTACATATTATTTAGTTATGGCTTATTCACAGATTTGATATGACATAATATATGATTAATTTAATTTGTACATATGGTTCAACTATGGATATTTTCTTTTTATTTGTAACTCGTGTACATGGATAGGTATACAACATCAACTATTTAATTGTTACCAACTTGAATACATTTGTAACATTGTGTTATGTTGTTAATAAAATTCAAATTCAAATACAAATGACCAAAGTATATTCTTAACAGCCAAGTATTGGTCACTTGTGTCTTTGTTTATTTATCCACAGGTAAGCAAGAGCCATCCTCATCAACTAGTAGACAACCAGAAGAAGGAGAAACAGCAGGAGAAACACCTTCCACATCAAATGCTGACGCTACCACACAGGGCAATAGAGGATTCTTCAGATCCTTCCTAGGATTCTGTAAATAATGTTTACTTCACTCAAATAGAGTTTACTAATATTTATATGTTATCAGTACTTTGTATATCATGTACTTAATAACTTATTAATTTCATTTATATTATGTGCCATTTATTTTATATATACATGCATCTTGAATGAGTTTAAATAGGCCAGTATTTTGTTCAGACATTTTATTTCCTTTATTACGTTATCATATTCTGCCTTGTTTTATTGGGATGATCATGTACACAGTGATGAGACCAGTGCTTCATTCACCTGCAACAAAGTTGAACATGACTTCTGAACAGTGCTGATGTTAAAGTGTACCAATTACCCCCCCCCCCCCCAAACAAATATTTTTGTCTGTATTCAATTATTTTTATGAGGTAATACTATATTCAAAATATGAGCTTCAAACATTACCTCTGAAGAAATTTTTTTTTTTGCAAGTACGAATACATTCTGAATTAACATAAAATCGACTTGTGAGTAGCTACTTGATGCATCCGCATGCACTCACATAAAATAGGGCCTGCACAGAACCCAAGTCCAACTTGGGTTCGTTGTGCGCATTTTCATGTTTATTCCTTATTTTCTTTATACTCATTATCTATTAACCCATAGAATGCCGGGTGTAGTTGATTCTATACATTCTAGCTATACATACATTCTGTTTTTAAGTGATTGGTACACTTTAAGATAAAATGGACCAAATGTAATGAATACACTCATATAATATTTGTTTTCATGACACGTTTAGAGCTATATGACAATATTCACAATAGTTTAAGACTTTAGGCCAGGTTTAAACCCTGACTAAGTGGGTATTGTAGTCCGTAGAGTTATAGAGCTCTGAGTGTCGATGTCTTCATCTTGAAAATTATCATGATTCTATCATCAAATGAACAAATATCATACCCTCATGCAATCAATTATCATTTTTAATTCATTGCTATATTAATGTACCAAATGCATGAAAACAAAGGGCAAAGATTTCTACACATCATGTCTCCATATTTGTCGCATGACCACATTACATTTGATGCCATGAATTTTAAAAAAGAAAATATTCTTTAAATTCCTTAAATTGGCAAAATGGTGAGAATTTCAGAATCATTGTTTTGCTATCATAATTGGCAATTTTTCAAATAGTTGACAAAATTATTTCCCATGTACCTCATTTACAGAAATATTGCAATATTCTTGTTGCTAATTTGAAGAAGACGATGTGATCATTGTTTCAGCCCTTAAAAATTTCATGTCATGAATGTCATGAAACATTTTTTTATCGTTTTCTCTTGTGCTTTGAAATATATGTTGCCTGCTTCACTATTTACAGCAATGCATGCACGGTTATGTATCATGTTTAATTTATTTTAATCACACTGCTATTCAAGGTTTTACTAATCATATCATAACTCTAGAGATTTGTGGCATTTCATTTGTGAAAGTACAGTTGTAATGCAGTTATTTGAACATCGGACAATCATAGGTCCATCTTAATATAATTCTTAAATATTCATACAGGGTTTATTTGGGTCTGTGGAAATATACCCTCCTTTGAAAAAATGATGTATATTCCAAAATTCATTCCTCATTGTAAAACCAAGTGGAATATTCCCAGTACTACCCAGTTGGGCTCATAAAAACAAAGGTAGAGTTCACTAGAATATGTGACAATATATGACATTCTTAAAATATATTAGTGATCTCTGATTGAAAATAATGGCAGTACATTTATTTCTGAGTAGTCTACATATCAATGTCATTAATCAAAAATGTCTAATTAGTAATGAAGGATGACTGTTTGCTCTATGTACACAAAACAGCTTATATATTGCATGAAAAGGCTAATTTATTTGATTGTGACTCATAGCTTTGTACTTTTAATATTTTGATTCAATAGTGGGAAGATGATTGGCGTTAGGCATTGGTAGGTAATGTCTTCTGGACCACATTCCCATGGAAAGCACGAGAAGATTCTACTGTTCACCACTGCACTGACATCTATGTACACCAAGATAGAGACTCTCTCACATGACAAAGTGTTCATTTTTCATGATTTATACTGCTTGTCCATGTGTTCGATCATTGGTAGTTTATCGCTTATTGTGATTGTCATAAGCTAGTTGGCACTAATTTATTAGAACTACTCTAAAAGAAAGCAGAAAAATCAGAGAAGCAAAATGATGAAAGTTTCAATTAAATCTGACCAAATATACAGAAGTTATGAATTTGTGACAGTTTTAATCACTATATGTATGGGCACTTCAAATTGGCTGAAGCGGTACCATCAATGTGATGTAATGCTGGACTACTTTCCCATCTGTTCCACTATATAAAATGACTATAATTCAATTTTTTCAAAATTCATGGCTCAAGAGGGTCTATTCTTTTTAGAGGACATATACTAATGTGCTGAGTAGTGCCCCAAGGGAGAAGGAACTTTCGATCACATTCTGTTTCTGTTATTTTTCTGCTTTCATACAAATCAACTTATTACAAGGGTTGGATTGCCCTTAGAAGATATGATTCTCTTTTGCATGGCTGGCATTTAAACGTTTCTTCCATTGTATGGCGATGTATAAGCCTTTAATTTCTGTTTGTATTGCCTTACTTTTGGCCTTGCCTAAACGAGAGCTTCAGATCAATGTTATCATTTGTGCTTTCTTGACTTGAATGCTTCAAAAGAAGCTGATTTGTTACAACTTATTATAAGTTACAAAATATTCAAAGTGATGTTATGCCTTACAATTATTTCTTTGGCTATACCGTAGCTCCCCCAGTTTAATTAGGGTCAAGCTCGCTATCCATAAGGGCTCCTATTCATAAGGACCATTATTCATAAGGACCGCTATCCATAACACATGAAAAAATGAATAGCGATCCTTTATGAATAGCGAGGAGACCCTTTATACATTGTCTATCTACTTATTAGGTAAAATGGATGATTAATATCCCATTAATGGAGATGACAAATGTCTCATGCTTTGCAGTCGGGGCATGTATGCCTTTTTCTTTTCTTTGTTTACATTTTGTATCTATGTTCTTGCTGTTATAAAAAGTCATTGTGCAACATGCCTACGATGAATAAAATCCCAAAGGAAAATTAGATTTTACATTGATAGAAAGGCTGTATAATTGTGGCCTACATTATTATACCAAAACAGTCTAGATAAAGAAGGTGAGACACAATATATTCACAGGAATTCATAATAAATACTTAACTAGTATTTTTTCAGTCCTTGTAATGTTTGCTTAATACATGTAATTGTACATACATGTTGATTCAGAATTTTCAGAGAGGATCTATGTAATTTAATGAAGATTATGACAAATATTCAATTTTTATACTACGCAGATTTAATGTGTAGTTTATTTATCGGGACAGTCTAGTGGTCAAGCCAGCTTAGGGTCAGCTTGTAATGTAATGATGGAAAGGTACTGGCACATCTTTCACCCATGCTCAATACATTTTCCTTCAAGGTTTTTTAAATTTTGTATACAGTAATTGATACGGCTAGGAACATATCATTCAGTGGTGGATTGAGAACTGGGGGGGGGGGCTTCAAGGGCCAAAATAAAAACAGGGAAAGGAGCAGGGAATAAAAAAATCATTAGCTGACTGATTTTTTTTCTTCTGCTCCTTTTCTTTTTCTTGTAACCCCCCTCCTGCCAGAAAATCCTGAATCCACCACTATCATGTCCATATTAAAATAGTCTGTGTAACATTTTGGCAAACATTCTGAATGAAAAGATATTTACCATGATTATTGTATAACTATGTAAATGAATTATAATTAAGAATGGTCCTGCAAAGGTTATGTGTTTCCATAGGCTTTCTGATTGTTCAAATTGAAACAGATAATCTTGGAAAAGTTCATTTCTATACCATGTGGTCATTCACAAATTCAGTTGAACTCTGAGAAAATTTGATGTACAATTTGATATTCATGTTATACAAATATTGCATGCCCCGTTATCCAGTTTTAAAAATATATGAACCGACAAAATCAGAATGACCAGAGTGATGTTATAGTTTATCAAGGCCATAGGTAGAGGTTGGAATATAATATAATGGTGAACATATATTATACTGACCAATGAAATGCATGCAATATTTGCTATATAAAATTGAGGGTATTTGTGATCTCATACCAAACTCCTTTGAAGGCAGACCCTCTCAAATGCATGCAGGCCTTGCCTCCAGGTCAGATGGTAAGACGATGCATACAATGGGGTACGCGCAGGGAAGATAAGTGCGCAGTCTAATTCACTTTTGTACGCGTTATAAGTATTTATATTGCATAGTCGTGCACATATAACAAAATTTTGAGTGTCACATGACACATTTTCAGCTAATAGGCTACTCGCTAACAAATATCATATTTTATATAACGATGTTTACAATGATAATGATAATAGTGCTATATCATGCCCTTTAGGAGTGTCAATAAAAGGGACAAAAGTAGTGGGTCATTTTGAAATAGAAATGAATATAAAATATTATTTATTACTATTTATGTATATTTTGTGCAATATAACAGAGAAGAAATATGTAAAAACCATATATATGATGAAACACATGTTGCTGCCATCTGTAGAAAGATCTTTATAGTTCATGCTCATAATGTATTATAACTGATACCAGAAAATAAAGTTGTTACTGTGAAAGTATTGGATGCACAAAGACCAAGAATTTGATAAGAACATTAATTCTCTCTCTCTCTCTCTCTCTCTCTCTCTCTCTCTCTCTCTCTACCATTCCCTCACTACCTTTCCCTTACTATCTCACTCCCTCTGCCCATTTCCCCCTCTTTCTATCTCTCTCTCTCTCTCTCTCTCTCTTTGTCCCTCCTTGCCATCTACTTGCTGAACTTTGCCACACCTTGATTCTCTACCTCTATTTAGCAGGCGTACCTCTTTTTTTTACGACTCCCTAATTTTAACAATCTTCCTCTTTTCTATCTTCTCCCTCGACGTTCATGTCTTTTTTTTCTTTCTCTCTTTAAAAAAAGAGCAATGTATGTTGTCTCTAAATAATTGAGTATCTCTCTTCAGCATCATTGATATCATAAGATGATGTTGCTTTGGCATATCAGAGGAAAACATTGTATATCGGTACAATATTTGACGTACAAAGTTATTCCGAGAGTGTGATTGTTATGAAAATACAATGATTAGAATGATATAAAAATGTTGATGCATATTTCACATTAATTGCAGTCTAATTACATAATTATTATCAGATTTTATTTCAACTTTATTTTATTTGGTGAGAGCTGCAAGGGTATTATCTCTATGTAAAATGATATGAGTTAATGCCTTTCTGTCTCTTAACATACAATTATCCTTTTGAGGTATGTTGTTCCTTTCATTGTTTTAACATGTACAGAGATCTGCAAATCAAATGTAATGAAAAATGTATTGAATAAACTATACAATGATTTATGAGACCAAATGCTTGAAAAGGTGCTGAAATGCTGGATATACAGGTTATAGTATAGTAGGGGTAGAAGTGGTAGTAATGCTGGTTATCATCGCCCTTCAGAGCCTGAAAGAAATTAGTTAATGAATGATGAAGAGAAAGAGAGAAAGCATCCATAAGGAACCGAGGAGAGAAAAAAAAACAGAGAGCGAGAGAGAGAGAGAGAGGGGGGGGGGGGGGGGGGTTAAAGGGAAAGTCCACCCCCAAAATAAGTTTGTTTCGATAGAGGCAGAATAATAAGAAAATCAGGTGAGTGAAAGTTTGAGCAAATTCTGAATGAAAATAAGAAAGTTATGAATTATTGAAGTTGTGATCAATCAAATACAAATTGGCAACTCTGTGACTTATTATACGAGCTCTCCTTCATTTGCTTCGTGCATAATATTCCATAAAATCATGTTTTCTTCGTTATTGATGACGGAATATATATTTGTTCCTTGCAGGGGGAGTATAGAAACATATTTGCAATTATTATATTTAGGGTGCATGTATGGTTGAAATTTTTCTTGAGGGAAAATGAAAATTTTAGATTTTTTTAGTACTGAGCAAATGGAAGTTGAGCTCGCATGATACGTCATAGAGTTGCCAATTTGTGTTTGATTGATCACAACTTCAAAAATCCTTTTAATCGGAATTTGCTCAAACTTTCACTGACTTGTTTCTCTCATTTTTCTACTCCTATTAAAACTAACTTAATTTCAGGGTGGACTTTCCCTTTAAGGGAAGAGAGATTTGGAGACTGCAGTACATTATGAATTGTGTGAAAGCAGAACATTACAAAATAATTGCGGAGTGAATTGTCGGGTGAAAATTTGAAAGGAGTAGTATATGAATGTTTAGGCAGAGATCACCATCTCTTATGATATCATAAGATTTATCAATCCACTGTGACGCATTTGGTGCCAACTTTAAAAAAAAAGTATTTTCCTCCCCTCTCTTATTTCCTCGCGGCTGTATATTCATGCATTATTAATGGTATGTCCTTGAAAAAAAATCAAAGGTGTCTTATTCGAGAAAATGATGAATACTACTCTAATTTCATTTTTTTATTTCTGAGCAAACGGGAGGAGAATTGGCCGACATCACATCACAGTGACCTTATTGGACAACACATCACAAACCCAATTCATTACCACAAATTATTTCACCGGGGCCTATAGCTTTACAAGCTTGCTTTCATGTAGGTCCCATCATATTTCTCTCAGTTAAATCAGTACTCTATTTTGACCACTTATATTTATGTTTTTTATGTATGTACCATTGATTGTAATTTCACCACAAACAACAAAAATTGTGCTTTATCTGGAAATATTATATACAGCATGAGAAATTTGGAAATAAATGAAAAATGAACGACCTTATCTGACAACACATCACATGACCTTATCCACCAACCTAGGCCTACGGGAACAGGAAAGCTTCTCTAACTTATCATGCAGACAAAAAACTAAGTAATTTAACGAATACCATAAGCGTTGGGGATACAAAATAAATATTTCCCTAGTTACAAAACATCAAAATTGTACTTGAGGAAAATACATTCACTGCAGCCGATGCTCAAAGCTGAAGACAATTTTTTTTCCTTTGGGCATGTTGGGACTGGGATGGGAAAACCCCTCATCATCAAACCACCCGCGCGCGTCACAATTAGTATTGTGATCAGACTGGTTTGTGTTTGATTAGATATTGTTCCATGCATCAGGAAATATACGTGTCATGTTTGTCTAGAGCATGTATCAATATTATTAAGCATTATAATGACGTAAAGGAAATGTGCACTAGGATTCATGACAAAATGTTTAACTTTGCTGGCTATATGGCCTATAGGATGAAATGGAGTGTCCTTATATTTTCATGAGAAACTGCTGTGGCTTATTTTTTTAAACAAGCAAAGTAAGAGAGAGATAGAAAGAGAGAGAGAGAGAGAGAGAGAGAGAGAGGGGGGGGAGGAAAGAGGGAGAGCTAATTATCGCTAGTACTAGTAGCATGTGGCTTTGGGAGCTAAAGCCCCCTCCTCACGCGCCAGCCTACCACCCCCCCCCCCCCCAAAAAAAAAAAGTCAGAGAGAAAAAGAAAGAAAAGTGAATGCTCCTTAGAGATCAACAATTAAAACAAAAATGGTGAGTCGTAAATTGTGCGTCATAACAGACGGTTCGTTGAAGAAAAGGATCTTAATACCCTACTTTTGAAGAAAAAAAAAAAAACCGCGCGGCACACTGAAGCCTAGATACGTCTTAGTCAATGATAGCGAAAATATTTGAAGCCCCCCCCCCCCTCCCCTTATATCATATGACTCTTTTTTTAAACAATACAGAAATATGTAACATCGAAAGAGTATTAGTTACTGACGACCCGGGAGACGGGGAAACAATATTGTATCGCATATAAACTAGGATGGAGTGAGATAGAACCGGTAGGCCTACTAATGTTTGAACAAAAGTCAGTTAAAAAAAGGGGGTCTATAATTATATACCAGATTGTACAGATATAAAATTGACATAAATATATGGTCAAACTCTTCATAATTAATAAGATATTGCACTGGTATAACAGTTTAGAATGACTAAAAATATGCTTTCCGTTGCCGTTTCATAATATGATAAGCAAAAGGTGAGTAAATTGTGTCAATTCTATGTATATAATTATATCATTTATTATCAATTATTATATCGGTACTTAAAATATTAAACATAATCTATAGTAATTTGGCACCACTGAGTTTGGAGCGAAAATAAACGGATTGTATTAATGTCAGCATGTCATGCTTGTCGCAGCAAACTTTAAACTAAACGTATTGAGGTTCCATACCCAATTTAATTGATCGACTATGGACAAAAGGTTGGAACAACTCTTTTACAGAAATCATGTAATGTCGGTACGTAATCTGCTCAACAAAATGTTGCGCAAACCCATATTTTATATAGGCCCTATTGATGACGAAGACTCTCTCAACGGATTTGAGGATTCCACTATATCACATGTATCATGTCACGTGAGTATAACCTCTATAACATACCAATGAGTGAGTTGCACATCAAGGCAAAATTTGTCTAAAAAATAGTGGAAGAACAGTTTAAAACGCAGAAAACTCAGGAGCTTCAGTGGAGTTCTGCCCCTGGAACCCATCCCTGGCCATGCCGTTGGACGTTGCGCTGCACTCCACACCATTATGTTTTAGCCCCCCCCCCCCCCCCATCACAAAATACTGTACACGCCCACATGCCTCGGGTACATTCCGTATGCAGCGATCTCGAGGTGCCCGAATATAATTATAATCCTCATACTTTTCTAGTGTAGTTTGATGCTGACATTAATTATAATTGTGTCCGTTCCCACAAGTGAGAAACAGGATCGATGGTTGATTAAGTTCGGGCGAGACCGAGGCGTCTATGCATAGGCGTCACCCCCGGACCCCCCCCCCCCCCACACACACACACCACGAGTAACGTGCTCGTACCTATATGCTGCCAACCACTCGTATCTTAGCCAGTAGCCCAGTACGTACAGTGATTCATGCTTTCCGAGTCTTTTATCTATGAGATCCAGATTGTACTTTTATTCAGGTCTTCCTAATTTTGCATGAATAGATTAACCATTTTTGCTATAGAAGGTATATAGGCAGATAGTTTTGCATATATGGCTTTGCATACACCGAAACAAATTAGTTTCTTTTGTTTGAGGATATGATCCGCTAAGAAAAACTGCTCTAGTTTTCTAATTCTCCAAAATGGTGGGTTTCAATCATATATCTATATGGTTTCAATATTCAATCCTGCAATATATATCCGGTTTACCGTGTTTGAAAATAATAATCATGCATTCATGCATCAACAACTAAACATTAAAACATGTTCTATTCCGATTCTCCGGAAAGCTCAATTACTTAAGTCGTTTTGCAGTGTAAGCAAGGGAGATACGTCCATTTGGTACAAACACCAGTCATATGAGTTCGCTTATATATATATCAGTACTAATCGATTTTGGACAGTCAGAACTCGCACTGTACATGCGTCTCATATATAGTGTGGAAGCAGCGAAATATATGGGGAAAGTCCGGTTGATGCACCTTGCAATAGACCGACTCCGCCAGCGCAAAGGGGGAATTTCACGTCGAAACCCCGAGTATGGTGGTAAAATTACTCAAATAACGGATTCCCGATGATATGTAAGTACTTTTACTGTGTACTTGGAGTAATAACGATGAGATATTCTGCAAATTATATTTGATTTACGTTGAATTAAACCTACGTGGTTGTGTAATTCGAATGTTTTTTTTTTGTCTGTGTCGTGGATTAAATGCAGGGTCCATTCATCGGGTGATTGTTGGGTGAGTGTGTTATGTATGATGTAGTAGTGTTATGCAAGCTAAGCTCCGTAGCGTGTATGTAGCTTTGTACTATGTATCGGTAGTGCTTCTCGCGATAGCCGCTGACTGCGCCGGTCGACGACGGTGCTGCATGCTGTGGAAGCGATGACTAATGATTCATGCCAATTAATTCATACAAATGCTTGTCATCATAATCATATGAAGATTTTTGTAAGTTCCACTGTCCAGCTTCGAGTTGGACAAGCTTAGTAATTCTACACAGGATTAGGAAAAACTTCCAGAACATTCAAAGTCTAAAATGACTTAATAAAGGATAGACTAAAAATTATCAAAAATAAAATGTCAACATTGCAATATAGCTCCGCTTCTCGGCAGCCGTACGTTCCTACTCACGGTTAGAAAAAGGGGAGCAACTTTAGAATACCCCACCACAAAAATTGACCAAACGTTCGTAGGGTACCAAACGCTTTACCAAATCTCAAGACTTAGGCTTTTTAAGTAACACTAAAGCTAATCCTCGGACTTCATTCCTGATACAGAGAACAGAAAACAACAATTATTGGGAAGACTTCATTGCCGATACGGAGAACGAAAAACAATAATTATTGGCAAGACTTCATTGTCGATATTGAGATCAGAAAACAATAATTATTGGCAAGATTGCGTTGCTGATACAGAGAGCTAAAAACAATAATTAATGGCAAGACTTCGTTGCCGATACAGAGATCTAAAAAGTGAAAACAATAATTATTGGCAAGACTTCGCTGCCGATACAGAGATCTAAAAAGTAAAAACAATAATTATTGGCAAGACTTCGCTGCCGATACAGAGATCTAAAAAGTAAAAACAATAATTATTGGCAAGACTTCATTGCCGATACGGAGAACGGAAAACAATAATTATTGGCAGGACTTCATTACCGATACGGAACTCATAAATTAATAATTATTGGCGAGACTTCATTGCCGATACTGAGATCTGAAAACAATATATCTTAATCAAAATGACTGAATACTTGAGGATTAACACTTTCAAAACGGTTAAACAAACCGCCGTAAACATTTAAGATGAGATAAGATAAGATATTTATTTGTCTTTCTTTCAAATGACACATAGAGCAATAACGTTAGATCATTACACATTTACAATGCAAAATAACAAATTATGGCAATGATAAAAACAAAGTTAACTAAAAGAAAGACAAGGAGACCCTGGTAAAAGCAGAGCTTGTAATTATTAGGGTCCCCTTTGAGTCGGATAAATATGATGAATAGATATTTGTGACTACCTAAGAATATAATAGGGAAAAGGGGGTATAAAAAACAAGAAGTGTACACACACAACAACCACAACAACAAACGAGAGATGAGACTAGACAAGACGGGAGAAAAGAGGAAATATGAGAAATAATAGAAGACTACAGCACATCGACAATAGGCACAGCACACAACGGGCACAAGACAACAGGGGGAGGGAATAAGAGGTTGACAATCTGAAAATATTCAGTTAGACACATATTACACACATATTAAAGGTTAAACGTAATGACTAAGTTATTTAAGACCAATATTGCAAACTAGCAATGTGCTATGTTACGTCAATATCTTCATAATTGTATGTATCTCTCTCTTGTTTTTCTTTGTCTTCACAGAACATCTGATAATTCATTTATCGGTCATCACAAGGTCCTCAAGTTTTCAGAGTGCCACATGTTGAAAAGGAACAGACGGGGGACTAAGTAATTTGGCTTGAAAGGAAAGTTAGTGAACCATGAGTAGTAATCATCCAATCAGTGATAGCGGTTCAGACTGGGATGACTTCCTACCAGCGGGGCTCCAGAGCGACGTCTCTTCAGCCTCCTCCGAATCTGAACCCGAACCAGCCCCCAAATCAAACAGAACTTCATCTCTTGATGACAATGAAGACAGTCGCAGCAGGCACAGTTCAAAGACACATTCGTTGCAAGGAGATGAGTATGCCTTCGATGATACCAAAGCTGAATCCACGGAGGATCCTACCCTAACTCGCTCCTTTCTGAGTGTCCCAGAAGGTTTAGAACCTGGTAAGGGGGGCGGAGATGGAGCGGGCGTCAGCAAATCTACCAAAACAGCCACCAAGAGGAAGAGGAGGAAGAGTGGGGCTGGAGGAAGTCCGAGGAGGAGGAGGAAAAAGAAAGTGAAGGATGCCCATGAAGAAGGAGATGATGAGGGAGATGAAGAGGAAGAGGAGGAGGGAGATGGATCAGGGAAGAAGAAGAGCAAAGGCAAGTCCAAGAGCAAAAACAAACCACCAAACAGGAGGAGAAATATCAAGTGAGTATACAAACTTTTGCAAGATAAGTACTAAATCTGAACATATCTTTGTGAATTCCCTTGTCAACTTATTGTTTTCCCTCTAATCAATTTGTTATTATAAGTAGAATATTATATTTCACAGTTATGTTTTTGATGATAATATATCCATTGGAGTTGAAAGAAAGGAGGGATCTACGTTTTAAAAAGTCAATGAATTGTTGTTGAGTTTGTTTGTTGTTTTTGTTTATAGTACAGATTGCATAAGGTGGTGCTTGTTTTGCTTCCCATCTCATTATGTCGTTTTGTGTGTTACATAAATAAGATTTTGGTTACATAAGAGAGATCTGTTGTGTAAGGTATACACACGAGTCAATTTGGTTGTGTGCTGAATTAAAGCTGTACTCTGTTTACATTTTCCATGCATGTAATAGATGTCAATTCAGACATGAGCTTTAGTATTGAAATGATAGTTTGATGAATTCAGAATGTTGTTAAATGGCTCTGATTTCATTTGAAAGGATTTTTCCCCCTTTCTTCATGCAGTACCATTTCAGTATTAATTCTATTTAAGCCCACCCTTTCTCCTCTTTTATACGTAACATGGTTTTACAGTACTCACATAAATTAACCAATGGTTCAGTGTAACTCTCTCTGGGAAACACAATGATCAAAAATTCAAAATATTTATAATTTATTGAACTGAAAATATTATTTATACGGTAGTTGTATTTTGAAATGCGAATGTTTATACAGGGCTTTATAAATTCTTTATTCTTTGTACATACTACGCTTTCAGAATTAGAAAGTCAATTAGAAAGAAATATATTTACATCTTCCTCTTTTGTAATCTTCCTCTAAATACTTCTTAAGCAATGTTTGGAGGTATACTAGTATTTGGTGAATGCAACCATGTGTTATAAGAATATTGAAGATAATGTTATTTTTATTCTTTTTAATACACCTTTTAAAGAACTTAATCAATATATTAGATTAGAATCAAGTGTATGTTCAAGGAAAAGGGGAAATTAAAATCTCAGGCTAATTGGATTACATTCCAACTATTTGTAAAAGACATTTTATAGATATAAATATATTATTAATTTTCAGGGTTGATAACAAAATGGGAGCAAGTACAAATTTCAATTTTCTTTTCTTATGATTTAAAAAAAAAAAAATCTCCAAGCTATTTTTTGCAAGCTCAACTTGATTTGAAATGTCCACGATGGGCAGGTATTAATACAACATCTAAAACAGAGCGAGAAAAAAAAATACTTTGAAAAGTACATGTAAATCACGTATCTTGTGACTAGCAGTTGATGCATTTCTTTATCTCACCTCATTCCATGAAAAGATCTTTCTTGAGAGAGGATCAGTTGGATGCTGAAACCTTGGAGGCACAACTCGAAGAAGAGAAGAGAAAACAGAGATTGGAGGAAGAAAGAAAAAGAAGATTAGATGAACAGAAGATACAAAAGATGGAATCATCCAGTGCAATTGGTATGTTATTCAAAGTTTCTTTTTTGCTGGAGAAAAATCAACTGCTCCTGATAAAGATTGTTACATTTTAAAGTAGAGGAAATGGATATTAAGAGTAGTAAATGTTTTGAAACAAGAAAGCAGGAATAGTGTCTTTTAAAGCCCCACTGCACTACTTGTAGCTACTTCCGCCCTCTATATAGCATATGATGCCTAAGCGGTACCCCTTGGTCCCCTATGATCCCCTTTTTCTTATGTTAATTGAGAGCTGATTTGATGAGATAACCACCTTTTAGTGACCATGCAGGGTGGTCTAATCCCTCCTGGCCAAACTAGTGCAGATAGGCTTAAAAGGAAACAACATTGGTAAAGTAAGGGCAATTATAGTTTTGGATTTATTGTCAAGTTTTTATATGATATGAAACTGAAATTTTTTACATTTGGTTAATTTATTACACATGAATGTAATGTTTATTAAAAGGATAAACACATGTCATGAATCTTGTTTTATTGTTAATGGTAGAGTATTACCTTAATCACATGTTATAGTTTAGTCACATATTAATCAATAAATCAAATGTATTATTAGTGTTTGTTCTTTAAAAATACCACCTTTACTTTTAATATAAATTCTCTTTTGATTGCTATTTTGTGAGCAAAATGTTAAATGGAAATCTTCCATCTTCATTTTTGATCTACCTCTGATATTAGCCAGCCATATAGCCTTTTGTTCTGTTAAAGGTAAAGACCAGTTATGGTCATGCGATCGCATTGTGAAAGAAACATGAAATCGATCAGAAAAGGTTGATCATCTAGCATAGATGTACTGCAAGGTTCTTGAATCATCAAAATGATAAGAAATTTGGCCAAGTCTTCGTAAAGTTACAAGCACTGTACACAGAAAGATGTATATGGGACTACGCACACGTGTGCGACACGTGCGTTTATCTCTCACACACCAATAGATCAACTAATTTACCAAGTATATCAATTAGTAGGCGGTTTCCCGGCAAATTTGTTATCATCATGTATTAGTCAAAACATATTCTTTCACATGATTGGTAATAAGAGCTTCCATTTCATTTTTTGAAATTGGGGCGTTTCCAATACTGGTCTTTACCTTTAATGTCTCCTTACACCTCTCTGCACTCCACAGTAGAGAAATTACAAGAAGCCGTAGCGACAATAGCAGCAGCCATCCCTGTTCTGACTGCATCAGTAAGCTCCGCCCCCGAGCCTGCCATCCCTATCCCTATGACGATACCAGTACCTGTACTCATACCATCGCTTGCAGAGTGCATTGTGGTTGATAGCGGCAGTGACAGCGACAAAGATGCCCTGATGAAAGCCCACAAACAAGGTACGAAGTGTGACGTCACATTGGTCCTATACATCAGGGGCCAGTTTCTCGAAACCGTCATAAGTCTAAGTTTGTGGACATCCCATAGAGATGTGTGTTAATTCTATAACACACGTTTCAATGGGAAGAAGTTAGACTTATGACTGTTTCGAGAAAGGGCCTCAAGTCCTATGCTAAGTTGTAGTGTTACCGTTAGTGTCAGGGGTAGGGTTACATCTAGAGCTACAATTGGGATTATTGGTGGGCTAAGGGTTGGGGTTAGGGTTTGGTTTTGGTCATGATAACCCAAAGACTCGCTCATAGGACCCGTTTCACAAAGCCTTTTTTCAATGACAAATGACGAAAATCAGTGACAAATCTGCTGATAACCAATCAGAAGCAAGGATTTCACTAGCTTATATCAAAAACTTTCATTTGTCACTGATCACAAGATTTGTGAAACACCCCCCAGGGGCCTGTTCCTAGAAACCGTCATAAGTCTAACTTCTTGACTATCCCATTGAAACGTGTGTTATAGAAGGACCAAATGATGGCATTGTAGGACCAATGACATCAGGTGTAGGACCAATGGTTTGAAGAATCATGACCACAAGGAGCTGATGGTAAACAGATGGTTATCTGAAAGTCTTCTCTATATGAGGCATAGCTGTGGGTGTGTCATCCTGAAGGAAACTTGGATGTATATATATATATTTCATTGTAATGTGTACATCCTTCCTTTAGAGGAACTCTAGTTGAAATCCAATATTTGGCATACTGCTGTATGTCTTCAAAATGTTATATTAGGCATATCAGTATTGTTTATTTATATCACTTCTTGGTACATTCATATTTCGTCCAGGATTAGGAACTATTATAATTGATTCTTGAGAGTAGCTGCTGTATTAACATATCGCTCTTATTAGGTTGAAGTGGTGATATTATTATATCAGATGAACTTGACTTACAGTTAGCACTGAGTTGGGAATTCCCCTAAATAGGCAAACTGGGTTACAAGAAGAAGCAGCTGTAAAGAATTAACAATATGGGATTAATTATTTATGGAATTGCCTAGTTAGAACACACTTCCCCCTTTTACAGTTGAATTATTTTGAATTACTTCAATCTTCAACTCAAAATAGGTAACATGCTAAATGAATGCATGACAGCTATTTAATTTCTGCATCATCATCCATATTACATACATGTAAACTGCTGTTCATACTGAGGCTATTTGAAAACATGCACCACTATGTCACCTTTAATTTGTTACATGACAAATTGTTTTTATGTGAAACATGCTATAAGAATATTGTAGGTTTCAAAAGGAGAAAATTGGGTGTAAATGGAGATATTATCGAAATGGATATTATGATGTTGCCAGTATCATGTGTATTGCCAGTTGCTGAAATGTCTGCTTAATATGTTTTTGTTTTGTTTTTTAAGGTCATGGAGTGCAATGATTATATATGTCCAGGAATATGCATCACCCATCTATTAATGGTCAAGCATTAAAAAATCATTAAATTACTATGTACATGTACATGTATGGGTCCCTTTTCACATTCTTAATTAACATTTAGCTTGTCAATAGATAAGTAGAGGAGTTGTGTCATTTAGGCATATTTCATTCTCTGCAATATCAAACCTTTTCACTGAAATGGTTGGAAACACATGTTTTAGAGCCTCATACTTATGAACAGTTGTGGTTAAAGAGAAAGAATAATCACGTCATTTCAATTTCAGAGAGATACTCACCATTCTAACATCACCTGCTGAAAACAAAGTGCTGTGCTTTGCCACATCTTTGCATCGGAAGTACAATATATGCATATAAATGTGTATACATGTTTGTACATGTACATGTATATGCATTTACACTTCTCCTGTATTTTACGTAGATTATGATTATTAGTTTATAACGTGTATGTATCATATGTCTGTTTTGTCAAGGCGACCCCTCCACAAGTCTCATGCTTTATGGGAATTTTGCCTCCTTCCTACGAAACATTGTACATATATATATTTCATGATATGTTCATTTTGTTTTTGTGAAGGAAATGAATGTTAATAAATCGAAATTAAATATATCTCTTTAAAGGGGAAGTCCACCCTGAAATTAAGTTAGTTTTAATAGGAGTAGAAAAATGAGAGAAACAAGTCAGTGAAAGTTTGAGCAAATTCCGATTAAAAATAAGGAAGTTAGGATTTTTGAAGTTGTGATCAATCAAACACAAATTGGCAACTCTATGACGTATCATGCGAGCTCAACTTCCATTTGCTCAGTACTAAAAAAATCTAAAATTTTCATTTTCCCTCAAGAAAAATTTCAACCATACATGCACCCTAAATATAATAATTGCAAATATGTTTCTATACTCCCCCTGCAAGGAACAAATATATATTCCGTCATCAATAACGAAGAAAACATGATTTTATGGAATATTATGCACAAAGCAAATGAAGGAGAGCTCGTATAATAAGTCACAGAGTTGCCAATTTGTATTTGATTGATCACAACTTCAATAATTCATAACTTTCTTATTTTCATTCAGAATTTGCTCAAACTTTCACTCACCTGATTTTCTTATTATTCTGCCTCTATCGAAACAAACTTATTTTGGGGGTGGACTTTCCCTTTAAGATTTCGATTACATTTAGAATCCTATCAAAGATGTACAATACTGTACTGTAGGATCATACTTAATATTCTTTATGAAGTATTCAATCATTTCTCATTTCTTATTGATTATCTTTCACCAGAGCGAGAAGTAATCACAATCAGCTCCGATGAGGAGGTCTGCCTGGTCAGTGATAACAGTGAGGATGAAGCTGAGATGAACATGGTCAGTATCGGCTTGCATACCAATGATGAAGCCAACGTACCAGACATCCATGGTCGCGTACTGGTCAACGTCAACCATCCTCCAGATGACCCTGATATATACCTCCCTGACCACATTGCTCGAGCGGTCAAACCTCATCAGGTAGAGATAAAATGAAGCATTGTTCGTATTTCAATTAATCTATCCTGCAGTTTGCTTTAACATAGGCTTCATGTAGTTGAGTATATTTTCCAGATATGTCATTGCTCTGTTTCAAAAGCTGGTGCTGGTGAAGAAATGAATTTACATTGATCACTTTATTTCTTTGATATGAAGTCCTTGATTTTTAGTGGTAGCAAATTTAATACAAATGTAAGCAATGATTGCATTGGTTATGGTAACCTAAAAAGTGAATTCTAAAAAGATGAAATATCTTAAGTACTAAAATTTGTTAGGTGTTCTGCCTACTTGTCGGCTCAATTTTTAGTTCTAAGGTCGATAAGTGGATGTTATTCAATTTTTGACACAAGGACATGGGCTACAGATGAAGTTATCATTCCAGATAATAATAGGGTTATCTATCAGTTATATATCATATGCAATTTAAATGAAAATTGGCAGAGATTTCATGCATGAATTTAAAGTAAATCCATTTTCTTATCTCTTCCTTGAAGATTGGAGGAATTCGGTTCTTGTACGACAATCTGGTAGAGTCGCTTCAACGGTACAAAGCTAGCAGTGGTTTTGGATGCATTCTGGCACACAGTATGGGACTGGGCAAGACACTACAGGTAAGGAGAGTGTTATGTGCAAAGAGCTTGACATATTGCCAATTATTAATGCATGTGACAGAATGCTCAGCCATTGCAACACTTCATGTTTGTTATTGCTCAATGTTTGGAAGTTGATACATTGTCTTGCTAGGGCAATAAGCCAGTTCGTAAATACTATCTGCGCATGGGCAGATAAAGGTAATTTGTTCCCAAATTGGAAAACCAATCGAGACAAATACTGGTATTGTACTCATGAAAGTTATGTAATCAGTTCATTTATGCACCGTCTGTACATTTATCTGATACACAGGTGGAAGTATTCTTCTCAAGAGGCAAACAAAATATTAATGAAGCACCTCCATCACTTTGGCAGTGATTATTTGAGTTACCCATTTGTAAAAAAGTATGGCAGTTTCTACAGTGCAGAGCTGTATTAGATGTACATGTACCAGATGCCGATTCAATACTGACAAAATTGATGATAGTTTCTTCTTTCTCCTTGCATCTTTATTTTCACACAGTGCATCGCATTCATTTATAACTTCATGAAGTACACTATGGCGCACACGGTCCTGTGCATCGTACCTATCAACACGTTACAGAACTGGCTGGCTGAGTTTGACATGTGGTGTCCAGAGAGGCCGAGGCATTTCAACATCTTTGTTCTCAACGACATGCACAAGACACAAACTTCAAGGGCAAAGGTCATTGGTAAGTTGGAAGTTTGTTTTTCTAGACATGATGAAATTAAAGCCAAGTGTTGCCTATAGTGAAAGAATGTTTGCGTAGTTATATTATTCTGGCAAGATTTCAATCCTTCTACCATGAAGGTGCAGCTAGATATGATAAATATTGATAGGCTGTGTCAGGTTCATTATTCAGTCTACCTGTAGCATGTAAGAAGATATGGAGAAAAAAAACAGGTAAATACAACCCAAATATAAGGACATTCTATACAGTAACGCAGAATCTGTTCAGTAGTGAAAAGATGTATGTAATGCTGTACTATAGACCAGTTCACAGTAAGCACATGTCCCAAATGACCCTGAATATCCAGGGATCTTCAAAACATGATGAGGTCCCACTTTGTACATAATGAAATAATCACTCCCACAGCGATGGAGGTGCTACATAAATAGCCTTTGTTTCCCCCTTTTCAAAGAATACTTCCACCTGTGTATCATGGAGTGCACTGCTTGTGAATAAATAAACAATGATTACATAACTTTCATGAGAGCGTATCCAGTATTTTTTCTCCGTGTATTTGGTCTGCAATGACCTTCATCTGCTCATGCTCAGACTGCAACTATGAACTGGCTTATTATGTAATCATGATGCTTCCCTATGTGTTTGAAGACCATTGATAAACCCTAATCCTGTATTCTTTTTCTTCCTCCTCCTTAGCTGAATGGAGACAGTCTGGAGGGGTTCTTCTGATGGGGTATGAGATGTATCGTCTGCTGGCTAGGTCCAAGCAAGCCAGCCTAGGACGACCTAAGAAGAGAACAAGCAAGTCTGGCAAGTCCTCGCCACAAATCATTGACATTGATGAGATGGAGGCTGCAGCTGAAATGGCAATAGGTAAAAATTGCATATAACAAAAAGCACTGTACACAAATATGGGTATATGGGACCACACAAACAAATGGCATCACAGTGTTGTCCAAACTTCTTAACTATTAGTGATATATTGATTTGATGGCAATCCTTTTAATGGAAAATTGTTTCTATTATATTCTTTATTTCTGAAAATGAGAAAATTAATCAGTATTTAACTTTTTTTTCAAATGTGAAAAAGAGCTCATGGTAGATACTTATTTTTGTTAAAAAAAAATTAAAAAAAATCAATATCCTAATCAACCTGTTCAAGACAAACTGTGAAATGATGTTTATTATTTCCCATGTCAGATATGAAGGCAGCATTGTGCAATCCAGGACCTGACATGGTTGTTTGTGATGAAGGTCATCGGATCAAGAACAGTCATGCTGGCATCTCTCAAGCACTCAAGGGAATAAGAACAAGGTTTGTAACCATTGTATGTTGCTTTAATCCATTCTCACGCTACAGTTAATATAATGAGGTAGAATAAAAGCTTTCTGCTAAAAAAATGATTAAAATTTTATAACTTGATGATAACTAGTCATCTCTGTCATAATTTAAAAAATTGTAACTTTCCATTGCATTATGCAAACTGCAAGCAAATAATACAATATGAGAGGTATTTTATACAAAATGACAAAAATAGGTGAAAGATCACTGAAAACAATCGATGGTATTTATGAAATAAACTCATTTTACTGACGGAACTTTCAATTTGACTTATTGTATTGACTTATGGTTTATTGTATGTTGCTTGTCTTTATGGTTATGGTGAAGATTATGAGATTATTATCTCATCCCAACCCTTTTAGAATCACGATAATTGTCAGATTTGAAAGCATTGTCTCGTGCGTTATTCCTTTTGCAGGCGGAGAGTTGTGCTGACTGGGTATCCACTGCAGAATAATCTTCAGGAATACTGGTGTATGGTGGACTTTGTTAGGCCCAACTTCTTAGGTACTCGTCATGAGTTTGCCAATCTCTTTGAGAGGCCTATCTCCAATGGACAGTGTATGGACAGCACACCTTATGTAAGTTGGCTTAGTCAGCTTAGAGTATCAAGCATTCCTAATTTAATGCTTTTGAATATGTTATAGCTACAATGATGGCAGTATGAAGTAACAGTTGTGTTTAATATAGTAAGAAATTGGAAGGTGACGCATGTGTTTCTTGCAATTTGTCGATAGTGCAATGATACTAGGTAAATTTCCTATGTTGCAAAATCTTCCTTCTTAATATCTTGGTCTCATGAGAAGAAAAAAAACACTCTCCCTTTAGTTATGTTAAGAATATTCCCTGCACCACAAGTAGTAAATGTAATATGATGAACACTATAGCATTTTCCTGCAATAGAATAAATGATAGGAGAGGAACAGGAAGAAGGAGAAAGGGAATTTATGTACATTTACGTTAAAAACATCAGGCTGAATATGTCTGGTTGTTGCATCTAGTATAGATTTCAGGATTTGACAGTAGGGTCTGAACTGGCATCATTAAAGGTAAACCATGTTCAGCAGCATGAAAAGATTCAAAAGAAATAGATTGTCTTGTTTCTTTAGAGGTGTCGTAGTCGAGTGGATACGTCACCGGACTGTCGATCACAAAGTCAGCAATTCGAGTCCTACCGCGGCACTAATATCCTTTGGCAAGACGTTGATCTACATTTGCCTCACTCAACCCAGGTGGTGTAAATGGGTACCTGGCAGGAGTTAATTCCTTGAAATGCTAGAGCGTCGTAATGGCAGCCTTGCTAAAGCCAGGGTAGTAATCGGGAGCGCCAGGAGTGTCAAGTCTGATAGACATGAGCGCTATACAAGAACCCAATATTATTATCAATATTATTATTTGTCTGATCTGATTCCTGTTAATAGGATGTGCGATTGATGCGGTACCGAGCCCACGTCCTGCACAGTCTCCTGAGTGGCTTCGTCCAACGCCGAGGCTTCAACGTCCTCCTATCTACCCTACCCCCCAAGGAAGAACACGTCATCATGGTTCGTCTGACATCCTTCCAGCGAGGTCTCTACATCCGCTTCATGCAGTGCTTCACCGAGGCCGGCGCAGGAGGCTGGTGTTCATCGAATCCTCTCAAGGCATTCTCTGTCGGCTGCAAGGTGAGTGTCTTTATTCTGCTTTAGAAGTCTGTCTCATTGAAACACCTAAAGTATGTGTGAGAACTTCAGATGTAGGAGTCCAAGAATCGGTTGTTGCATGGAATTCCTTGCCCTCGTCGTTAAGAGAAATCCGGTTTCTAAATTCCATGAAAAGAAAGCTTAAATTATACCTATTATTTTCTTATCACTATGTTATCATTATTTTATCAGCTGTTTTAATTTAAATTTCAAATTCAATACCCACAACACCTTTGTTTTTCCTTTCTTTTTTCTCTGCCGAAATATTAATGTTAAAACTTGCCTATTCTTGGCACCATCATCTTGTCAAGCCTCAATAGGCTTTTAATGATGGCCCTTTTATTCTTCTTATTTTATATGAATTCACTTAATGTCCTTGTATTTTACCTTGAATGGCTTTGTATATATATATATATATATATATATTTTAATGTTTCGCATGTTTTTTAAACGGAAGAACAAATAGAGAATGAACTTGAAATTAATAGGAATTTTTTACATGTGAAATCAGTTCAAGGCACCATGTTGGCACATACGTACATGTATTTTCAAGAATCATGGATCACATTGGCCACTCTCCTTGTTCTTTCATTATTACACCTGCGGAGTTTTGCTAGGCTTCTTAGAGATACCTCAAGATGGCAAAAATGCAAAGTTATTGGACATAAAACTAATGTTGCAATATGCAATTTCATTTTTGTATTTGTAGATCTGGAACCATCCTGACATTCTTAGTGATCAGTTGAGTATTAGAGACAGTGTGAAAGACAATGTAAGAGACAGTGCAGCGGATGAACTTGATGCTGATCTTGACTTACCTGAAGTACAGGCAAAGTGAGTATAGAGTTGGATATTGGGATTATTAAGGACTAGGGGGGCGTTTCACAAAACTTTGTCATCAGTGACAAATGACAGTTTTTGTTATAAGCTAGTGAAATCCTTGCTTCTGTTTGGTTATCAACAGATTTGTCACAGATTTTTGTCATTTGTCATTGACTAGAGGCTTTGTGAAACATGTGTCTGATGTTTTTTAGTTGTCTCTCTGTCTGTCTTGGTTGTGATTACTAATTGAATACATGTCAAGAAAAGATATATAATATTGCTGATTAATTTGTAAAATCAACATCAAATTGATTAATATGATTTTAAGGTAAGATTTCAGAGGTTAAATTAATTTGCTAAAAATAACACTGCTCTTGTTTTGTAACTTTAACAATTATTTGTATATATATATATAAACCTCATGGAATAAACTGACCCCCACCCCCCTTGCACTTCAGTTTTTATAATATTTGTCTTTATCTGATGTGCTTATATCCTTGTGTGTTGATTTACTTGCTCTTTCCTGTATATTGAGCCATAATGATAAAAATAGTACTGCTCTTGTTTTGTAACTTAAAAATTATTTTTGTATATATATATATATATATATATATATACCTCATGGAATAAACCGACCCCCCCCCCCCCCCCTTGCATTTCAGATTTATAATAATTGTCTTTATCTGATGTGCCTATATCTTTGTGTGTTGAATTACTTGCCTCGTTTTTTAGATACGTTTACTCAAAATGTGTTAAATCAAATTGAATGAAATAATGTTGATTGATGTCATATATTTGTAGGTGTACGGGCAGACAGCAGAAATTACTTAAGAAACCAGCTGAGGAGAGAAGTTCTAGGAGAGGCGAAGGGTCGTCATCTGGGGGTTACATTGACAAGGTTCAACAAATCATCTCATTTGAATGGGTAGGTATCTCCTTTCAAAAGTCAATCCTCATCAATTAAATTCAAATTCAAATGAGTAATATTTACAAAAATTCTGTTTTTGCCATTGAATGGTCCTGCATATATCATAATATGCTGTGTTTGACAGCAGAGTGGAGTTTAGACCATTCATCTGTCCTGTATAAGACATTTAACACATCGAGCAAAGCTTGTCTAATTTGATGACTTCATTACTAATGTCTGTGTTAATTAATTAGTCTTTTTTCACAATGTTGAATATCTGTTATGTCAAAGCTTCCAACATGTATTAATGTGTTATTATTTTCATATGTATAAAGACACGAAAGTGTTACATCCTATTCCTTGTCTTGTTAAAGATTGAATATATGCATGAAACTATTTGATTTGAAAGGCAAATGCTAACTGAGTAGGATTTCATGATGTGACAAGGGTGTACACCAATCTAACATGAAAATATTAATAACTTTGTATAGGACTTTTGAAGAAATGAAAATGATCGAGACTCAAGTTCTCAGAATAAACCCTGATCTAATTTTCTCTTGATTTTAATAGGCAAGAGACATCATGAAGAACTACACACGGAATAAGCTCTGCAACGGAGGAAAGATCATCGTTCTCTTCCACATCCTTGAGGAGTCGATCCGTCTAGGAGACAAGATCCTGGTCTTCAGTCAGAGTCTTAGCTGCCTGTCGGTCATTGAGAAGTTCCTTGCCAAGTCCACCATCCCTCAACCTCCGAACCCTCCTCCACTCATGCCCAGGGAGTGGGTCCGTAACCAGACGTACTTCAGTAAGTTTACAAATGGTTGTTTGATGTTGGTGGTGGTGCTTATACAGTCAAACCTGCTATAGTGACCACCTACCTACAAAGACCAAATTTTTTGATTCCCTTGAAAATGGTTTATCATTGAAACATGTACTAAAAAAAACGTGTACCATCTGCCTATAAAAAACACTTTTCTTGTCTCCCTTGGGTGGTCTTTGTAGACAGGTTTCACTGTAGTTATTACCGCTGTTACTGATGATGATAGTGATTATAAAGATGGGATTTATACAGTTGATGCTGATGATGATGCTGATGATGGTGGTGGTGGTGAGGGTGATGGTGGTGGCAGTGGTTATGATAAAGTAACAATTTTGGAGTCTGATACTATGACGATTAAGGTGTCTGGAATGATGTATTAATAATGATACTCATAAATTGATGATAGTCAATGTGAAGATGTTTGGGAATCTTTGTAGTGGAGATAATTATGGACCTAGATATGTTCTGTCAGTTGTCTGGCTGGCAGTGCTTCAGGAAGAATACCATATCACTCCTTCATGGTGTCTTTTATATTTGTATTACAGGACTAGACGGAAGCACAGCTGTCTCTGAAAGAGAAAAGATGATTAACCGATTCAACTCACCTGATAACAAAACAATCATGCTCTTTCTTCTCTCAACAAAGTAAGTCATCATTGTTCTACTAATTAATAAGTTTTTAATGCTGCTACTAATTTCAAGTTATTCCAAGGGATATTACAACTACTAAATATAGTTCAGTTGTGTGAAATCGCTACTAAAGGAAGATGAAACTGTTTTAATTTATTATAATAACAATTTTGTTAAGAAATAATATTTGTTCTTTTGAGCTTTAATCGTTTTAAAGTTTACGACTGAGGAATTTGTTTGTGCCATGTCTCTTATAGATATCTCCTGAGGAATATATACCAAGATCTATCTGATGTTTGAATATAATCAGAGCTAGAAGCCTAGGTATCAATTTGATTGATTCAAACTAAGCAGGTGAAATGAAATTAAATGAAATGAATGTTGAATGAAAATTGAATCTATGATTGTGATCATATTAGAGGTGGGTACTGGCTATTTAAAATGATTCCTCACAACCCAAGTGATAGTCAATTTAGATCAACACAATTCATTTGTCCGTTTATTATGATCAGAGCTGGATGCCTGGGTATCAATCTGATCGGAGCAAACCGAGTGGTCGTCATGGACGCGTCATGGAACCCGTGTCACGATGCTCAGGCGGTATGTCGGGTCTATCGGTATGGACAGACCAAGAAATGCCATGTCTACCGTCTGGTATCAGATCAAACTCTGGAGAAGAAGATCTATGACAGGCAGATCTCTAAGAAAGGAATGTCTGGTAGGTGGAAACACATTGCATACCTATATTCAATGTGTTATAACTAAACTAAGCTATACTATACCACACATGACAAGATATGACATGACAAGCATAATTTTACTGACTTGACAATTTTGTTTGCCACTCAGTGGTACCTTATGATCTTTGAGTGCTCCTGCCTTCCTAAACCTGGGGGGTGTTTCACAAAACTTGTCATCAGTGACAAATGACAGTTTTTGTTATAAGCTAGTGAAATCCTTGCTTCTGATTGGTTATCAGCAGAGTTGTCACTGATTTTTGTCATTTGTCTTTGAAAAAAGGCTTTGTGAAATGGGTCCCTGCCATCTTCTTTGGCCTAATGTGTATTTAATTATTTTATCATCATATTACATGTACTCTTTTTTGGAAAAACATGTGGTACATTAACACTAGAGTTTTTCATGTTCAAAAGGGGAATATTGTTAATTTTCTGTTGCAGTTTGGTGTCAATTATTGTATCTGTAATCACTCCTTTCATGCAGTGTACTGTTATGTCTTAATGCACAGCAGTCTTTAGGTGTGTATGAAAAACAGACATTTAGATTTAAACATTTGCCAAGACTTCTTTCAAGAGTTAGAAAGCCACTTTGATAATCAATGGATGGGGCTGTGAAGAGGTTAACTTAAAGCAGTCGAAATTGTCTAGCACTTTTTGTAAGACGATTAACAAAACCAAAACAATGTTTTTTTCTAGCATCTTAAATTCCAGACAATTAAAAAGGGACACATTTCATTTTTATGTTTCATCTCAGATCGAGTTGTTGATGAGATGAATCCCGAGATGAACCTGACCAAGAAAGAAGTAGAATCTCTCCTGGAGTTTGACGAGACCGACATGCCATTTGAAGACTTCAGTCATCTTGCTCCAGACATCGACGATCAGGTCTTGAAGAGTTTGCTTCTCAAACACAGTAATTGCATGACCAAGGTGAGGAATAATGTCAAAATGTTTGACAATTACCTAATGCTAAATATCACTTGAAGAAAATATAACTGACTAGAAAGCTATGGTAATTAAGACAAATCAATGGGAATCCCTGTAATGAAAGCTTTTTAAAGAAATAGACATGGGCCTTTATAAAGTTTATATTTTCCCCCATATCGCAGCCCTTGCCCTGTATCTGATTGTACACACAACTCAAAAGGGAGCAACATAACCAAGAGTATTAGTAATTAATAACAGAAATTAAAAATATATTTCATTACATCAAACCTCACAATGCTGTATTCTTATAAATACTTTATTATCAAGTCCTGCCTTTGAATTGTATAAATCCCAGTGAGATGTATTTTTTCTTGAATACAATTGTCTGCCTGGAACCAGAAGGGTGTTAACTTTATGTAAAGTAACAAGTTAATGCCCTTCTGGCTCTCAATAAATCAAATATTGAGGGTTCAGTGACACAAAGACGTAACTCCATATTTTGCCAAAATGAGTGTTTGATATTAAAATATTCCCAAAAATGTGGGCTTTCCTTCATAATTCAATGGCTAGTGAAACATAGAATTAACTCTTTAAGGCCCAAGTGGACCTCTATCTTTAAACCACTTTTTCTCAAAATGGCCAAAATGGAGTTACGTCTTTGTGTCACTGACCCGTTGTTATGATGTACACATGGATCGCGCCTTCTTTTGAGAAAAAAATCAAACATTGTTTGTAAACTTTTGACTTTCAGGCACCATTCACCACAGAGTCACTCCTATGGGATCGGAAGGACATGAAGCTGACCAGAGCCGAGAAGATGCAGGCCAAGAAGAGTTACGAGGAAGAGAAGAAATTGAATCTCTCCTACTCCAGACCATCCTACGCAGCGTTCTATCCCAAGGGGTCTGGTCCAGGGGGCATGTCCGTACCTCCTGCAGCTAAAGGAGTACCCAATATGAATTTCAACACAGGACCTGCCTATCCCTACTTGTAAGTTTATTAAAAGAAATGTTTACAAATGATGTATGTATTTAATGCTAACGTGTACACACATTTTGTTTTGTCTTCATGACTCGTATAGATTCAAATAATTGTTATGCTATTGAAAGCTAAGTTTCCCTTTGGCCGCTAAGCTTGTCTAAATAGTGTTTTTATAGATATTGTAATGTTATACTTTGCAAGAACACCAGTTTGAGTTATGTTAGCATATAATACCTTCAATAAAAGTGCACATACATATAGTTCTCTTCATTCATGCATCTATGTATTCAGATATGAATTTCTTTTAGTTTCCATGTGTATCTCTTAGAGGCTGTATAAATGTATTTAAACAAATTGGCAAAGAAAGATTTGTACGTCAGTAGGGATGAGAGTTTACATCTTTTTCATCTTCTATATGTATGTATAGTGTACTATACCTGTAATGGGTAAAAGTGACATAAATAATATTCAAACGTTTACTCTTAGGCCCACGTATATGATTTGTTTATTCAAATTTGGTTAGTGAGGATAATGTGAAGTAATATCTTTAGTGCATGAACTTTGTAATTGACTATTCTTGTGTGTGTTTTGGTACCAGGCCCACATCATTGAAGCAGCCATTGCAGCGACCCGTAGCCAACGTGAGACCAATCCAATCCACCCCTGTACCCAGGCAGCCACCTACACCTCACGAGGTCACTCAGAAGAGAATCAGAGATCTCAAGAATGCTGGTGTCACTCTGCAGCGCATTGTTGCAACCACAAGTAAGACTGGATATTTTCTTTTCCTTGTTAGGTGGAATGACTTTCTTGCCATGATGACACCCTCTCCCTCCATATCTTCTTGTCTTGAGCATCCTCCTAATTAAAACCAACCCTACTGCTTTCTTTCTTCACCATATCTTTCCAAGAAATCTTCAGTCTTCCTTTCCCTCTTTATATGCCATCCACTCTCAGATCCCACAGTCTTTTCACAGGGTCACCATCTTCCCTTTTCAACACATGACCTATCCATGTCAATCCACTTCTCTTTAACCACTTCCACCACAGTTTCTTCCATACCCAACCTTTCCATGAGCTCAATATTGTTCTTTCTTTCGGACAGTTTCACACCGCCCATCTTCCGTACCGTGGCTCTTTCTGTTCTCTTCAAGAAACCTTCTTCTACTGTCATCACATTCTAAGTTTCTGAAGCATATGCTATCGCTGTTCTACCCCAAGCCTTATAAATAGATTCCTCATAAGTAGAATTTTTTGACATGGGTTTGTGTATATGCCTCAAGAAGGATTGCATTGTGTTTTTGGTGTTTTCTTTTCAACTCTATGGATGCCATGGAACAGTTCTTATGATATCTCTTAATTGATAAAAGTATTTCACTTGGAAATGAAAAAAAGTTTGTTAAAACATGTTTTGTTTGTAATGAGCATTAAGCAAACATCATATCCTACCTTTCCTTGACAGATATCATGCTACCAGGTGCCAATACATCTACAGAATCCACCTCCATGATCAGAGCCGGTGATGCAGTCACCTTCATCAAGACCAAGAAAGGCATCTACCTGCGTACTCATGAAGGTAAGATCCTGGCTGTCAGAGGTCCCAACGCAGGACCAGGATCCCTTGGGGCCGTGGCACAGGGAGCCTTCCCCGATGCAACACCATCAGACATGGGTATGGTTCAAGGAGGAGGAGGAGGGGGAGACGCAGGAGCGGGAGCATTGGTGGATGGAGAAGGTAGTGGTAACTATGGTACGCTACCAAACCTTGCCAATACGCAGCTAGGACAGCTATTATCACAGAGTGTCCCACCCAGGCAGCAGAGCAACAGCTTCAGCAACCCGCCTCTCTCTTTACCATCTGAAATCAAACCCAACTTAACGATGGCAGGTATGCCCACTACCTCGGGGATGTTTCCTCCATTTGCAATGTCACAGTCAAGTGATCGTGTCCCTTCAGATCTGGGTCTGCCGTCATCATCCTCCATGTCTAACATGGGCTTTGGTCCCTCTAGGTCATTGGGCTCGTTTCCTCCTTACCCGGTTCCTTACTCCTCCTCCTCCTCCTCCTACACCCCCTCTTACACCCTTGGAAATACATCCACTCTAACCATGGCAACGGATACTGTCATGCACTCTTCAGTTGCTGGGACATCATCTACAGGGGCATTGTCTGCCGGGATGTCGTCCTCAACACTCTCATCGTTAGGAGCCTCTCCATCACTCTCATCTCTAGGAGCCTCTCCGTCATTCCCATCCCTTGGCATGAACTCTACTAGCCTCCCCGAGACCCAGTCCTCCTTCCCTGACCTCTACCAAGACTCCTCTCCCAGCCCAAGCCTCAGCTATCCATCCTTCGGCGATGAATACTCCAATACGAGTCAGGGTCCTCTCGACACCAACCCAACATCATTGTCCTCTAACCTGGAGACCACCTCCATGTCTGGGAACCAAGGGCCGCAAGGTTTAGGGTCCATGTCAAGAGTAGATGAACCCATCTCAACACCCTCCCCCGTGGACAAGAGCAGTCTCCTAGCCCTTGCTCCAAGCCCTTCAAACCCAGTTCCATTCCAACAAGCTGCTAGTAATTCAATTCCAGCAGAAGGAAACCAGGTGAACCCTCTTTCAGACTTGATGTCCCCCTCCCCTGCCATGAGTGGCGGCACACAGAGTGTGAACCTACCCTCGTCTTTACCGTTTCCTCAAATGGAGATGAACTACCCCTACCCGTCCTTGAGTAGGACCAGCAGTGGACCGTCTAACGGTTCCATGGACTCTACTTCATCCCTGATGGACGACGGGTCAGACATCTCCAATCTCTCAAAGTTTGTTGACTCCTCCTTCCCCAATCTCATGCCATTTTCAGGGTCCCTCAATCCCGACTCGGATGCTAGTAGCAGATCAAATATGTCCTAAAGAAAGAGAGTTGGCCTTGGGAGGAATTAGCTATGGAGTATATTGAGAAGTGTGCAATTTACAATTGGAAGATTATTAGGTTATGCAGACTGTTTATAAAAGTGGTAGCAGATTTGCAAACATTTGTAATTAGTAATTATAGCAGTGAATGAAATGCTTCTAAATGAGCTTTATGATGTGAAAATATACAGAATTACACATATGTTCATGTTTTGTGTCTAATATTTGTATGATGTATATTATTTTACTTTGATAAAGCTAACCAGTAAATTCGCGTCAAGAAGGCCTTTACAGGAGGACCTTCGTCTGTTTCATTTTGACCAAAAGACAACCATAAAAATTTCAGACATGTGATAAACAATTCAGAACGGCACAATTCAGAACGGCACAATCATCTCTAAAGAATATTTTTGAAAAGTTTTTCCTTGGTTGAATTTCATAGTGTTGACCAAAATGAGAAGAAAACCTTTGTCAGTTTGTAAACAAATTTATTGATGTTTTTAAGGCTTTTACCTCTTTGAGGCTATGAACCAAACTCAAAAATACGTACTAGATAGTTATACGCTTTCCTTTTAAAGTTATTATTTTCTCCTCATTTGTACAGTACTTATGTGAGTGAAAGAATTTTTTTATTCAACTATTTTAGTAGTATTATCAGAAAATCAATGTTTCTATTCTCCATTGTAAATTTGTCGATATTTGTCTCTGTCTGATGTACCGGTATATTAAGGCAAAGGACAATATGATGTATTACTTTAATACATACAAGGCATATTTCTAAGCTAGTCTAGTAATCTATTACCTGGTGTAAGTAAAATATTTGAAGTATGTTTATGTATTGTTATGTAACTCGGATCTGATGTATTCATATACGGTTGGGCTACCAATATATCACAACTTTCTGATCTTGATTCTCAAGTAGCCATATGCAAGGAGCTTTCCTTGTTATACTTCGGTACTGCTCTTGCCTGTCCTGGTACGGACCATAGATGAGCAGTTTCTATACAAGAGTATCTATCATTTAGGAGATATATATGAGCTTTATTTCACTCTTGTTTACCTTACTAGGTTTTGTACATACTGCTATTTCAAACATATCTAATGGATGATCGTCACAGAACAGTATTTGAATCATGCTTGTGAATATTGGTAAAAGGGATTAATTGTAGCATACTTGTAGTGTTTTATCAGTTTTTATACGATATGCATGTTAAAAACTCTTTGTGCAAGAACGTTTCTTTCTGTGAAAGTGGTATTTTATGGCCTCTTTTTGCCTCTCGCCAATATGTAATTTGAGTCGATTTTTCATTTTTAATCTCAATGTTATATTTGTATTTACTCATTAATTTCCATGATTTCATTTTAAGACTTAGTCCATATTGATCAAGTTGGTAGACAATTTTCTAGTCCCATCAGCGGTGTATTATTCTTCATATCTCCTGTATTATTTGGCAGAAGACCCTACTGAAGTAAACTCTGAAATAAATTTCTCTTTCCTTTTGTTATCATTTTGATATGCTTGTACATGTACTTACATTGTTTAGTGAATATGAAAGTATTTCCTCTTAATGAATATATTAATGTCCAAAGAGTGGTAAATGATATTTCATTCTTTTTTTTAAAAGTACATCTCTATTTATTTAGAGTTGAAATACCTTGAAGTAAAAGAATGCATCATGATTTTGCAGTAAAGTTCAGCTTTCCTTGGAATCAAAATTACTTTGCCATTTTTCTTTTCATTACATTTTCAGATATCATACTTGTTTAAGACCAAGCCCTGAATTAAAAACTCTAAATCAACTTATTCAGTAATGTAAGCAGTATTTTAAACATATACATACTAATGTGATTGAATCCAAATGCCATTACTTAAATCGATTCAAGCAGTTATACATTCTGATACGCATACGGTTTGTTTACAATACAGAAGTCATGTCCAAAGCAATATGATATGTATTTTGTCTCGTGGCACAGAGACAAGCAGCCACTTTGTTTTGTGTAGATATTCAGCCGACAGTAAATCTGAATGTTTGATAATGAAAGACCAAAGGAGGGTTGAAAGCTGTATATGAAACGACACAAAGTTAGCAGATATGTGCTATTACAAGAAGTTTATTTTATCGTCAAATCAAATATTATTTATCGTCTAGTATGAGTTGCTTTCAATCTGAGGGATATGCAAAAAAGCACCAACTGACTTTTCTGTGCAAAGGTATAACAAATATATGTTTTGTTCCATGAAAAACAAAGAAGAAGTTGTGAAGTGCTTAACTTGCCAAATTTGAATAAATGTCCATTATTGATATTTGATTGCCTATTACATTGTTAAATTCAATCACAGCCATATTACCGGTAATGAAAGTAGGAAGTTAAAGGTTAAAAAAAAAAATTTTAGGGCAAATATGGCAGATATTAATTGGAATTGTATATATTCCTTGACTGTATGGTGAGCATTCTCTGAGGATTTGTATGAATTCAGTTACCAGATTGACTTTAGTTTCAGAATGTAGATTTATTACCAACCATATGAAAATTTACAGATTTCATCACAAGATGCAAGGAATAGGTCAAAGCATTCATAAATTCTAATGTCAAACGCGACCCTGCGATATTTCTTTTGTGCCAAATCATACTCCTCCCTGTCGTCGCATTCACAGCTGGTTTTATTTCAGTGAAGGTTATTCGACTTAAATTCATGGCTGAATCTAATCAAAAGCATATTTCTTGCATGAATGGTACATCCTTGCTTGCTGCTATGTCTCAATTATGAATTGTCAGTGTGAGTGCTCTTGTACATGCCACTCTTATCTATATAGACATTATTATGTGAGAAAATCATGTATGTGCTGCTCAATTGTCGAGTAACACCTCGATTACCCCAACGAGACCGACTTTAGGTCAAAAATAAACTGAACGTATGAAATTACATGAACATGAATGGCCATGAATAGGTTGGTTTGGACTCGCAAGTTGTTGATTCGATGTTGTGATGGGGTATAGCTTGTACAGTACGTCCCAGGAAAAACGAAATCGAAAAGTATCGATGTTTGTCATTCCCCGCTCATTTTTCCTGATTGAGGTGTCATATGAAAGGGCAGAAACTCAACTTTCTAGAAATGTGAATTTTTCTTCAAAATTCAGATACCGCATGCCAAATGTCTTTTTGGTTTCCTTCCGTGAAATATGCATTATCTGAGTAGCATCACATGAGAGACGAGACTCTACTCTTTCCAAATATGTATCATTCATTAATTATAGTTGTGATTAAGTTATGATAGAACATCGATACTTCTCGGTTTCGTTTTTTCTGGGGCGCACTGTATATCTAACATCTGTAAACTGCTTTATATTTGAGATCTTCATTAGGTAGTTCTACACAAATATGAAGCCCGACTTGAAACAATTACTCCTAAAGGATACATTTGATAGGTCTTGTTATTTATCGTGGAATCGTTGGCATGAACAGTTTTTGGAACAAAACTATGATGAATCATACAACTCACTTCAAAGAAAGTGTGTGGATTGGGACAATTGTTATGAATTAACTATATTACATTATCAAAAAACAATCAGCTGTGTTAGAATTTCTTTTCAATCATTGAATTTTCACAATTACAAATTTATGAATTCAGATGTAAATAATAATATACAGTTCAACATTCATATGTAGTCTTTTTTTCTTTCTTTTTTAAGCTAAATTATTTGTATGATGAATGTTTGATTGTCATGTGATACAATGTCAATGTCTTCTGTATTGCTTCGGCTCAAAGGAGGGAACTTTTATGAATAAATTATTCCTTTTTCACAAGACATATTTTTGCCTCTCAGCAAGTGTTATTAATACATGTATTTAGTTTACTCTATTTTGTTTAATTTTAAGTATTTCATCATTCATGTAGTCTGCAACAGTCTGAATATGCTTAGTGAGCAACATGGATGATACAATTATTTATTTAAATCAGTTTCCTCTAGTACCTCATCTAAAGACTATTGTGCATTTTATACATGTACCGGTACATGGTTTATTTTTTTCAATAGGCCATTTTGGGAATGTAACCAAATTTGTACAAATTATTTCATTCACCCAATACAAACAATTGTATTTGAAAAGTGATAATGCAAGTTGCATATATCATGTGTTGCTAGGTAGGATAAGTCATAATATTTGTCCTACCTAGCAACAACTAATTTACAGGTTTGCAATGCACATTCTGACTATCAAGATATGTTTATTCGTAGCAGGTGAATGAAATAATTTTTATCAAGGCATATGCATAAATTTGGTTACATTACGAAAATGGCCTTTTACTTAGGTTATCGCTACTACCTTCTGCAATGAAAAACACAGTAAATACTTGCAAAAGAAAAAAGCAACACAGACAGAGGTGATGTATGTGATAATTTCATAAAATGTTTATTTAACAACCCCAACAGGTACTCTGTACAAGTTCATGACACAACAACAGTCATTGCAATGTCAGACTCAACGGACATCATGTCATAATTACCATCTCATAGACAGACAATAAATAAGAAAACAAAAACTACTAATGCCATCGATGAGTGAGACAAAATTGGAGGGGGGGGGGGAAGTTTGAAAAAGTCATACAAATTGTAATTAACAATTTCTATTATACAGAAGATATAAACCGCACGTTGTTGATGCATTTATGACCACAAATAGAAATCTATCACATGAAAGTAGAGCTTTCATTTCATGTCATTACCTGAATGTTTCACCTAAAATCATTTCATGTGAATTTGTGGTCAAGAGTGCTGCCCTGCTGTTTTTGCTGTTCAGGAACATCCCCAAAAAGTTTGAACTTCAGCTTAAAACCATACTCGACGTCAATGATATGATGCCCGCCCGATGTCTGGCCGATGTGTACATATCGACCGGCGTCCCGCCACTTATCCTGGGGTTACCCAGCGGGCCCCTTATAGGCATCGGGCGTCGCACATTCATGTAAAATCCTTAGACTCAAAAGAAATGCCCCTTTCTCGCACGCCCTTCTCTACAGCGAGGTGAACCGGGCATTCTACACACAAGTACATACATGTACATCAACTAAAAACAGTACCATATGTGTATGAGCAGTAAACTTGTATCCGCATATATATGAAGATGTTAATAAAAAGAGGCAAAAGATTAAATTAAATTTTAAAGTATATTCAACACTTTATGTTCACCATCAGGAAAGTAAACAACTAATTGTCAGCCATTTGTGAAAATAATTCCTTTACATCTGAATCTAGTTTTCCACTGCTCTGCTCCCTTCTGTCTGCTGTGATAGAAAATAAAAGTTCCTGTCTTATGCCCAAGTCACATTTAAACGTTGACGTGTTCATGATTAGTTCAGGGCTGATGTTCGACTGATGACTGCCCGATGTCTGCCGATTGCCCGCCACTTATCCTGGGGTTACCCAAGCGAGCCCTCTATAGGCATCGGGCAGTGTCCATTCATGTCAAATCTGTCACCTGATTTATCTCCAACCTCCACATATCGCACAATGCCCCAAAATCTGGCACATCGCCCGACGTACGGTTAAATGTGACAGAGGCATTAGGCATGTATTGAGGGCCACCTTTTGAACACTTTTTTCCTTAAAGACCAAAAATTGAAAACCGAAAGGCACTTGCGTATGACATCATCAGACTAAACATTTAATTTATTCCACCCGCTCAACCCTCCCATACGATATCCTGATGCAGCTCATATAATTTGTGATAAAGGCTCTCAATAAAACCCTGAATATCTAAAATACATTGCATCCTTTTCACATAACATTAGGTTTATATTTATAACCATTAACAAAAGGATAAGGATACATTGATAATAATTCTTTCCTAATTAACTCTTTGCTGCTTAGGTCGACAAATGGAACAAACAGGACTGCCATATTTGACCTTTGTGACACATACAGTGCACATATATCCTATACCTTATAATCAATGTAGCACTCTAGGGTTGATACATGGCAAATAAAAGAGTTATAGCTGCAAACAGATGTTTACTTTCCAGATTTAAAAGTTAAAGTTAGTATATGTGGTTGCCCCCATATGTTAGTAGTACATTTAAGTTATCATATACAATTCAAGAAATAACAAGAAAGGATGTATTAGGTTGAAATGCTAGCTTTTCTGCAGTTATTCATATGAACAATTTTTGGAAGCCCAGCATCTTTTTTCTCTCCTACCCCCAAAAAAAAAATGAGTAAAAAAAAAACAACTAATGCTAAGGGTATTAAAAGTTCTTTATACAGAAAATATTATGGGTACACAGAGAATTAAGTAACACAATTTTGATAGATGGTGTAAATCAGATTCAGTTGTAGGAATTTAAAACCATTATTCGATGTCTCGGTTTCTTTCAGGTCATACAGCTCAACTTGGGTCCTATTCAACATACAAAATGATAACATCAATAGCACAATTCACTCATCAATTGCTTGCACAGTATTTGTTCACAACGAAAATCAACAAATGCAACATAAAACTATGTGGACTATGGTTTTCTGAAAGAGCTGAAGTTGCTGGGTTGCTCACACACACACATCAAAATTAATTTTCAGCAAATAAATAATAGATGGTATATATATATGTATAGGTGAGTCCAACATACAATGTGTACACAAAACCGCAAATGATATTCACACATAGGTCACAATGATGTCATACAATATATATTAAAAAAAAGAAATTTCCCCCATGATTATTTTCCATATGCTAATGATTAAGAAATATAAGGCCATTTACCAACATGAATAAGATACATCAATAATAATAATAATAACTAAGCAATGATTTGATGATTTTCTACAGCTCGTGAGAAATGCGTAGATGAATACAATTGGGAGAGCAAGTCTGCAAGCATTAACAGTGGGAAAGAAAGATCTGATTTATCATCTTTAGTACAAACCTATCTCATGATAATGTTGCAAATCTCTGATGAACTGGAAATATCTTTTTCATGCTTAATGTATACATCAGCCTAACTTAACTATTGCACTGTAGGTACTACTCCGCTACACTCTATGATATAGGTGCCTTGATCCTCATTAAATTCTAAACTGAATATAAAATCTAAGTTTGTCAAATCACGCTACGGTTTACTGGCTAGTCATACAAAAAGAACAACGATAAATCTTTCAATCAGACATAAATTTTACATGAAGGGGAGATACCCCAGCCAATGGGTCAAGCAGCACCAAATTTGAATTGATATTCTGTGGTTCCATAATCTGAGATACATTTCCATCAATTTGTATCTACAATAAAAAGATTTAATTCATCACAACGTTTGCATCAATATATCAAAGACTGAAGAAAGATATACTCTCATCCATTTTCTGCTCATCGTAACAAGAAACTACACGCATATATTTCTCGGTTTCCTTCTCTTATCCATTAATCTTATCGAATGAAGAAAGGTTTTAGGTTTTCTTCTTTTCATTCAATAATAATGGTTGAACAAAGGGTGAATCCTAACACTAGGATAAGTGTAAAAGCTTTTTTAGAATTGATGTAAAATTGGTGAGTAAAATTTAAAAGAATAATCATATAAACAAAATATAAAGAACAAAATGAAATAAAAGAATAGGAAATACTGAAAAATAAATTTGCAACATTTGGGAAAAGTAAGACCAAGAAAAAAGCATTATAACTTTGGATAGAAGAAAATGCAATATGGAAGGACAATGGATAAGAGAATTACAATGTAGTTTCTATCATAAAAAGAAAGTGTTGAAAAAACATTCAAAAAGGAAAGAAATCAAGAACAGGGGGTGATTGATTATCGTAGATGTCAGAAATATTTCATTCTTTTGTCTTTCATATTAAAGACGTGATAAGAGCACTTTTATTTCCCTATACATACATAGACAGTGATTGCAAACAGTTTCAACATGAAATTTGGGACTTTGAGGGAGTACGGTTCTGCCAATTGATGTATCAAATTATTTTTCTGCCACACAAGTAGAGATTCTTTATAGTCTTTCTATTCATGCACTAACATTAAATTTAAACCTCAAATGTGTGACTGGTGAAATATAATTAATCTGTTTGATGATCATAAATCATGACCAGTGAACACACAGCAGCACTCACCAATAATGTCTGAACATACCTACTTACAGCCAAAATGTGCGTAAACTCTGTGTGTTACAACACCCTTTGACACTAAGCACCCTTATGGTTCCAAACAGACAATTTGAATAAATGATTTTAAAAGTTTCTTCATTCTGGATTTGTGACAGTGCAGTTGGTAAGAGATAAAGAGTTTTGACTAAAGTGTATATCCTACTTGAGGACAGACATTCTTAGCATATGCAGACGTTTCAGAAATGATTGTGTTTGATCCCACAAACTACATCAAAAGCTCTCAAAACTAAAGACAAAAACATGCTTTTCTTTTTATTAAATATCCTATAATTAAGAGCAAAGACATTAACTGGACCTGATAAAGAAACAAAAAATGATATCATTCTTTACAAATAATGCATATGTTACTATGCTCATGATTAGGTAATGACTGTATATACCTTTTATATACAATCTTTTCATTAAAAAATTTCATTTCATTTTCAAAATGTATAATCACATATATACATAATGGTGATGATATAAAATTGTGGTATTACAGTGCACCAGGCATGCGTATACATAGCAAACTCCACATCGAGGAGCCTTTCTGTGTATATACAAATATATATCTACAACAAATATATATTTGATTCGTGAGATAAGAACAATACAAACGATTCAGTACCTTGATCTAATCTTAAAATACAACTCTGCAAACAAGATTGAGAATGACAATACGTACCTGACATAGACTAGCTGACACGTACATGCCTTGCTCAGTTCACAACACGTCTTCTATTAATCTCCATTAGATTGAGATAAAAATCTATATTTCTCATTGAATTTGACATTCTTCACACATCATTATACCCTTCTAGAATCTATAATTATGATACTGTAATACAAATCTGGCACATTTAGCATCCACCATGTGAAATTAATCAATCAAACAAAATTTAGTCATGTCCAAAATCACTGCTAGCTAGACATGGTAGGATTACTGAGAGGCATCAATAGACTATCGTATAGTTCTTGATGATGTCAGCACTGGGGATCACTTGAATATCAAATGTATCTACAGACGTCATCGCTGATTGCCAACAGACTTGTACTGATCAAGCCGAACGGCCGGAGCTACCACGTCGTCCATCCATGATCTAATCCACCATACATAGAGAGTTGATCTATAGCGTTGATAACACAGCACACAACATGACTATTTACATCTTCATAGAAAAAAAACAAAAGTGGTCCTACAGACGAGCTGCTGCTATAATGTAGTCACATAGAGCACCCCATGTTCATCAGCCTCTATTGTTCCCGACTCTGTATCGCTGTCTGCCTCGCGCCCCGCCCGCCTTCCACCCTCCTCATCGTCATCATCGTTAGTCCGATCGTGACCCCCCGACCTGCGCGTGTAGTCCCGCAGCTCGTAGCCGCCCAGATGGTCAAAATACGGCAGCTGGGTGTCCTGGGTGACTGTCGTGGTTACAACGGGGACGTTGGCCAGCTTGTCCTTTGGGAAGAGGATGCGATGGGCAGCAGAGTCCAGCTGAGCCTGGGTCATGTTACAGGCTTCGGCTAACTCACGTTCGGCCATGTTGATTAGGTCCCTGTCACGAATGGGCGAGATGCCTTCCCCTGCTAGCACCTGAAACAACGTAGAATGCAAGATCACATATTAGTCCCATGTATTCTACTGATTATACATGCTATTAATTGCAAGAAATATACTATGTTTTGACTCAACTAAAACTTTTTTTAGTTTTTTTGCATATTATTTAACAATTATCCAAATCTTGTAGCTTTCCAGTTTTTCAGTGCTTCGTAAAAATTATAATGTGTAAGGAATTTAATACAATACAGCCATAACTTTCACTTGACTGAATATTCTGCCATATTTGTGGTTAGAATATACCACATTTTCTTAGTTTTACACAACATTGTCAAAAATAGGATAGAATTAAGTTAAGTTAAATTATTTCCATTATAATCATTGTTGAGAGAAATCACATTAGGAAAATGAAAATATGTTTTCTAAATCAATCATATTATAATTGAATCAAGTGTATTATATGAAAATTCATTTCCATTGGAAGTACAGTCAATCCTGTCTTAAATCACTCTAGCAAATTTACTGTAATTTTCTGAATGTGTGGAGAGAAATTATACATTAAAAATGCAAAGCAAGGCATAATAGCATAGGTTTGCATTAATCTTTTGAACATTTCATCAGCAAAGCTTCAATGAATGCATGCATGTAAAAAGAAAAATCAGGCAGTATAAATAACAAAATAACATGGAGTGCACAAGTGCTTCAAGAATTTATCAATAAGATAATGTTTAGAAACTGTTAAGCTCAAGTGCGATAAAGTAATAATGCTCTCCCCGAAGTGAATGTAGATACACGTAAAATTCCCAGGTTTGAAAAAATAGACCATGTTTTACTTTGTCTACATTATTTTCATTTCAAACTGTTGATATTCCTGCGAGGACATAAAGAGAACCTACTCAGCTTCCTACAACACTTTTCATAGTGTATGATAATTCCTGCATTGGAATACAGTGTTAGTTGATCTCAATACAAAACACAGTGCACTAAAAATTTCAAAATTGATTGGAACACGATGAAGACAAATTCCTGTCCCCTAATGGCTGCACTTCTTGCTTCTTGATGATGATTTCACACGCTTAAAATGCATTGTTATGAACGCAGAATCTGTAAATGATTTTTATTCAAATTTATAGAAGGCGAGGTGTATTTTTCATGATATCCCACATCCCATGACAATGTGTAGAACAAAGAATTGACGGTGAAATAGAGATATGATAGTATATGATTTAGGATGGGATGTTTGGTGTTGGGAAGCAAAAAGAGAACAGAGGTGATGTGATACATATTGATATGCATCAATTTGTAAACTTCCTTATAATTCTACCTGTAAAATTGAGTGATTTTACTAATGTCGTCCACAAACGCAATTCGGAAGACAAATTTAATTATTTTAATCTGCATGGTTGATCTATACTACCATGAACTAAATGATTATTTTTCAGAGTAGAAATATTCATGAATATTCATGAAGTGCATATAATTCTAGTGAATGAATTCCAATACAAGTACAAAACATGATCGTATGTATATCGTGGAAGATTATACATCTCAAATGTGAGATATCAATGATTAGAGGATGAAATGACGATAAAACAAATCATGCATGATGTCAATGAAGAAAACCTGAATAATATAAGTCTGACAGGTTTGGTTTATGTTGAATAATATTTGTAATACCGTAGTTGGATCGAGTACTGTGATAATTTTTCCTAATAACACAGTTTATACCTGTATTAAACATACTTCTTTTAATTATAAGCATTCAACAACAATGAATCAGTACTGAATGAAGGATCATTATAAAAGACAAATGTATTCAGAGAGGCTTACAGTGCTTTCAAATCTGCTTTAAATATGAATCTCAAAATTGCATATTAGTGAACACATTAAAGTATCATTTAAATCATTCTATATTATGATGCTGCTTTGATCAAAAGTGATATGATAATGAGTGGTAAAATAGCTAAGAAAACAAACACAAAGTAAAAATATTTTTCATTTAAAATCAAATTCATGAAAAAATTATGACTTCATTGAATTGAATTGTGAATTTACGCATTCAGCAATACAAAATAAATAAATAAATGCTTCTTTTTACACTAAACAATAATAAATTTGCTTAAAACTTTACCACTGTTCTTAATGGAAATATTTATGGTAGATTCAAGCATTTTCATTCATTTTTACTTTAAAATGTTAAAAAGAAATATGCTAATTAGGAATTGGATTTTTGAAAATGCTTCAATATACACCATTGATTCTTTGCTTACAATGCACATTACAGTAGGCAGTGGAATACTTAAAAGACCTGTCAGTAGTGAAAATGCAATATAGATGAATTATATATCAACAGAAATCTTATAAGCTGTAGTGATCCATACACCCATTTATTGTGGGGTCAACAAACTTTCGGAAATTGCAAGATATCGGCATTTCCTTCTTTCATTTATATCGGCACTTCCTTTTTGTCTTGTAAATTACCTCGCACCTGCGATATGACATTTGTGGTCTCCATGGTTTGTTTTTCTCTAAGCGCCAATCACGGCGTTCCATAGTCTTGTGTTTTTTAGCTAGCAGCGTGATTATCGCCACTCATCCCGTATGTACTCATCAGAGCTACACGTGTCTACGGTTTTAGTCATTTCCTTACTTCATACATATCGCGTACGATTTTTGCGACGTTGTATTTTTCTCGGTCTATTTAATCGTCTGCGGTAGTATTTCTTTTCTTCGCTGGATTAAATACGAGTCTTTATTTGTTTAATTCGCCAAGTAGGCTATTCATTCTTTTTCCTTGGTTTACGCTTGGGCTAGCCAGAGGCAGCCATTTTGTTTCTGAGCACATCTTATTATTGTATATATATTCCTGATAGTTTCGGTTTTCGTCGAAGCTTCCGATAAGATTGTGCATTTGCCTTGTTGAATTGACAGAGTGTTTCATCGTCGAGACTACGTAGTGAATTCGTCGAGAAAACACTTCAAGTTTTGGATCATTTCCAGTCTCCTTACTTCCAGTTTTCTTAGTTCCTTATCGGTGAGTTTAAATTTCATTACCACTTTCTTTTCTCACGTCTTTTTAGTTGAACCTGCACTATGGTTCTACAAAGCCATAGATGACATTAGAATACATTATATGCTAGTTTAGTGTCTGTCAAACGAGTGACAGCTCTCAGAAAATACGAAATCTAAAGCTCTGAAAATTGGTAGTTGTCGACCTAAAAACTAGCAATTGACTTGATGCCATCATCTTATGTGGAGTACGCATATTCACAACGACTTTGCATTAAGCACTGCTAATCGCCTCAACTATATAGGTGAGCCGATTGGGTCCAAATGTTATATTTGTATTCTAAACACATTCGTCCAGCTTTTCGTCGATACAAAGTTGTATTTTCATCAGATAGGGTCTTGATACATTCAAGTTAATTCTAATAACTAAATAATCTGAGACATACATTTCAAAGAAACAATCTAGTTCTACATGAATCCTTATCAAATACCAAATATCAGTATCAAATTATGCATGCTATGATAAAAGTTTCTTCTTATCAAAAGCAACTAATTTTCATTCCTACAGCTTTATTAAAACATTTTTGTGTACATGTACTTTATGAGACTAAGCTGTGATGGATTAATATGCAGAAAACAAACTGTACCTGGTTAATTTTCAGAACTATGTGAGAAAAACCACTCATATTTTCTACTTTACTGTGAAAAAATGCATGAATCAGTATATTGTAATTCCACTCATGATTAATGCTTTTAATCTTTAACTGACTACATGATGAGATTATGAAGTCAAACCATGCATAGTGATAACATTTCAATCAGCTAAATATTGCCATGAGCTTAAAACCTTTTAATTTCACACACACACACAAAAAGTATTAAAAACAAAAAGCCTTTACTAAATTGATGGTTATAGTATAATCTTTGCTTGTTCTATGAATTAATAAGTAGGTCATGATAAAAAGAACCATATTGAAGTACAATGATTTACATAAAGTTTTGTTTTCTGTCTTTTCATAGTATTCCTTCTCAATTTCGATGAGAGTTCATGATGTACCGATATGTTTGAACTCTCAATTCAGTAATATTTATTTCATTAAAAGAGTGAGAAAGCCAAAAAATTATTCCACTGCAAATTTTTAAAAAATGCCCCCCCCCCCCCTTCCCCCACAAAAAAAGAGAGAGCTGATTGCAATGTAATTGTTAGGACATGACATCATTCCTTCAAACCATTCAGTGAAAATGCAGTCATCCTCAATGCTAGAATATATGAGAATATCTAGTTTAAGATACAAACCAATCACTTCATGACATAATACCTTTCTGCTTTTTGTTTGAATTGGGTTTGGGTTTGGATTTGTTTAAATCTTTGGAAGTGGATGTAGACTTTGACTTGGTTGCATTGGATGCACCCTGTCAAGAAGGAGAGAGAAAACATGCCAAAGAAAAACAAACGGAAATGTCATCTTGATTGGAAGACAAAGCTTGATCGTCTGCACAATGTTAGTCATATCTGCTTCTTACTTTAAATAGATATGTGTCGTTACTAGAAGGAAAGCAATGGTTATCTCCGTTTTAAAATGAGGACCTTAATAATTGAGCCATGCAGTGCTTAATTGTCATTGAAAAGATCCTGGGAGGGAACAATAAGTGACTGCTAGTTTCACTTCTGTCATGTTCAACAGTTCAAATCTCATGTTCTTTTTCTATCTTAAAGGATTCTTAGAAATTGTGAGCAAATAACACAACCCTAGATACTCTGAAAATCACATGCTGCAAGATTTGTTTTTTTTTGTTTTTTGCAGTGAAAAGTTCAAGTAAAGATATTACATTGTGAGGAAAATCAAGTGAGGAAGATTTTGAGAGCTCAAAGAGCAAGGGAATAACGATTATGATGTAATTTTACAAAGTAGAAGACACCTGCAAGAAAGAATAAAACAACACATTATGGACAATTTGTATCAATATGAACCATTGATTACAATTATGTGTACAATGTCATTATTACCTGGAGTCAGACAAAAGTAAATGTACTCACTGTATGCAGCTTGCTAATAAATAACCAGCCACAAAGGTAGAGCTTGAGATACAACTTAACTAAAACTTTAAACCTTAAGTACTAGCAGGACTAAAAACATAAAATCTTTCCAAAAATCTTTTTGGATAAAACTTAAATATCCCATTCTCAATAGCTGCAAAAATAAAATATATCTGCTTCAAATCTTGAGAAAAAGAAAGATGTGGAGAAAAAGCAAATAAAATAAAATCACAAATAAAACCATGCAAAACAAAAAACAAAATATAAAAAGCATGCAAATCTGATAAATGAATAAAGCAAAATTTGTTGGCAAATGTTTCACAAGTGACACTTAATTAGGGGGTGGTTATATAGAAGAGAGGGGTGGCCTTATATACTCTACCTGAGCTACTAAACTCTCTGCACTACCCGCTACTTCTTCTGGACTGGGGTTATTTCTAGGCACAGATGTCTTAGGTTTGGTTAGTGACTTGAAGAATGCCGCAGAGGGATCGCGCGATGTCCCGATCTCCCCGGTGGAGTGCCTCTGCGCCAGAGGCTCCTTCACCATCATGTGAGTCGACGTCGAGTTGGACGTCGATCCCGTGGTGGGGAGGAGATGAGAGCTCTGGGTGGTGGGGCGGGGTGCAGGGGTGTGAAGGGAGGAGCGGATCCGGCGTGGGGAAGAGGGGGGTGTGAGCCACATTCGTCCCGTCGAGTTGCGCGTCTTGCCCTCGGGTGTCATACCGGCCACTGCCATGACCTAGGAAAGATAGAGGGGGTAAGGATCACGGCAAACCATCACATGCACCACTGCAACCACACATACATACAAACACACAACAATCAAAAGAGAGTTGCTTCTAATTATCTCTGGGACTAGTTAGAAGAAGATTGACTCGAGAATTAAATATTACAGGACTCACAAATATATGGGAAGAACATCATAGGTTAAAGTTGAATATTGTTTTGATACAGTTATCAGTACTAAATAGAATATTAGTGCTAATTATTAGTTCCAGAAGAGTCCTCTAAATACACATTCAGGATTAGTAGTTAAAAGCAGTTATAGACTTTAAAATGATTTCAAAAGTATTCATCTGTATCTTCTAAATCAAATTCTCCCATTTAAAAAAAATATCACTTGTTTGCTTTTGGAAATGGACTGGTCTTTGATGGTTACTTTTGATTTCTTTTTTAAAACTTTTTTTTGTATTTTAGCTCAAACTATTTTGTGGAGTAAATTCCAGTGAAATTTAAGTTGAGAATGAGATATGTTATGATAAAATGAAATGCCAATTAATATATTTCACCCAACCCTTGTTGCAATGGAGTAACTTTAAATCAACTTGGTCCAAATTCACATATTGAAGAAATGGCATATGATGTCATGCCAATCAACAAATTTCACCCAACCCTTGTTGCAATGGAGTAACTTTAAATCAACTTGGTCTAAATTCACATATTGAAGAAATGACATATGATGTCATGCCAACCAATGATAAACAGGACATGTTCATGCTCCATCCATTCATTCATTCAGGCTTGATAAAAGGATAATTGATCACATGCACTGGTTCTCAGCCTTACGCAATGATTTACTTTGTATGAATGACGGAGTGCAATTTCACAGAATCCAACACTTTCACCAAACAAAGAATGACGGTTTCATGTATCACCTTGTCTTATAAACCCCCTTACCAAATGGAGTATTAGTGAAACAAAGTGATAATGAAGGCTACAACAGGAGGGCATTTCACAAAACTTGTCATCAGTGACAACTGATAGTTTTTGTTATAAGCTACTGAAATCCTTGCTTCTGATTGGCTATCAGCAGATTTGTCATTGAAAAAAGGCTTTGTGAAACGGGTCCCAGATGTACATATGAACGAGAAATCACAGTAGTCTATTAATAGAAAGAGAAATACGAACTTTACATTGAAAATATGTGTAGAGGATGAGAGGAAGTGAGCTAGGACATGACTCTGTAACAATAAATGGCTACTAAAGTACACATAATCAAAACTAGCTGTCTAGATTACGGTAACAGAATAAATTCAGAGAACTAAGTACTAGGGGGTATAATCTCTGAAGTATATTTGAATTTTCGAGTGAAATGTGGCAAGAAGACAGGCTGAAAGAGCAGAATTTGACTTCGCTTTTTTGCAACATACATCATTGATAAATAAGAAGAGCTCCTCACAGCGACTGCACATGAAAATAACATACGGTATAAGTTGGAAAATAATTTGTTATTTTTCCTAAAATCAAACATTGAAACAGTCAAGGACACCAGTAACTAACCTGTGCCTGAGCTAGCTTGAGAGGCACTGCCGTCTTTCGATCCCCTGCAGGCACTAAACCATCTGATTTGCCAGAGGGCAGCAACAGTCGTCTGCTTGGTGAACCGGCGGGTGACTTGCGGGGGCTGTGGGTCACACTTCGGCTCCCTATACTCTCACCCTCAAGCTTTGGAAGACTTGTTTCGGTAGGTGATGGCACCGTCGTGGAGAAGTCCAGGGTGAGCTTGGCCGGGGAGGGGGAGGGGTGGTTACTGGAGTTCTGGTGAGGGGGTGGGGTGGGGCTGTGGCCACGGGATGATGAAGGGGATCGTTGAGGGCTTAGGAGGGGTGATGTAGGAGGATGAGATGAGGTCTCTGAAAGGTTGTCCTCATCTTCCTCCTGGTAACACTCTGTTCTTAGGGTGGGAGGTTCCCTAGGAGAGAGAGATCATACAACAATAAAAAGTTAAATTATATTCATCGTCATTCATAATGAGCAGAGACTTGGAGATCAATCTTATTTTTTTCCAATTAAGTATATAACAATTTTTTCAACTTCCTAAAACCTGAATAAAAATACAGCTGAAACATTGACTTTTTTCCACACAGAAAGTTGTGTTATTTTTTAATGTTGATATATTTTGATATCTAATATACAAATGATAAATTTATCCATTCACGTTTGGTCCTTATTCTAAACTATCTATAACAACAGATTATACTTTTACCCGGTATTCTATTAATATTTTGTATTCAAAATGTCCATTACTCTTGGCTAGAAAAGTGCTGTAAGCGTATTATGGTCATTAAAGGAAATTCAAAGAAATATCAATATCATAATACCATGCTTTTTTAATAAAGGCTTTTATTCTATGACTATTGCATGTTAGTTTATAACCTCATTTAAGGGCAATATCAAGAGTTAGATAAAATATGGGAGTAAACAATATGACAATTTGACCTTGGTATCATCATGGAGTTACCATGGGGAGAAACATATATATATAGCTATAAATAATGAAAGAATGGGACATTATATGTTTCAAAATAAACACATTTATAACGAATCATCAAAATATGAAAGATTAATTCTTTCTTAAATAAATGGTCACATATAAACATATATACAGAAAAGGACCCCTAAAATGTGATTTCAGACTTGGCAGTAATAAATGTATTATGTATGTTAAATAGGGACATTTCACTATTACAGAAGTAACAAAGACATTGAGTACCAGGTTTGTTATTGAAGTACTGAATTTGTATTATTTGTGAATATAATGGACAACTTAATGGTAAATATTTAGATGGAAGCTATATTGGGATATATGAAACATCTCTTAAAATATAGATATCTGTGATGTAATATCAATCATATTTTGAAGCTTATTTGTATTTCATATGCAATTTCATCATCATTTACTACACTTACAATATACAGACCACATATGAATTAGTATCACGAAATTTGAAATTATACACATACAAAATGGTAAAGATTGTAGTATTATAACATCACAACATTGATGTACTACCAACCATGATAATACATACTCATAAACAGTGTAGAGGCTTCATAAAGTGAGTGAATACGAAGATACAAATTATGAGAATAAATGGTAGTACTGGTAAGATCATACTACCTGTATAAAGTTATTATAATATATGCCCAAGCATCTTTGCATTCAATGCCTTTACTTATGGATTTATTCATTTTTAATTCCTGCTTCAGAAGAAAAGGAAAATATTGAGATTTCAAATTTGTTTTAGAATTATGTTTTAAATCAATCAAAACAAACTGAAAAACAGCCATGTTTCAAATGCATAAATACTCAAACAATGCATATATGAAAATGAATTTTTAGGCCATACATGTGTATACCGGTATACATCAAGTAATCAAGTATTATAAACAAACCCCTTTTTAAAACTACGATTCAGTCTACCTGTAGCATTTATACCTAATGGAGAAAGATAGGCTAGGCCATCGGATAGAACTTCAGTTACTTAGATAATAGTATTGCTTGCATAGAAATAAGGTAAAATAAATTATCACATTATATAAGAACTTTCAAAAGGCACATTTGATGGTTTGTACCTTTCACTGAAGAAAAAAAACTTAAACCATATTTAACACCTTCTCTGTTATAGGAAGTAAAAAAATTGCTCTTTTTAGGCTAGACTTATCATAGAAAACATTTACATTCTTGAATATGATTTGCAGGTCACAGCATAAAAAGTTCAACTTTCATTTGAACTTTCTCACAGTAACTGCAACTGCAAGAAGTGGAAGAGCTTGGTTTGCCTGCAGAGAAAGTGAATCTAATAAAAAGCAAGTAATATCAAATGAAGGTCGATTATGAAGATATAGTGCAATTAAAAGGTGGTTAAATAGGACTTCAAAGCACTTCTAATTTCAAAGCAAGCAAGAAAGAATGAATGTCGGTATGTGACAAGAGGGAATCAGTAGTTCTCACCTTGAGTAGTCCCTATAGGGTTCTCTGTAAGGCTGTTGGTATGGTTCTGGTTGATACTCCTCATCTACTACCTGTGGTGAAGATGGAGCCTTGGGTTCTATCTCCTCCACATCATCATCATCATAAGGCGAATCAGGGGAGTGATGATGATTGTTGTTATGATGATGGTGGTGATGACGATCTTCATTTTGGAGGAGGGGTTGTCTGCCTTCTTTTGTGCTGGAGGAAGAGAAAGAAAAATTATTATTTGCTAGATTTTTGCTTTTCAAGAGATGCTGATACAGACTACTGTAAAAATATAAGAACTTTCTCCTACAAGCTTTTACAATATCTTAATTTTAGAGGAAACTTGTCTAAATAAAATCATTAAAACTGTAAAGGTGTAAAATGATATAAAACGTATTAACAGGTAGTTATAAGCAAAACTCAAACAAAGATAGTTTAACCCTTTATGTGCCACTTTTGCTAAATGGTACAAACAACGGTCACAAATGTCCATGTATTTTGTAATGACCCATTCCAGATTGTAAATGCATGTTCAAGAAACAGTAAAGATACTTTGGAATAATCTTTACATCATTTCACTGGAACCATAATTTTCTTATGAAGTATTCGTTTTTATTTAAATCAAGAAATGAGGCCCAAGGGATATCTCAAAATATGGCGCATTAAGAGTTCTAAGGTCCTTCTTCAAGTAACACTTCTTACCTATATCTATTGCCAGGCCCTCTGTTATTGGGCATGCCCCTCCCTCCGGGATTCCTGTTACCGACCGGTGAGAAGCCTCTGGTATGGGGCGAGGACACCTGGAGGGAGTTGGCGTTGGGGGAGTAAGGTCCGCCCCGTCCCCTGATGGCCGATGGAGACTTGGAGGAGGACATGTTGAACGGGGACTTGTTCTGAGGATTGTGGTTGTAGTTGTTGAGACTGTTCGCTGGAGACAGCTTGCGGTGCTGGTTGGACGGAGGCGAGCTCACCAGGTTGTTGGTGGCGTTGTTAGGGTAGTAGGCTGGAGGGGGGTCCCGACCCTGGTAGTGGGTGTTGGCCATGGGGGTGGACTGACGACGGTTGTGGTACATGTTGAGCACGGTGCCAAATAACGAGTGACTCCGCTGTGGACGTTGAGATAAAGACAACATCAATCATTACCTGAAAAGTCTCAGATACAACATTTTCTTACAGTAAGATGAAAAACCACAAAGAAGGTACAAGATAGAAAGGTTAGAAGTAAACAAAAACACTATCATAGGAATAAGAAGGGGGATTCTCTTTTTATTTAATGACATTGTTGTTGTTGTTGTTGTTGTTGATATACAATACTGTATTATTTGAAAAAGGCAAGCAATGAGAGAATGTACCAATTCTTCCCAGATTTCTACTGCTCAGCACAATAAAATATGAACAACTGTTCAGCAACATTCAAAACATAAAAAACAAATTCTTGGACCCAAAAAGCTTTGAAAGCAACCAATATTTAATGAGAACTTACCCTATGATTTGGTTCATCATGCTCGAACTGTTCATTCTCATCCATGCCTTCCAGATTGCCTGATATAGCCCTCTTGATCTGTGGTCCAATCTCATGCAGAGTTCTTAATCCAGCCTGGACAGTTTCAACAAATAAACACAAAGAAATGCACACTATATAATACCTCTTATAATGGTAACATCTATTAAAGGTTTGTTGCCTAGAAAGACTAATTATTCTTACTCTCTCTATATTGTTTTATATTTTCTTTCACATGTTGAGAGAAAAAATTGTTAATGCCATGGATGGCCCTTTTACATAATTTTCAGTAAATTTGTAAAATCCATTCGTTTATGTCAGAAATATTACCAAAATATGTTCTCCTACCTTTTGTTCAAATTTTCATTATTATTTCACTCCTGGCTACTAACAATATTTGAAACCATCAAGTTTTCTTAAAAGTAACTTGAATCAGCTCCCAAAACTTTAACATTAAATAAACTCTACATTCTATATTGATAATAAATCATTTGTTTAATATCTGCATCTGCATGCATTTGGATGACTTTTAGCTACTTTTTGACAGTTATCCTTTGTTATACTGCAAACTAACCTGAAGTGCAAAGGTGCTGTCTGGTTGTCCCGGGATCTTCAAACCCTCTTGCTTGCGCTTCTTGAAACGACGGAAGTAGTCCTGAATCAGGAATGTTGCATAAAATTTGCCGACTGTCACATCATCATCGGCTGTAAACAGAAAGGAAAATAGTATAAGTGCAGATCGTTGATTCATTTTGTCTAACTCATCCATGAGATCAAATCAGCAACGAGCACATCTAAGCTGAATTATCGATTTAATTTGACAACCCTGAAATAATAATCTGTAATAAGGATAAAGTAGAAAAACGATTGGCCTCATGAAAAAGGCATACATATTCTCAACAAAAAATGAAATTAGTAGCTATAATAATTGCTTCCTTCAACAGAGCTCCTTTTGAGTTGAAAATCTATAGATAATACATGCATCTGTCTACACATATTTTGTATCATACAGTATATAATACCTTTAAACCATGAAAGTCTGCATTTCACTTGTAATGAATGAAGACTAGGAGAGAAGTACTAAAAACAAAAGAAGAAATTAAAAGAAGAGATTTACCCCCTGCTGGTGGAGCAACTTGGTCCAAGAGTTTAGTACTTGTCCTTTTCCAAATCTTCTTGATGACTGCTCTTAGCTCCTCATTACACTGATCTATATTACCTGCACACAGAAATAAGACATATCAACAGCATAAGGTATTAGCATAAGATATATCATCAACATAAGATATTAGCATAAGATATATCATCAGCATAAGGTATTAGCATAAAATATATCATCAGTGTAAGGTATTAGCATAAGATATATCATCAGCATAAGACATAAGCATAATGCATAAGATTAGCATAATATATTAGCACAAGATATATATAATCAGCATATGATATTAAAATAAGATATTAACATAAGATTAATCATCGGCTTGAAATCAGCTTTGCATCAGAGTACTGTATGCCCTTCAAATAATTCCATACAAAGATCATCCAACTTAAAAATCAGTAGACCAAAAGCTCAATCTGAATAAGATTTGCCTTAATTCAGAGTTTCATGTTTTTGGTTGTATGATTTCCTATGTTGTGAAATTGAAACATACTATGAAATCGTTTTCCCCTTTGATTAACATGACCTACATGTCAGTTTTGAAGGTAATGAAATGAGTTACAAGATAAGGAATGTGAATATAAATACCTTCTGTTTTTATTTTTAATGATGTCCTGATGAGTGCAAACAGTGTAGCGTTGAACATGACGGTACCATCACTATTGAGCGGCATATTCATTGTCACTAATCTCTGTAGAAATAAACAAGTCATATGTGGAAATTTGTTATATTTTTCATATTGAACATTTTGAATATATGTTTCTGGATACTAGAAATCTAACCTATATGAGAACTTATTGTATTCTTATGTCCAGTAAATGGATATTGTCTAAATGAGATTTATTTTTTCACATTATAGCAACAACAAAAAAACCTTCTGTTTTTCAAAAATTAAAATACATTAAATCTAAATCGAATCATATCAGGAATGGAAGTTTGATTCTCCTCTATTCCTAAATTTTAAAGAAAGAGGTATAAATATTAACTTCTACTCTACAATGGTATGAATTACTCATGGTATAGTGTAGCATATCTAGCTTGTATTTATTACATCAGTTGTTACACTTTTTTAATCTCCCTCTGTGCCTCAGAATAGTTTACTAGATCGATAGCGCATAACAAATGCTGTAGTATTACACTTCATTAGTGATACTTTACTTTTTTTTTACATGATACAAATGTAACACCTAATCTCACATTAACTTTGAACCTCAATTCACTCATAGACAAGAACTTACCTTGCATGCAATTCTATGAGGGCAAAGTTTCCCAAAACCTAGGGGAGGGGATATGGAGCGTAGTAACGTCACTACATCTAAATGCTTGATACGACCCCTGCAGGAAAGGAAAAAAATGGGTAACGTCACAAAAGTTGAAGGAACAATAATTATCTCACTGAAAAGATATTTTGCTTTACGTCAAAGTACACAACGCTATAACTCAAGCAAAAAACTCAAGTGTAAAAATATCAACAAAGGTTGAGATTAAAGTTTTTATAATAAAGAGGGCACCCATAAAAACCTTATACTTGCATACTACAGGACCTAACCCAAGAGTAATGGGCATGTATCTTTTGAACCTTCCCTCCCTCAAAAGTAAAACAACAAGTATGGAATGATATGAACATTTGCAAATATGTTTGTGAATATATATATATATATATATATATAATTACAAAGCACAAGAAGATGATGAAGAGGGGAAAACATTGGATATAGACGGAGTTCCTTAGCTTGGAGTAAAATCACATTTATGGGTATTTCTTATACTAATGATAAAGTATATATAATAAAAGACACAAAAGGAATTATCTTGTAATTAGACAAAGTTACATTGGACATGTATTGATTTGACTTACGTTGCGTCCGGGTCGAACTCTGACCATTGTCTGACAAATTCATCTAGATGGTGTGGTCCTAGAATTGACCAATCACGTGTTAGATAATCAAAATTATCCATGATGACAGCTACAAATAAATTAATGATCTAGGAAATAACAATCACAAAGAAAAAAATAAAGGTTAGAATATAACACAGGCATACAGACAGAATTGATTATTGAATGACAAGTCTACACTACTTTCTCCATTGCTATGCTACTACTACATAGATTTCTTTGCCACAGCAATATAATAAAATCATTGAATACTGAGAACCAGGGTAAGAAGATAAACAAAGAATATACTACCACTATGGAAAAACTTTTCTTTCTTTCTAACCTTCAAATCCAATTTCGAAATCCAATTTCGAAATCCAATTTTTGAAATCCAATTTTGAAATCCAATTTTTGAAATCCAATTTACACATTTTTACGAATTTTTAAAGAAAACTGTAAGTCCTTTATATAGGCAATACACAATATGTTAACACCTATCGTTAGTTAGATATAGGATTTTAAAAATTGTATGTGAATCACAAAGCTATCAGATGAAGATGTGAAAACACTCTTATAATTTCATCACCTCCTGCTCTACAAATTGAAACCATTTGAAAATTAAAAATATCCAAATACAATGGAAATTTTAAAACATGAAAGCACAATACGTACAACCTGTAAAGATAATTTGAAGAAGGACAAAAATAATTTCATTTTCTTGAAACTCTTTCTGTGCCAGAGGTGCAGCTTTGCACATGGACTAGTATTCTGGTTTGTCACAAAAGGAATTTAATACATGGATATAATTTTGAGTCCTCCCGCAGCACTGATTTCCTTTGGTGAGACATATATTTACATTTTTTCCACTCTCCACCCAAGTGTAAGTAAGTGGGTACCCAGTAGGAATAAGTTCCCTGAACGCTTTAGCGACTTATTATGGCGGCTCAGCAACAGCCGGAGTAATAATATAATACTTTGTATTTTAATAATGCCCAAACAAAATGATGTGTATTATTTGTTTTATAAGATTATGTTTTATTTGTTTCACAAAATGATGTTTTGTAAAATGATTTTACTGATGATCGGTCATTAGAATTGGATAATGACCGGCCATTATCCAAATTACGCATTAGGCAACAGAAATGCATGGTCACGTGTACGCTTTCAACCGATCATTTGATTAGGATCCACGTCATCATCTTATAATATAGTTTACTACTCACCAGGAATGAACAGATGGAGTAGAAAGAGATGAAATATACATAGGCAAAATTATTGCCACATATCTCTGTATCATCTCTTTGGCACGGTGCCTTGGGTGATTGTGAACATGCCATCATAATCTGTTGCCATGCTTCACCTGTAGCTGATCTGAACACATCCAAACAAGAATGACAAGAAAAATAAAAGTTTTAAAACATCAAGTTAGTCCAAGTGAAAGGCACAGGTATAGCGTTCTGGAAATACTTTTATCTTTAAATAATAACGATTATCTTCATAAATTAAGTGTGTCATTATACATTTGATTGCACCTTTTCTAATTGTCTGCACATAGGTCTTTGGTCTTCAATCAATGTTAAATAATCATAAATAATATGTTTAGACTAACCCACAAGATAACATTTATAAGAATGTGAAAAAATTAAGACGATACACCTTTATATATTATGTAACAACATGTATCAACAGAATTGATTGAATTCAATAATCTTATTTTTTCTTCTTTTTTCCACAATACTTTAGCACAAGAGATATCGTATCTAAGGAATGCTCACCTGAATAGCACCATTACAGCAGTGGGGAATGTACGGAAGTTATTATTCCGATTTAGAGCTCCATCCAACGATAGCTTGATTTTACCAAACATCTGTCAAACAAATGCAAAAAAAACATGTCAAATTTGGTATACATTCCAATGTATACTTCCATAGTCTGAATAGTCAATATTTCCATGATTGAAACTGATTTTTAATATAAGGTATAAAATTACATACTGTATACATGTCTATCATATCATTTTATTATCTAGTTTTGGTTTTCTACAAGAGAAACTAAACTAAGTTTTTACAAAAAAAGTAACATAGTGTCTGTAAAAAGCAGCTGTAAAAATCATCTTAATTTTGTCATCATGAATAATAATTACTTTTTAAAAATTATTATTAAAAAAAAAAGATTTGTTATATATTTGTTCCTTATCATCATGACATTCCCATTCATCCCATTTCATCTCACTATCATCGAAATCATCATTAACATCATCATTTATTAAAGTCATCATTTTCACTTTTACGAGGGTTTACTGACTTTCGCACGATGATGATACTCCGTCTCCCCACTTCTATATCATTATTACCATTTGCGTCATCATTACAATTATCAATATCATTCTTTAGATAAAATAGCAAGACTTAGACTTCATTTACCTGCATTCCAATAACAGCATATACAAAAAACAACATGACGATTAATAACGCTACATATGGCAGGGCCTGTGACGGAATGAGAAAAAAAGGAAAAAACAAGATAGATTAGACATTACAATCACGTTACATTTATTTCATCAAGTTACATGGGATATAACTTTTAATTTGAAATCAATTTACATACATGTCACGGTAACAAATTTCCTTTTATTTGACTTTACTTTAAAGGAAAATGTAAGTACGGAAGCAAATAACAATAACAACAAAACAACCATGTGAAGTCAAATTTCTACCCGACTTAATATTTCTGGTCAGGAAAGTGGTATCTGACATCTACTTCCAATTATACATACAGTGAACACATTTAGTTACCTCCTGGATTAGGAGAGTCAAAAATATTAAAAGTTTGATTGCAAACGTAAGCATGAGAGTTTGAGAACTCCTGATGCAACGTCCAGAGGTGAGCAATTGCATAGAGATGTAGGGATAGGTGCATCAAGGTCACTGCAGTATCATTATTGCAACACAATTTTCCATGTAACTAGAAAGAACCCTGTTTAATGCTAATCTCTGTATTTTATTGTCTATTTGAGCAAGAAAATAACAAGTTGAACATTGGCTGATTATAACTTGGTTCTATGACAGATGCTCTGGTGACAACATGAGGCATAATGCAGGCCTTATATCTACTGGTAAACCTATTCAATTCAATTCAATTCAAATGAACATTTATTTTCTTCCAAACAATACAATTTATAAGTAGGAACATAAATATAATTAAAGAACTTGTATTACAAGGAAGAAGGCGTGAAACCTAACCTTACCTAAAGCCCAATAGCAACCATTATCGTATTACTTTTTGGATGAAATGAAGATCCGAGCACAGGTCGCTAGAGCAAATATTGAATCGGCAAAAAAAAGTAGAATTGAGTTACCTGGAAAGACTTGATAAATGTCCACAGCAGAGTTCGAATTCCTTCTCCCCTGCTTAGGAGCTTGATCAATCTCATGACTCGAAACAACCGGAAGAAGTTGATGCTGAACTGCTTCTTCTCATTCGCCTGGAACATATCAAGTCAGGAACAAACCAGTATTAGAGGAAGACAGAAAACAAGAAAACATTATGAAAGTGAACTTGTCAGGCAATGAAGGGAAACAGTCAATCTATATATTTCATCTGAGGAAATGTTAGTGGGGTTGGCTGTCTCCCTGAAATTTGTTTGTAACTTTGTATTCTGCTCTTTATCATGAACATTAACTATCAACAGTCATTATTTATAAGAGGAACATCAGATAATAATCTGTAAAACTTTAAATGCATGTTGCAATTTATGAATCAGATTTTAAACACTTCTATTAACCATTACCATAAAGTAATATGAAAGAATAGAGTTATTATATTCTGGTCTATGCAGAGTTACGGTAAGTGATCATATTTTTTCATGCTTTACATTTTCTGATAATAAGGAGTACAAGACAGGCCACAAACAATTGCACTTAAATGGTAGAAGTGCAGGTTTTACAGTCTTTTCAATAAAATTCCTTGGGATCCAAGTCCTAAATTTGGTAAACCTATCTGTGTGAAGAAAGAGGGCAGTGCAAGATTGGTAGAGTACCTAAAAATCAGCCTACGAAAGTGTATAATAACTTGGAAGTACGGACCTCTGATTTTCTGTGCAGGGTAAATAGGGATCTATTGAGATTGGTTAGCTTGCATCTGGTATGTGTAAGAAGAAATGCTAAATTCTTATTCTGCCCTATCTCTGTAAACTTTCTTTAAGCACATAGTGACTTTCGTTATGTTTGTGATACACGCTATATCAGCAATGTTCATCATTTATATTATTATTATGATTAATATTAGTATAATCTTTTTTTTTGTGGAATTATTATTTCATTTCATCATTAGTATTATTAGTATCATCATTATAATCATTATCATATAATACATGCGATAATTTGGCATCTATTTACTCTAGATATTCAATGATCTTTTTTCCCCCCTTCTATATCGTCGCTGTTTTCACGAAGTGACGGTAGTGAAAAAAAATTGCATTCACTTTGCGTTACGATTTTCCGCACTACCGTCACTTCGTGAAAACAAGGACGATATGATCATCAAATTTCATCAGGCGGATTTCAAAGTCTACAGATATTTCATCTAATTGTTTGTCATTATTTCTTATCAATAAAAACATTCCTTACATAAATACTTTTCACTCTTTAAATTCAAATGCATGAGAAAGATATGAAACCTTTTTTTTTTAATTTGACAGTAATATATTTTCTGCAATTAGTATTTAACCAAGATACATTAAACTTGGTTCTATTCAATATAGATTAAAGTATTGATTAATTCTGACTTTAAACATGGATTTAAGTTTACAAAACTTGTTATCTTAATACATTCTGTTAATTTGTTTAGTTTCGTAGTATAGCGGGATAGATTTAGACACACTTGGAGGGATATCAAAATAGTGGAAAGACCTAATGTCTAAGTTTGAAATTTTGAAATTTATGAGCCTAAAAATCATCTAATTTAAGTAACGTACTATAAAAATGGTTACCACTCCCCCTACTCAAATGACAGCATCACTACACCTTGTTTACCTCCACTTTATTTCCATCTCTCTCTCTCTCTCTCTTTATACTTGTCTGTCTTTCTCTTTCTCACCCCCTCCCCCCCCCTCTCTCTCTCTCTATCTCTCTCTCTATCACACTCTGTCTTTCTCATCTCCTCTCTCTCTCTCTCTTTTTCTCTATATATCTCTCTCTCTCTCTCTCTCTCTTCTGTAATTTTTTCATGTACAGAAAGTTTAGTCCATAGACAAACAATGGATATTCAGGTACGGATAAACAATATCACTATAAACTAAAACCGGCTAAGAGCCAGAAAGGCGTCAAATCCTTTCAATTCACTTAGGGTCGACTCCCTTCTGGCCCTCAGGAGGTCTATACATGTCAGGATTATTACAATGTCGAGGTCTATCTAGGGGGGGTCTTATACTAGTGTCTTAGTATGCAGTAAGGAAGGATGTTTGTTTCTGTGCATGTTCTCTCTTTCTGTGCAAATTTTACTGATTATAGTAAACTTTTCCAGGAAGGTGTATCAATTTGATGGGATTAAAATTTCACAATGCACCTAATATTCATCATAGAGACTTGGGGTATAAATACCTACTCAATCTCGGTTGAGGTCTGGTGTAAATTCAAAATGGTGCTGGGGACTTTATTTCTAAATATGCTATTTATAGGAGTGAATTAATAAGGGTTTCAGTTACGTGTAATTTTCATTCTGTATAAGCTATAGTGAAGGTGAAAAATTAGTATGTGCAGAATATAGAGTAAGTTTGAGAGGGGATAAATCTTGAATCATTTTGACATTTACCGCTGTAACAACCTGCGAAGGATACATCCCCAAAACCACACGTAGCCGCCGAAATGATGAAAAAAAGAGATGAAAAAAAAAGGAGAGATTTTAATAATTTAAATGTCTCTTCAGTAAGTAAGTGATTAGAAAGTTATATGTATGTCAGACTTCCATTTCAAACAGCACTTTGACAACACAGAAAAATACACTCACGTTTGTGAACTGTCACAATAATAAACAGAATACGCTGCTTTTCATTATCATGCATATGTGCTTATTGCAATTGAATCATTCCTTCATATTTCTTTCATTGACTATGTACAAAGTCAAGCAGAAAAGATACTTATAGGCTCTTAAATTCCATAAATTTGCTTAGAAATATATAATTTTGATGATTGTTATATTCATTTTTCGAATAACAAAGACTATAACTTTGTAGCAAGTGAATGATCTCAAATTTTTCCCTTTTCAAGCGCTCACAATTTCTGATTCTTTATGATTAGACCTTCATTTTTTTTTTTACTTGAAACATTTCTTTTAATTGTTTTCATGATAATTATGGCTAATAAATTTGCTCTCCTTTTATTTTAAACAGACAGTTTGAGCTTCGATTAATGAAAAGAATATTCTTCATGTTGCAGAAAGGAAAAATTGCTTAAAATTTATGCTTGAATAATGCAATGATTGCAAAAGTGCATGTATTTAACAACTAACTGGAAAAATTGAATACTTAGAGTGAGTGAGATACAAAACAACATACATTTATACAAACACAACATCAAGTGTATACATCTGTTAAAGGCTAGGTGGCAGAAATTTATGTCTACACTTGAATAACAATTGTTGATTTATTTGATATTTTTGACAATGTGCAGCCAATTTTCTACAATGTTACAAAACATGAATATATCTAAATTTGTGAACAATGAGGACTATCTTTTCATAAAGGAGATTAATCCTTCCAATCCAAGTAAAGGACTTAAAATTGTAACTAACATTCTAGTTTTGAACTTGAGTTCCATAGCAACAGTTTACATAATCAAAGTACTACATGGGGAAACCAAATCACATGAAGTCTAACTAAGAAAATAGTTAAATTCGCACTACTCCATTTTTTCCTTATTATAAAAAAACATATATAAAACTAACTTATCTGCTCAATAAGTATCTAATAAAAACACACCACACTATTGCCTGAAAGGCTCCGATAAAATCTCTGCCAACTTGTAACGGCTTACAAAGAGAGTGAGAGAGTGAACATCAAGATTGTGCAGAGAAAAATTTCACAAGAATCACTGAAAATCAACGAAACTGAACTAAAAATAACAAAATACCAGTAATCTACGCATTGTAGACTGGAAACCAGCTTTTACACAAAAGTAGTGCTGCTAAAGTTTTTGCAACTGTGCAAACTATTACCAGCTTTTTGTGCAGTAACTAAACACTTTTTAAAAGAAAAATATAAAACTTCTCTTTCTTCTTAGAAGTAAACTGATTGAAATATTGGATAAAAGAGAAAGGTGTGAAGTTTGGCTGCACAAAGTTGATAAGGAGAGAAAGAGAAAGAGAGAAAGAAAGAAAGAAATAAATAAATAAAGAAAGAAAGATAGATAGATAGAGAGAGGAAGGAGAGAAGAGAGAGAGAGAGAGAGAGAGAGAGAGAGAGAGAGAGAGAGAGAGAGAGAGGAGAGAGAGAGAGAGAGAGAGAGAGAGAAAGACAGAGAGAGAGCATAGGCTAAGATTTACGTTGAAGTTGCAGTGTTTGCCTTAAAGTGCACATGAGTAAAAGGGAAAAAGAAAGGCTTACTTTCCCCCTTATTTGTGTTCAATAAAGAATAAAAATTGTATGTTAATATATCAGTTTATCATACATGATGAAACATCTAGTATTGCAGATAAATAGTATGATGCACAAGTAATCAGCTCACAGATTTTCCTTGCAATTCAGTGTTATTTCAGATTTACATCGTAATATAACATTTCAAACTGTTTATACGATGCCCTATTTGCAAGTAATATTTATAAAAATAAGCTTATTGTAAAAACTACTCTCGTGGGAGAGAAATGATTTTGATGTTGATGAATAATGAATATAATGGAATGAGAAATGGCTTGTCGCATCTCTAGAAAATGAAACAAGTTAAAAAGCAAAGCAATAAGTAGAAATAAACTCCCCAAAATAAATTATGAATTATGAACATATAACATTTGCCCCTCCCCCCCCCCCCCTCCCCGATACATTACACTAGTCACAGAAAAGTATAATAGGAGCAACTCACTTGAAAAAAATATCAAAAAATATAAGAATGTAAGGCTTAAAGTGTTCATGATCTTTTTCACTATAGACTTTGAAGCATTTTCCACTTAAAATTATTATAATTTTGATCTTCATTAAGTTCCCAGCCAAACAATACAATTAATTAAGGAGGCAAACAACATGCAAATTTCGAGGAAGGGGGATAAGGCTTAAAGAGGGGGCAGCAGGGTGGGGGAGCGGGAGGTGGGGTACCATGCACCAGGAATGATCCATGCACTAGGTGGCAGTAGGTTAATCCAAGAAATATCAATCGGGTAAAAGCATATCACTACATGCATGACATTCAAACGTAATAGCCCACACCACACATATAAACTATGATAGGTATACACACATAATATAATCATATCAGGAAAATCGGAGAAGCCATAATATGTTCTCAAAAATTAAAGTAACATCTTCCAAACAGCTTAAATTTTTCTGAAGAAAATAGCTGTATATATATATATCTTGAGAATTTAAAAAAATACTTTAAAGAAAAGGAGATAGAGACAATAAATTGATAACTCAAATAAAAACTAAGGGTTCCAAATAAACAAAAACTGAAATAAAACAATTGCAAAGGGTTGGGCTCTTCAATCTGTATTTTGGAAGCATCACTGCAATGATATGTAACATGCAAGTTTAGCCCTTCTATAAAGTTCAATTTGAATATTAGCCGTTCAGAATATGAAGGGATATAAAATCTTACATAAATTTGAATTTCCAATAACTTCATCAGAGAAACAATAGGAAAAAAACTATTGCTATGAAAGGGGTAATAGGGCTGCCTATTTATTTATCCACTACAAATCACTTCACTTAAGCAAAGGAAAACTCAGAACTAAAATCACTCAAACCTTTAAAATAAATGAAAATTTGAGAGCTGTGCAAATATCAGAGAAAAGGTGCATCATACGCACATATAAATAGAACACTACAATTACCATTGTCAATACAACAATGTTTAAAAGAAAAAAAATACATTGAAACATTGTCACTATCAAGGCGTGTTTGATATAGTGAAGACATTTTTTGGACTTCACTTCATAAGCTTTATCTTTGAAATAGTCTGGATAAAACCTTTTCCGGGTTTTAGTTTTGATACATATTAGCTAACTTAAGTTAGCTGCTCCCCGACTAATTTTTAAAAATCAACAGGAAAAAGTCTTTAAAGTTTCCCCCAAATTTGACAAATCAAAAGGGGCATGCAAAATCTCCAAAAAAAATATAGACAAGAGTGGATAATTTTTAAAAGAAAAACAAGGAAATAAATGCACCAACCCTCTGTTTTAGTTGAATTAGTATGGCATGGTTTGATTGGTCATTCAAGCCGGGAGATGGGTAATATATGGACGGGTTGCCAATTTGGTAAGGATTTCGGTAAGGGTAAAAAAATAAACAGAACAAAAGAAAAAACAAGCAGGATTTATTATCAATGTTAGTATTTGCTAGATGATGATCGTCATAGCTGTTATCATATTTAATTTGAAAAGACTTTAATGAAATATTCATTAGTTTATTAGTGGGATTTTGTACATGCACATACAAGGTTTATGGAAAACATAGTTAAATGCTACCATTGATATCCTTTCTATTTCCTGATATTCCAGCAAGCCTTAATTTAGCACATTTTCAGTCTTTACAAGAAATCACAATTAAATTACAATGAAATGGGATAATCAAATTTCTATTTTCTCATTTCATTTTTTAAAAACTACTAAACCAGTTGTACTTTGCTATATCACACATTTCAACAAGCTAAAATACTAAAAGTGTTAGAAAATACCCATTGTATAATCAAGATCAAATACCAATCAAATTAAGTTATTATATAGAACAAAGTCTGCCAGCATTCTACCATTTCTACTACAACTAAATACAAATACAATTAGAAGAGAACAAATAAAATGGCACAAGATCTTCAAATAATTTGTGTTATCTTCAGATTAACATTCACATATTATTCTGATTTAGTCATACTCTGAATTTATCAAATATTGTATAGTTCCTGTCTTTAAATATAAACAAATATATTGCTAAATAATTAGAAAATATATATTCCCAGCACAGTCTTCAATACTTTGAATAGAAAATTCTGAATGTATATTTTACTATACTACATAAAATACCCCCCCCCCCAATAATGGCTTGGAAATGAGAATCTCTTATGGACCTGTTAATTTAAGGAAAAGAGCCTTTCTTTAATGTTTCATAGTGTTGCTATATATGAGCAATGAAAATAGAGAAACCCCAGACTTTGATGTAGTATTTCAAAATGCCTAGAAACAACCATTTTCTTATAAGACATTAACTTATCTTTGAAAGGATTCAATGTAAATTGATCTCTAAATATATTTCTAATACTTGAAGGGTTCACATGCAGTATAAACAAGATCAGACGGCATTTGCATATCTATATGGTCTATAGAAACCAAGCTGTTATTAAGTCACAATGCATCTATAATTTCTTGTAGTTTGTTGCAATATTCCCTTGGTAAATTGATAATACACTGTTATCAGGCACATGGATTGGCTCTACTTATAAAATCCCATAAAAGTAGATTAAATTAGCATATCAAAATCATGATTTTCACACACCCCATGGCATTTTTTGTTGTTAATGATTTATATTTAATGTCCCTTTATGCTTTTGCGTTTTAATGTGCTGGACAAAAATTTCATATAATTTCTTCCGAAAACTTCTTACAACCTAGATAACAATCAATATAGTATTAATTATACATATATTCAAGTGGTCCCACAATTCTGGAAAATAGGAAAGTTGCCACTTTGACTATTATGAATTTTTTAAGGACTGTTTAATGTATGTCCCATTTGAAAATGAAGAAAAAGCATCCCATTTATGAAATCTAGAAACGAAATTGCCAAGAACAATGAATGAAACCTCTATCTTTCTCATTCCTGAATTAATCGCATGAATGCAAAGTTCTGCTCACTAATCTAAATTGATTCTCTTCTCATTACTCTACTTTAGGAAATTATTACAAAAATGAAAATTTGGGTAAAGAAATAATAGAAAGAAATGTATACTCACACTAAACATGTCAATCATTATATCTATGATGCTCCCTAACACAATGATGAAATCAAACGCGTTCCAATAATCCCGGAAGTAATTCTGTAGAAAATGATAAAAGGAACAACCATTTATAGTAGTGTTCTACACAAGCAGCAAAGCAATAAGCATTTTCATGTTATATAAATCTATTAAATGATTTCAAAGGTTTTGACTTGTACTGTAATACATGTGAACTGCCAACCAGGAAAGTGGGAAGGAGAAAGAGAGATTGGGAGTGAAAGAGGGAGAGAGGGAGAATAGAGAGTAAGTTTTAACTATTATTATCGTTATCATTATCATTATTATTAGGATTATCAATAATAATAATATCATCATCATCATCATCATCACCATCAACATCAACACCACCATCACCACCATCATCTTCATTATTATTATTATTAAATAGAGTACACTGGAATATATACTAGTGTGAATGCATATTGGTATTTAGATGGATAAACTTAGATCTTGTTTGAACATAACAATACCTAGAACAAAACTTAAAAACTCAAATTTCTGAATACCTGTCCATAAACCCCAAATATCCATGATCAAATGATAAAGGTTTTACTCCTCTATAATAGGAAATAAATGTTGGGAAAAGCTTAGACAAGATCACATGTTGTACGGGATCAATATAGACCAACCTTGGGCTTGTATGCAATGATCTTGAGTAGAAACTCAACGGTGAAAACCGCTGTAAACACAATGTTCATGTAGTCCAACACATTCTTGTAGGCTTCCGTTTGTGTGCGATACTTGAAGGGTGAAAATACAAAACATATTAAAGAAGCACAAGGAAAAAACAAATTACATGAAATATCTCATACTTCAAAGTAAAAACAAAGCATCAATTAAATTGCATGTAAGTGCCGTCCATTTTTCATCATTGCCAATGAATACATTTCTTTTTGGTTAAAAGCAGATGAAATTATCTAATCATTCAATTTCCCCTTCTAATCCCCTTCAAACATCCCCACCACACAAAGCTAGACCTTGAATAATAAAACTTATGAGCAGAACAGTAAACTCAAGACGTTTTAACCTTTCTCTCTCAGAGTATACCATTCTTCAGAACTAATGATTATATCTGATGATAAAAGAGGGTATTTCCTTACTGCAAAAATACATGAATATTCAGCAGATGTAATGTTAAAATATGGATGTGCACATGAACAAAACAGAAAATCTTATTTACTGTGAGCCACTAAGTGTACAATCGAATAACATAAATGAACTTTAAAAAACCCATTCAATTATTTAGATACCTTCCATTTTAATAAAGGAGCAACATCCACAGGGCATGAACTTATTTCTGTATAAGGAAGAATATCAATAACAATATTGGTATAAATATATATGGTGTATTTAGAAACAATCACAAACAATATAAATCTAACATTAACATTGCTAGATGGAATATACCACCCAAGGCACAAATAGTAATTTCACATTTAGGAGAGAGAATGCGGCATTCAGACTTACCTTCATGGCAAGAATAATGGTATTAACCATGATGAGAACAAATATGAAGTACTCAAAAGCCCGAGACGTGACAAGCTTCCAAACTAAATGTTGCTTTGGATTCTTGGGGATGTACTTCCGCACAGGTTTTGCTTTGAGGGCAAACGCTAGACAATTTCTCTGTTAACAAAATAGATAAAAAATTCATTTGATTGTTTATCAATGCACAGTATAAAAAAGTAGTTCCGTCTTATGAAAAGTTGAGATTGATCGATCCAAATCGGTTGCAACTCAAGCTTGATATCAATCGCGGCTTGGTGCATGAGAGATAGAAGATTGTGACTATTTCATTGATTAGAGAACTTGGAATTGATTTAATTTGGATAAATGGAATTTATTTAATTCGGATAAATTGAATCTCTTTGGAAAACAAGGCCCATGTCATTTGTACATCATGGCTAAAAAAGATCACCAACTTCATTCTACTTATTAAAATCATTTTAATATGTCAAACTCTAGCTGATATTACCTGGCTCTGAATCAACTGAAGTGAATTTAAATGGCAATTATGGCAGGAATGTCCTTTGGAAAGGCATAAATCTACATTTGCCACTCCATACCCAGGATGCGAATTTTTTTTTCCTACGAACTTTGAGCTCGCGAGGGGAACCTGCGCATGCGCACTCGCGAAGGAAACCAGCGCATGCGCACGTGGAATCCGGTAGGGCGGTCAATAGGGTGATAGTAATTATACAAAGCAATCTTTCATCAACTCATCGTTAGCTCAGTCGGTAAGGACAGCGTGTAACTAATAGAACCTTGGAGTTGCCGTGAGGGTTCAAATCTCAGTTTATTTAGTTTTTTTACCTTTATAAATAGTGAGGCAAAGCAATAAATAATCAAAGTCTAATTGTTTGTGACCTCTTTGCATGAGTCAAGTATAACAGTTCGTATGTGAGCATGCGCCAGGTATAAAAGTTCGTAGGAAAAAAAAGTTCGCACCCAGGACAGATATGATGGCAATTTTTTATTTTTTTTTATTTCATATAATACAAAAAAGTCTTTATTTTTCTTCTACTGAAAACCACAAGGGAATTAACTCATATGCAAAGTTGTAGGAACCTTCTGGCAGTCAGAAAGTGATATACATAAATCATCACCTGATTTTTGTCTAGTTCACAATTCTTGTATTCTTGCTCTCCCTCATTCTGGAAGGTGACAATGACGAAACCCACGAAGATGTTGACCATGAAGAAAGCGATGACGATGATGTACGCAAAGAAGAAGACCGCTACAGGCATGCGAGAGCTGTGTACGGGACCCTTATCATCCTCGGTAGAGTCTACAGCCACATACAGAAGCCTGATGAAAGAAACAGTGTATGTTAAAGGCATCGTACAACAATGTTAAATCTGAGATGCACGGCCCTACGTGCTACCAATGTCTGTGATGTAGTGTAATATTGAAGCCCTAAAATAAAATTGTGTTTCAAAATGATCAAGAAGTGCCTCAAAAAAGTAAAAATCTTTGAGCGACACGGTTTTACCATACTCATTTACCCCAATAGACTGTACGTGTTATGAAAACCGTTTGGCAAATGCAAAATTTGATAAAAGTCTTGATTTGATAAAAGTCTAAAAGTCTAAAATTTGATAAAAGTCTTGTAAAAGTCATGGGGTTCCTGACTGACCTAAAGGTTTATAATTACCATTGCAGCATGAGCTAAATCAAGGATATTTTTAAAGGATCTAAGACAAAGTTACAGGATCCCTTTAGTAGAATAGGAACAGTCAAATTTGTATATAAAGACTGTTTGAGGTAGACAAGCAAGCCAAGACAGACTCAAAGAGGTGGCGTTTATGTACAATTTCCTTTAGAACAAACATCTAGAACCATTATTCAATAGGGACAAAAATGTGCTCTTAACAGACAGGTAGTTTTTTATAAATAGGTAGTCATTAAAGGTAAAGACCAGTAATGGTCATGCGATTGCATTGTGAAAGAAACGTTGTGGAATCGATCAGAAAAGGTTGATCATCTAGCATCTAGCATCTGCAAGGTTCTGGAATCATCAAAATGATAAGAAATTTGGCCCATTCTTCGTAAAGTTACAAGCACTATACACAGAAAGATGTATATAGGACTACCCTATCTCTCTCACCAGACCATGAGAGAAATAAATTTACCAAATATATGAATTAGTAGGCGGTTTCCCGGCAAATTTTTTATCATCATGTATTAGTCGAAACATATTCTTTCACATGATTGGTAATGAGAGCTTCCATTTCATTTTTTGAAATTGGGGCGTTGCCAATACTGGTCTTTACCTTTAAAGCAGGTTGCCATATATATGATGTTCACATCATATACATTTGTTATTGAAAACAAACGTATAACACAATAAGCAAGTACAAGGATGAGTGAATACATAGAATGACAAAATATTACATTTTAGTGAATGAATAAAACTGAACCCGTAAATTAAGGTGTTCATTTATGACAGGACATCTGTTCATCGTATAATGTCATTTTTTATTTACAATTAATATAAGGTATAGCTTTGAAAGTGAAATTCATTTGAAATAACAGATATCTAAACTGGATTGCATTTTCTAAGCTTTATACAAAATGTTCTATTGTTGATAGAACATGTAATTATAAGAGAACATAAACAATGGATATCAATCTACATTAAAATCAATAATTCAAATAATTCTTCAAGAGAATACAAAACAAAACAAACTTTTGTTTGTGAAAAGAGGAATGATTCTTACTTTGGCCAACCTTCAAACGTTGCGACGGTAAAGAGAGCCAGCATAGCATTTCCTACATCATTAAAGTGGAATTCATTCTTACTCCATACACGCTGTTCAACTGATACTTGATCCAAGTCTCCATTCTTGTATACAAAATAATGACCTCTGTGGATGAAGGATATCAAAACAAACATTTCATGGTAAACAGAATCAGATGAATTCAAGTATGGAAAATGAACTCACTGGAAATCCTTCTACAGAAAAAGAAATCAAAATGATAATTACTACTACTTATAATAAATGATAATAAAACTACATATATATTCTGATTGGCGTCCAATTTGTTAATTTTTAGGTGGTTACTTATTGGAATTCTCAATATTATAGTGCATACAGCAAAAATTTAATAATGTCCCAGTATTAAAGCGGGTGCTGCTTCAAACGATTAGAGAGAGACAGAAGAAATAACTTGGACACATAATGTGGCATGACAAAGGCTTGATGATCAGAGTCATAGAAGGTCATATACTTGGAAAGAAGAAGAGGGGAAGACCTCGTAAAGGCTTCCTAGACGATGTAATCACAGAATGTGGAGCAACAGGGTATGAAGCGATGAAACGGATGGCTCAAGACTGAGGAACTTGGAGAGACACTTGATGTTTCTCACATTGGGTCACTGAACCTGTCAGTTTATGACAGATCACTATTGATGATTAAAAACTATAATGATAATCTGTTTAGAAACACTTTAAAATTTCATGTTTTAGGCGAGTACTTACTGACAGTCTTCCTCATAGAGCTTCGAGGAGTCGTTACAGGAAAAGAATCTTCCACGGAACAGTTGCACCCCAATGCAGGCAAACATGAAGACTAGGAGCAGTGTAACGAGCATGATGTTCCCTATCGTCTTGATGGCCACAAACACACACTGAACCACGTGCTGTAAACAACAACAAGATGATGTTGATAATATAAATAATGATAATGACAATAATGATAACAAATAATTACGTTCTCACAGAGACCTTTATTTATATCAGTAATGTATTTTCATAATTTTTCTTTCCTTTGAAGCAGAACAATGCTCAATAGGTACATTTCCCTTAGAGTCTTATCACTACTTGCGTACCACATATCCTTGCCTGATAATATAAATAACGATAATGACAATAATGACAATAATGATAACAACAAATAATTACGTTATCCCGGATACCTTTATTTATATCATGTATTTTCATTACTTTTCTTTCCTTTGAAGCCCTTAGAGTCTTATCACTTCTTGCTTACCACATGTCCTGGCCTTAAAATTAACAGAAAAGAATATAAAGCTTTGTTTGACTACTGTTACTTTTGTGACAAGAATATGTTGCAAATTCATACAGATTTGTTGGCAGCAACAAACTCTTGTGAATCTATTCCACTCACATTGTGAAAGTGCTATGCATGTGATTATATGTTTGTTTTCTCTGATCCTAATTAGTTGATATGCTTTCATGAAAGTGTTAAATTACTTATATTATATTCATATTCATATTTATTTCATTTCCAACAGAAAGGTAAACAAGGATATTACATTTTTTTTCATACATAATTCATTTTTCAAGAAACTATACAAATAAACTTTGCACATAATAAAATTATTACAAGAAATTCTTAATTTCTGAGGAAATGGGTTGAAGGGATCAACAACATTTTGGAAAACTCCTTTGACGATAAAAAAAAAGAAGCTTGAACGTAATAGAAAGCTGGCGTTTCGTACCTTAAGCCCCTTAGCTCTGTTGATAGCTCGAAGTGGCCTAAGAACCCTGAGAACTCTCAGAGTCTTCACTGCAGAGATTTTCGTATCACTGAAACAAAATCAAACAAGTCAAATGATTATATCTAAAGATAAAGATATAGAATTTAAAAAAGTTCTAAACCACTACAAATTAGAAAGTTATGCTTATAATTTTTGCAAGTGGTGCAAGAATTGCCCACTATACTTAAAAAAAAACTAAAGATAGGAGACATATTTTCGAAACTATTTCCAACTCAGGAGACCAAAATACTGTATTCATTACTCTTTTGTTTAAATAATTGATACAAAATATGATCTCTTAACTGACTAAATTATAAAACATTCTTCTTTGACAAAGGTCTCCCGGTTGAGGAAATAGGTTACAAGAATTAACCTACTTCTAAAGAGAAAAATATTGGAAAGAAATGAAAAACTATTTCAACTGAGTTTGAAGACGAATGATCCCTGGTGTATACTTACTCGAATATGATTGAAATGTAGGCTACAGTTACAACTAGCAGATCCAATAAATTGAAAGAGTTACGACAGAAGGCACCTTGATGGAAAACAAGTCCATAGGCAACAACCTTAGAAAAGAAATGAGACAAGGAAGACAAAATGTATTCAGTGAGCTGTGATATCATGAAAATAAGTTAATACATCTAGAAAATATCAGCTATTATGGTCTGACTAATAAATAAAGGTTTCCAGTGTTCAAACTTGCATAAAAACAGCTTTTACAAAGTCATGATCATAAAAAATCCACCAAAATCATATTTCACGAATAGTAGATAAATTTATCACAAATAAATTATCAGAAGATATTCAAACTAAAATCATGTGAATGGTCAATCCTCTTTATGGTTTATCAGTCATTTGAGTTGTGATGCTATGAGTGTTAAACTTAATGTAGCTATTAACCAATGTTTATTTTGTCGCTCAAAGGCCAGCTATATGGTACCTACCTTTAGAAGAATTTCAATTGTAAATATTGAAGTAAATCCGTAATCAAAAAGGCTCAATATCTGCAGACATAAAAAGAAAGGAAAAAGAGAAACAGTGATATATTGAATTGAATAAGTTCACTTTAATTCAATAACTATCATATATGAAGTGCATGAGACCAAATTCCCTAATTCTTTGATATAGGGAACACAGTAGATAATGTTTATTTCCTTCTATTTATAAACTGAAACCTAATTATCATTACCATGTCCACATATCAACTGAACTAATGAAAGAATGGATATCAACAAGGACTTTATTACCATAACATGGTACTGTAACTCAGTACGAGTCAAAGTTGCAATACAGAACTCTAAAGCAGGACAACATGAAATAGCAATATGACAATACAACACGACAATCAAAGTTCTTTTAATGAAATACAGGTTTTCATGTTCATGTTGTGTCTTGTGATGTCTTGTGTTCCGTCATAAAACAATTTAATGTCAGATTATATATCATGTCAAAATTAATTACACTGTCTCTTTAAAGTTCACATAATAAATGTGTACAACAGCATTATTGTTTATTTTCTACAAAACGGTTATAACACACATTTTGAATTTTTTTACGTTGATGTTCTGACAAATCAAGATAAATAAAATATAAAAATTCATGACAATACAAAAAAACTATGACCAGGGAGGCAAGATCAATGAAACTAGGAAGTTAATAGGCCTGAGACGTTACATAATACTTACATAATTTCTCCTTTTATCTTCATCGAGTGGATCCTCAGCTGCCAACATAGTGCTGCTTATGAGGATAAGAACCAGCACCACATTGGTAAAATAAGGATGATTCACGAGGTTATAACACAAACGACGAAATCTGCAAAGAAAAAAAACAGTGGATTAGTAAAAAATAATCTCTTGGTAGAAATGAAATTGAGTATCTTGACTGATAATTTTTTGCTCTGTTTTGTAGAGAAAAAGCAAGCTTTGTGTATTTAGAAGTAACTAGCCTCAAAACTTTGCAAATCAGTGATATGAACTCTACTGTAATCTATAGGATCATCAATTGGGAAATGCAACTAATTCTCTCTCAATTCTCTTGTTTCATGTTTGTGCATTAAAACTTGGTAAGAGTATCAACGACATTTTGTCCATTGACTAAATCCATCCAACCATATGCCAACTAAATGCTTTTGTTATTGCAACAAAATTTCCTTCATTCCACGCACAAAAATTACACTATACATGAATGTACCTTCACTTTGTAATCACTGTAAACATTGGAAAATAAATTGAGATTTACGATTAAAAGCTTACAAGAGTTGTAAATCTTACCTATTTGTGTTGGAGAATACAAAAAGGGAATTTGCTTTGGGTATGGGTCTTGTTTTGGTGGGTATGTTGATATTTGAAAGCCTCCTTGGTCTAGCGGAAGCTGTTGTTAGAGACTCTGCTTCTTCTTCTTCTTTGTCATCTTCATCTGTAAAATAAAAAAATATAAATAACATCTATCAAGATGACAAGAATAAATAATTCATACAGCGTCATCCCATTCTTTTAATTTGGGAAAAGCATCCAGTAATTTAAAAAAAAACTCCATCTGCAGCATCAAAATGCAAAAAGGGTCTGATATCAAATGGAATTATCTTCATAATTGATTAATTACAAAAATATTTAATCTAAAAAATAAATAAATAGACTAATACATAATGAATGGTTAGATAATAAAAGGTAGATAAATGTATATAGATAGACAGATAGACATGAAGAGACAATTAGATAAGTAGATAGGAAGATATGTGAAAAGATAGACAGACAGACAGAGAGATAGCCAGATAGACAATATTTTACCTGGTTCTTTCAAAGATTTCTTCACATCATCTTCATCAATCACCTGCGTAGGATTTAAGAAATAAAATTCAAGTATAAATACAATCGTAAAATAGTGGCATCATTTTTGTAAAACTAATTTTAAATGAATTTCAGAAATTACCAAAGGTTTTTGTAACATCTTCAGACATTATGATGAATAAAATAATGTGGTGTGCTATCGAATCCAAGGGGCACAGGAGACAGAGGGGGCATTACTTTTTTTAATTTTGTTTACTTGTCACAATAAATAAATACTGTACCAGAGCATACATCTACTCTATAACAATAACTGTTTGTATGCAATATTTGTATTACGTCAGAGAGTGTGGTGAATTGTAGGATAGAGTACACTTCCTTTTACATTTTGTATTTTTCCATTGAAAAATAAATATAAATTGAATGTTACTCACATTTACGTTTTCTTCACTATCTTGTGACCTGGAAGGGAAGAAAACCATGGAAAACTAGCTCTGTGAGCATATATTCTTGAAGATTAACAAAAAAACAGATAAATCTTAAGAATGTACAATTTTAATTTATAATACTGCTACTGGAAAAAGCATCATAAATGAAACATTTAGAGGTTTGGTGCACTACAACAATAAGTAGCACAAAGGTATATATACACAGAAATATAAATTCTATGTATTTACCAATTATAAGTACAAATTCTATGTATTCACCAACGATACAGATAGTAAATTGAAAAGCAGTGTTTTCAAGTTCCAACTGAAATTTCTGGTAAATATGTGGGTGCAATTTGCTTTTACTTGATCAATTCAATACTTGACTTCTATTTTGACAATGCACATACCACTCACATCACCACGCTTCATTCTTTCACACGGCAAATGATGAATAAAAATGAGATTATCTTACTTGCTTTTATGATTCAATGAACCATCTGACTCTTTACCGAACGCAGCTTTCCTCTTCTCCTGTAACCTCTTGGGTCCACGGATGACTCCCTTGGGGTCAACACCAGGGGGCAGCTGCTTGGAGAGGTCAAACTCGTTGGCTCTCCTGATGGACTTGTTCCTCTTCTCCTCCTCTTTCTCCTTCTCTAAGGCTGTGAGGGATTCGGCATCGGCCAGGTTGTCCACGGCAATGGCCAAGAACACGTTGAGTAGGATGTCTGGGCGGAGGCAGTCCCAAGTCAAGGAAAGCTAGTACAGCATTCTCATGGTCATAAAAGAAATTATATACCTCATTTTAAGATTCTTTACTAATCCTGTCTTCTGATTGGTTGAAAATGCAGTCATGTTCTTTACCATGTCCGCTAATTGAAATTCATAGTCATTTTTCCCGGCTCTACCGGTTTATATCCATTTTTCATAGCACTTTTTCCATGGCTGTGAAACGTGACGTCATTTTGCTGCGATCCCCATTTTGGTTTACGTGTTACCGTATAAGTTTCTTTTGTGCGATGACCGATGCGCAATACCGTTAACGGTGTTTGAGTGCAATTCGATTTTGGTCGCTGCATTCAGGCGACGAATCTACCAATCCACGCAGCGCAGACGACCAATCGCCATTTTGTGTACTAGTCTCGATCGCAAAATACTGGGGTTTTTTGTTTCCAATTTTTTGTCAATAAAGAGGCAAAATGGGTGAGTCAACATTTTCCTTTTTTTCGGTATATAAAATATATATTGACTGCTTTTAATATTCGAGGCATAGTTGTTTCTATATGGTCTCGGGAAACTCACAACCTGCTATGACCCCGCGGCGCAAGCGCCTTGGGGTCATAGCAGGTTGTGAGTTTCCCTTGACCCTATAGAAACCACTATGCCTCTCAAAGCAGTCAATATATCCTTACTACTTGATGCCCAACTATATAAATTTGTAGGGCTTATGACATATTCTTCAACTATGTTATAATAATACTACTAATATTGGATATTTATATAGCGCACATATCCACCATGTATGGTGCTCAAGGCACTCCAATTATTACCCTGGCTCTGCTAGGCAGCCGATTTCAGCATTCAAGGAATTCCTTCCTATCGGTACCCATTTAACACCTGGGTGGAGAGTGGCAAATGTAATTTAATATCTTGCCGAAGGACATTATAAGGTCAAGATTTCATACTAGCCAAATTCCATGTTACTTCAACCCTTGACCAAACACTATGTAAAACCCTAACCCTATTGCTAACTGAAAACCAAATTGACCTAAGACCAGACCCTATATAGATGCATTTTGATGAAAGAAAACCTGCACCAACTGTCAGATCACCATTATCTGTAACTTTGATCTGCATCATACATGTATAGGTATATACATACTTATCAGAAATATTTTTTTAAAGATACAGCACATTACGGAATAAATCCTTCTTTAGCAGTATAAAATAGATTTCACATCTTCGAACCAAGCTTGATTTAAACACTAACAAATATATTAACGGGACATATGACATTTTAGCAAAGTAATCTGATTCACTACAAATCTGCTCAGAACAAATCTCCAGGATATATTCTAAGAAATCCAAACAGTGTCGATGATTCATTGTCAAGGATACAGTTACCACAGATATACAAGATGATAAAGTAGGTGCTAGCAAGGAATCCAATTGACTTGACTCCACCGTAAGCCTGAATGCCATCATACATCACCTCGTTCCAGTCTTCACCAGTTAAGATCTACATCACACAAACACAAAAGGAAGAAGAAGGCAATGTTAAGTATCTTAAACTGTGGTCACGCCAAGTCCATCCTCTCCTATCAAGCCAAATTGCGAGCTGAGGAACACCAAGACAACTGCACATATCATACCTTAATTTATCAGACTCTTGCTATATCTCTTTTAGCATTATAATGTAATATTTGGAGCTCAGTAGCTCAAAAAATTATCTCTTTATACTTTGTTATCTCTTTATCACTTTATACTTCTCATTGAATAATATAGATGACCACTCCTTGCCCTAAATTCATTAAGATTATACTCAATGTACATGCCCTCTATTGGCACGTATTTTACATTATTTTTCTGCCCTTTACCGCTTTACAGCCAAGTTTAATGAACTTTTGGGGCCCATTGAACAAACCATAAGTCAAGAGTCAAAGTTTGCTGATTTCTTACTTGGAACACAGTGAAGAGCGATTGAAAGAAGGAATCAAAGTTGCTTCGAGGCTTGAGCTTGGTGCTGTCAAAGTTAAAATGGCCTCCAAAGACTTGCATTCCCAAGAGAGCAAAGATGAGGATGAAGAGAAAGAGAAGCAATAGCAAGCTGGCGATGGAGCGCATACTGTTCAGGAGGGACGCAACCAGGTTCCTCAGCGCTGTCCAGTATCTGCGGGTTCAAAGGAGAGTCAATCTCAGTGAATAAACAAAATACTTCAGGGCCCAAATGAGAATGTGCATAAAATTAATAAAGCATATGAAATAAATTGCATATTCCATCATTTTTATTTGTTATTTTATTTCGTTTTATCTATATGCCTCAAACGAAAGTAAATATATTATATTAATATACCGTACAAAATAAGTGATGGTAAAAATATGGATGAAAACAAAGTAGTACATGAAATTTGATTTAAATATTGTTAGTTTTTTTTTTACAAAGCATTTATTTATTGTTAATCTATTTATTGTATATATGTCACATAATTATGCAAATAAACGGCTATATCAAATAGTTGTATTTTACAATATACAAATTTACAGGGACAATATTACAACAGAATGTGTCTTCACAGTGAAAGGTGTCATTTATTGAAATGGATGTGATGAATAACTTAGAACTTTTCAAACGATAAGAAATAACACAACATAGAAAATAATTTTAAATACCATCGAGGCACCAACATAAAGGAAAAGATCCTCGACCTAATGTATCTATTAATACATTGAAGAAATTCCCATCCTACTTGTCTGCTTAGAGTCATAAGGGCATTAATTCATGTAGATCTATATATACAATAAGCACTCTTTCGGCTCTCAAAATACAATGAGTTTGATTTATTGACTAATTACCTGGTTGCTTTAAAGACCCTGAGAAGTCTGACACAGCGTAAGACGCTGATACCAATGGGAGGGATGATATGGGCATAGATGAAGACGACTTCTATGATACTGCTACACACCACAAAACAATCAAAACGGTTGAAGAGCGACACAAAGTAGCCCTGAAGACCCAGGCTGTACATCTTGATTATCATCTCAATCGTGAAGATGACCACAAAGCACAAGTTGCCAAAGTCTGGGAGAAGAAAACAAACAATCGTCTCAGCATGAAGACACTCTATAATACTGACAAGTTCTATCTTCCAAAGAATAGTAAAGCTATAGACCTAGTGGCGGATTTAGGTCCCCTTGCAGTAAAAGGGGGGGGGGACACAAGTAAGTAAGTTTTATAAAAAATAATTCAAAAAACTGACAAGCAACAAAATTGATTTCTTCCAGGTGTCTTTTTTTGTGTCCTCAATGTCCTCACTTACCAATCCTTTCCACATTAAGTAGTTTTTATGTTGCTACAGCAGTTTTAATACCATGTCATGTGTGAACAACCCTTTGGTATTTAACGGTAAAGACCAGTATTGGAAATGCCCCAATTTCAAAAAATGAAATGGAAGCTCTCATTACCAATCATGTGAAAGAATATGTTTTGACTAATACATGATGATAACAAATTTGCCGGGAAACCGCCTACTAATTCATATATTTGGTAAATTTGTTTCTCTCATGGTCTGTGAGAGATATAGGGTAGTCCCATATACATCTTTCTGTGTATAGTGCTTGTAACTTTACGAAGAATGGGCCAAATTTCTTATCATTTTGATGATTCCAGAACCTTGCAGATGCTAGATGCTAGATGATCAACCTTTTCTGATCGATTCCACAACGTTTCTTTCACAATGCAATCGCATGACCATAACTGGTCTTTACCTTTAATATTGTAATCAATTATTTCCCCTAAAATTCTTCAATAATACTTTCAAGCTATGATTGACAATAAGTCGAGTCTGTATTACTGTTATGCTACATATTCCCATACGGACGGGGAAATGCATAAGATATTGTATTATTCATGTCTATTTCTTTCAATATCTTCTGTTTTTCTGAGTGACAGACGCTTCCTGTCTGTGCATCCCAAAGCCTTTGGGGTATGAAACCAAATATTACATGTCTATCAATCTCATGTTTCAATTCATGAAAAATGAGTAATAAATATGTCCAGCGCACACAAGTAACTAGGCCACGAAAATGGATCATCATCATTGGAATCTTAAAGTCCCCCTACCTCTTTTCAAAGTTTAACATTCAAAACCATGATTTGCACATGCACATTTTCCAAAATGAAATCATGTAACTTGAAATTAGATCATCATTTACAGCGTATTTCATCCAGCTATAAAAAATACAGCAATGTTGGAAAAGCTATTATTCACTCCTTGCACAAAGATTTTGAGAGCTTAGTTGTAAGCTTTCATATACTTCCTTCAGGTTACAACTTAATTCAATATAAATCACTGCTTCAGTTTTGTTTGGTAAGTTTGGTATTAGTAAAGAAGCACCAATATTCCTAAGGCAAACAAAATACTGCAAGAGACCTTTGAATTTCATCTTAATTCTTAATAAAGCGATGAATAAGATATAATGTAACTATGGATAACAGATAATTGTTCCTGCCTCAGCAAATTAACAGTGGAAAGCATTGGGGTTGTCAAGAGGAACATTTTTCAGAGATTCTTGCAAAATAATCAAATATTTGGGGTAACTGGTGAAACAATTTAACCATCATCTACGGTTCATTTTAGGAGCAAACCTTGAAAATCTGTGAGCCACGCAGGCTGGCTATAGTGCTCCGAGGCTAGGATCACTGTGTTGAAGAAGACCATGATGATGACGATCCAATAGAATGCTTGCGATTTCACTGCCTGCCGACATAACCTACGACACCTTCTATTCCATCGTCTGAGTTGACGCCTGGTAAAAGGGAAGAAAAGGGTGGATAATTTTTATTTTAATAAAAGATAAAACATTCCAAGTAGACATCGCAGACTAAAAGCAGCATTTCAAGAGGGCACATGGTTTACCTAAAAGAAAATAATTACTTTTTAATGAGTGTAAAAATGACAATTTTGATTGTATCTCAAAGTTTCTTGGAAATCGTAAAGTCAGAAAAGTGACTGAGCTAACACACAAGAAAACAGGATAAAAATACTATCTATCCATAAATCAATCAATCAAAATTTCAAATTTCGAAAAAATCTACCTTTCTTTCTGCATCCATTGTTGCTGAGGTATTTCACTGCTTCCCATTTCTTCTGATTTGTCATCTGAATCAGACTCGCTTATAGGTTTGGGAACTGCAAGCCAAAACAAATATTTTATATTATAATCTACAGTCCTAAAGTAACATGTTTTACGTTGACCTACCAACAACTTTGACAAGTACTCTCGATCAACTGCATTTTACATATTCATTATTAATGCTATACATACTTATATCAAACAGGTTTTCATCTGTCTTTATCAAATTGTAAAGTGGTATCAGTTCTAAGCATTCAGTATAATTAAAGGCAAAATATCCAAGATGAGATATTAAAGTGTTTCAACTCCATCAAATGATTTATCCAAATAAATGATTAATGATATCACCTCTCACCCTGCCCCCCCCCCCCCCCTTTGTCTCTCTCCATAAAAAATAACTAACAAAATACAAAGTCATGCTTTAGAATTATTTCAAGAACTTTCCTTAAAAATATAATAATAACAGACCAGACTTTGAAGGAAACATAAAATGAGTACTCAAGTTTGTTTAAAAATAGTTGAACATTTGAAACAATATTGTTTAATTTTTTTTGGTTTAAATACAGAGAATCTATAGCAAAATTAGTGAATTGCAGACAATAATTACTATAGCCACTTTGTAAGAGTTAGTATAAAAGTAGTTTGAGAGAAATATATATTATACACTATTCTTAAAATCATATATATATACTTTGCAAGTTGGTTAAACACTGTGAGAACATTACCGTACTTCAAAAGAGAGGTAGAAAGATACATATATTCTTTACGTTCAAACCCAACCTTCCAATTAAAAAATATGATGATAATTTCTACCCTTTCAAGCATTATCTCTGAAATAATACTCTTCATCTTTTTTCATGATGTTCTTTTATTTTCCATACCATGACTTACAATCCAACAATGCATACATCTATTCATTCACAGCAGCACATTCGCAAAACAGAAAGCATTTTGACATAACACAATAAGCAGCAAATTTATGCAACATCGTACATTCTCCTCAGTTCAAGGTTGAAATATATCGAGCCTGTAAATTGATTGCATTGCTGATATCATCTATCAATGGACACAAACATGTAGATTTTCATCTCACAAAACTGACAGAAAACAAGTACAAAGAAAGCGCAATCAAAATATTGCTTTTACCTGTAAGTTCACACCACAACATTACAAAACATTTCATTTAACAGACTTGACAAGCAAAAGTGCATGATGAAAAACAATGGTAACAGACAACATTTGCATGAAAAATGAAGGAAATATTTCCAGCATGGTGAGCTTGCATTCGTAGAAACATAATGACATTTGAAAAAGCACTTTAAGAAACTATAACATGGAAAACAGTTTCCTGAAGCAACTCAAGGTTACATAATCACATTTTGTTCATCTTTATTTGTTATCTTATAAAAGAGGGAAACACTAAGTAAGTGCTTGACAATATTTGATGTTGTTATTATTCATACATAGTGCAGCAGTGTAAATATATGAATGCATTGTCTAAGTAAGTGTGAAAACTTCTATAAACAATACAAACACTTTTTTTAAAACTTCAGTCTTTGCAATATAATCATGTAATCAGCTAAATACAAAGACTGATATAGACTGAACCCATAAGTTTTAATAGTGAAAAGTAAAATACTGTGGAGCAGAGATTAATCATTCATAATTAAACATACCAATACACTTTGTACATGTATGGTAAGTTAATAACAGTTTATAAGAAACCAGGCATTACAAAATAATAAAATGTCAGTTTTCTTGCAATATACTGCCTGTTAGAACAAGTCATTTGTACGCTGCTTAAACTTGCAATATGAAGTTGAATATCACAGAGTTTGACTTAGATTGTACTACAAATTCTGGTATTAAGTCACTAATAACAAAATATAGGCATATTTCTAAAGTTCATTTAGCTTTTGACACTTCAGAGATTTCCATTGATAATGGAGACCTGTATTAACCATGTATACATAGAGGTTGTAAAACAGTCTACCTCTACAATATTATTTTACTTATATGCTTCCCTTTGACAAAAGTCAATTATAACCTGCTAAATCTCATTTTTACCAAACAGGCATTTTGAAAGATTTAAATTATAAAATATCTCAAGCTAGTTATTGAACAGGTTAACAGACATGTATACCAAACTGCATTATACAGCCAAAGGTGCATTATATCACCTTAGGTAATATACAATGTAATATACAATGTAATATACAATGTAATATACAATGTAATATACAATGTAATATACAATGTAATATACAATGTAATATACAATGTAATATACAATGTAATATGCAATGTAATATACAATGTAATACACAATGTAATATACAATGTAATATACAATGTAATATACAATGTAATATCCTCAGCCCCCATGTATAGGAAACTGAATTTTGCCACTATATAAATTCAAGATTAGACTCGCTTCCTCCGCGGTTAAGTCATCCAGTTCATATATAAGAAAGTGTTCATCCAATCAAGGCTAGACTGTACACCTACTAATCAGAGCCCTGGATGCATGTGATCATCAAACCTTTGCATTGTCAGTAGATCCTTGAATTCATATTCTGGCTAGCAGAGTCCCAGATTTATGATCCATTTAGACCAGAGTAAATTTGTGTGAGATTCATATAAAGAACATCATCTACAGAATCATTGTATTGACCAAATACCAGTTTTGAAGTTTTGAAGAGGTGAGATGACAAGTCAGCTTGCCAAATATCATTGTACGGTCCCAATAATCCCCACCCAGTAACGATTTTGGTATGATACAACGTTCAGGTAAGAATGCGACCCACATTCTTTAGCTAGTTTTTGTTCAAAACAATGTTTAAACATGCAGTTTGACTCGCTTCCTCCGCAGTTAAGTCATCCATTTCATATATAAAAAAGTGTTCATCCAATCAAGGCTAGACTGTACACCTACTAATCAGAGCCCTGGATGCATGTGATCATCAAACCTTTACATTGTTAGTAGATCTTTGAATTCATAGCAGAGCCCAGACTTATGACCCATTCGGACCAGATGAAATTCATGCGCGACTCATAAAAAGATCATTGTATAAAGAATCATTGTATAAAGAACATCTCATAAAGAACATCGTCTAAAGAATCATTGTCTAAAGAATCATTGTCTAAAGAATCATTGTCTAAAGAATCATTGTCTAAAGAATCATTGTCTAAAAATCATAGTATAAAGAATCATTGTATTAAGAATCATTTTGTTGACTTCCTACAAAGATAAGTTGTTTAAAGAAACTAGTTTTTAAGAAGTAAGTTTACAAGTCAGCTAGCCCAAAATAATTGTACGGTCACAATGAGCCCCGCCCAGTTACCGGTATACGACTTTTGTATGATACAATGTTCAGGTAAGAATACGACCCAGATTATTTTGCAATATTTTGTTCAAAACAATGCTCAAATACACATTTTGCCATATGCCATTTTTTCATATGACGTTTTAGCTAGAAACAAATTAATGACTTGTAGGATAGCTATCCTGTTTTCATGTAATGAGTCAATGAATTTTGGTGGTCTGAACGGGGGTTAGCTTCCCAGACCTTCTCTCATCCATGCCTGGGAACTAGAGATGTCATCACACCAATTAACCTTTCCAACTGGAGTGCAACATCATTCTAGAGGGAGAAAATTGGCTCAAATTCTTTGTGACAGATAGCTTAAGCTTGCCTCACGTCTTGGGTGATGTATGAATAGATGACTCCATTTAATATGTTCCCCCTTTCGATTAGAGCACTTCATCCGCAGAGAGCAAGAAAGGCGTCGACTCTTCTTACTCCTACGGGTCGTTAACGCCCTTCTGGCTCTCGGCAGATAATCTAATCTCTTATCAAGTTGCTATCAGAGTTGTGAGACAATGGTCTTGAGATACCTATCCCTGATTGATGCAGTCAGGTATTGTTCTCTAGAGGGAGGGATGGGAAGTCATGGGCAAAGAATCGAGGGATAGTTATCGTTGGGTGATGCCACAGATTATTCCTGTATCCGATGTAAATGTCAAGATTTACATGTCTGCACACAAATGGTGAAAAAGGAGAGAAGACTAGATTGTAGAGACTACTGTATGCTATCAAATAAAATCTGTTTTTAGATCATTCTTTGGCATTTGTGGTTATACTATGCCTTGTTCATGCTTTACACACTGCTATTATACAACTCAATAAACCAAATAGTAACCGATCTTAGTATCAAACCAAATTCTAAACTTGGCCTCCTCTTCCTCTCATAGAATAATTTCAAATGAACAATCAATATAGTGATCTATATTAATCAATTTAATGAAAGAAATACAAACACATATTGATGCAATACAAAAGGCAAAATGCAAAATGCAAAAAAAAAAATGTAACATTCATGCTGAAGTACAAGAGAAGGCACATGGCTGGAATCTAAATATACTGAAGAAGCATGGATTTATGAAAACTTTTTAAGAACTACAAGGGATAAAACACAACGATGATACACAGTTCAGACTGTTGTAAAGACAGTTCACACAACATAACTGTCTTATCAATGATATCACAAAGGCAGCATGCAAGACAACTTAAACATCAATACTTTTTGTTGTTGCACTATTGTTTTGTTTTGTTTTCATTCTTTCATTTTATTTTCAAAAGCTGAAAATTTGTGGAAAAAAGCATTCACATTCACTATTATTGGAGGGAAATGTTAAAGATAACATTTGTCAATGAATGTTGGAAATGTTGGAAATGTTGGAAAGGGCAACATGAAGTTAACAACCTCCGACATTTACAATCGTATGTATCATCTGGATCAACAAATAAATGTAACTAAAAAGCAAAATATTTAAAGCAAGAAACAAAATTGGCTTGAACACTATGGAGTTCAAAATAGTTTTTAATGAAGCAATTTAGACTTTAATAGACCCATTGTGTATCACAGATGGCAAGTCTACCCCACAAAATAAATGATCTACTTTCAATTTGTACTTTTTTGTACAATTTCCTTCTTAACATCATGTATACACTGTAAAAGGAATTTCAAATTTTAACAATGAAACAATGAATAAAATCCCTGACTTTCATTCTTGAAAGTTCAATAAAGACAATTTTTTGCAAACTTCATGACACAAAAAGGGTTACAAGACATTTTTCACACCAAAGGAGCACATATAAACATAAATATGTTACATTATTATGTCTTTAACATGCATGCAATACTACAATTACAATACCTTTGGTGTTTAAGGTACCAAGTCTCTTCCAGAGAACTGTGTGTCAAAGGTTAAAGGTCATCGGGGTGGAAGGTTAATGCAGCAAGGGTATAAATGGGGATAATTAAGTAGGGAGTATAGGGTTAATGCATGGTATTGTTTAATAATGCAATCCAATATCTGTTAATCTTAATCAAAAATGCATATTAAATAGAGGTTATGGTTATTCCGGTTAATAAGATTGAGTACAGCAAAATTAGTCACAAATTACATGTGAGGAATGACTTGATCTCTAGAATTGTGTATATGAATTTGTTATTTTACCGATCACATACTTTCATACACTATTGTGAAGTATACTACTAGTGTGTTAATACTCGGTTGTTAGTTATGATGTCAATGTATTCACCCAATTGTTTCTGTTTGCTTTTACTCTTTTTGGAAAACAGCTTGCCTGTAGGAAAAAAGATTGTATCAAAATAGACTAAATTTATGATATATCATGCTAGATTTAAATTTTTACTAGATATCATCATTATTCAAAACAATTTAGGTATTTGACACTCCCATGTGCATTATCATATATTACACCTTATACCTTAACAATTTTGCATGCCAGGTATGATTGTTCAAATGAGATCTTAATTTGTAAACAGGCTCATATTTTCAAAATAGAAGGACAGAATAATTTCAATCAAATATATGTGATTAAATAATAACTGAGAAATAATGTAAATTGATGCTAATGATGGGTCTAATGAATGGGGAATATGATATGTACTAAAAAATATTTCCTAAGTAACTAACTACTGCATTAAAATATGTGCATAAAATAAAACGTATTTCGTCTGAATACACCTTATATTCATGTTCACAGACACAATTACATCTGGGCTGTCAAAAATGTATTTTGAAACTCGGAAATCATTATACGATCAACTTTTTAATTATTTGTGCTATACTGCTTGTGCTTGGTCATTCATGGAACATGATCCAGGCGAAAGGTTGGAGGTCAAATGTCACAAACCACAACCATTTTACGATAGGGGTCATTGTCACATTTTGTTCAGGAGGGAAACAAGTTCGAGGTAGGCAGATGCATTATGGGAATGTGATGTTCTCTCTTTCCGATGAAAACATGAAAGGGGGTGATTCTTAAGGAGCATCAATGAGAAACAATTTGACCTTTGAACAAACCTATGACCAGGTTACAGGAATAACAAAAATAGATGGAGGTACATAACTTGGTCATCATACACACATCTACACATCTAAAAATTTTCATCTGGGAAACTATTTCAGGAACATTTTTTTTCTGGACATAATGAAAAAGAAGACATCTGATGAACCGACTACAATTTACCAAATAACCAGCAATAGACATTTTTCTTTTCTTTTCAAATTGAGGGGACATCAAAAAGGGGCATTTGATTTTGACAATGATCAGGCCACATATGACACAGTCAGTTTGGAACACTAGTTGGGACAGGACACCACATATGTGTTCTCTGCAGGAACAATGGACAAGAATTCAATATTTTGTGACAATCATGGACATCACACGATGCTCAAATGACAATGGGGGTCACATATTTTGGACAACTGCTCTGAAAATATACCAATTCAATTTTTCATATTTAAATATCTCTTAATTCCTATTAACAACACAAAAACTAACATATTTACTTGTTATACTTTAAAAAATATAATCTAATATGAAAACATTCAGCATTATCTTCAACTTCACTGCTTTATGATCAATATTAGGCAGTTTAAGATAACTTTATATATATGCAGGACGGTTGAAGCTAATATTTCTCTTTTTTTCATGTTACAATGTGAAAAAGTCATTAATTGCCATAAAATGTAAACTGCACCCAAATCAGAATTAATAAAAACATGATTAGTCTTTGATAATCCATATAAGGAAAACAAATGAAAGTAAAAATGTTCAAAAAATCACTGCAAGAAAGGAATGAAATATCACACAACCTATTAAATGAATGTAATATCAAATGAAATCAAAGAAAATGGATTATTTGTTAAATGATACGAGTGGATGAGAGAGAAAAGTAATTATTGAGTTTTCACTTACCGTGTTTTGGCGGACCTGGGTTTTGCTCACTGTCATTATCAGGATCAATATCCTCTGTGAAGAAAAAAAAGACCGAAAATTTAACAAATATGTATGGTTAACATTTACAATTGAAGGATGTCAGTTGCATTCCTTTGATTAAAAGGTTACCACATCTCTAAAAATAGTGTCTGCTTTGAGCGGGAATAGCCTTTAATCTGCAGAATCAATTTGAGTTAATGCAGTTCTGGCTCTCAGCAGAAGACATGTTGACTATATTTTGTTAAAAAGATCGTTTAATATTTTCATATTGTATTTGCCAATAGCAATCATCTTTGCATAAGATTGCTTTGATCACAAAATACAAGGCAAGATCCAAGATGCACCAACCAACCTTCATTTCAACTGTACCCGCTAAATCTATCTATTCAACTGCAATAAGAACGATTGTGCCGTCATATCTTAATGGCATTTAAATACAGGAGATAATACCATTTCATAATTTTGCAATTTTGCCCTTCGCGCAATGCTCGGGATGAGATGCATACACTTCTGCACATTGGCAGTTGCCATGGAAACCATGCATTACCTGCTTGTGTGATCCAGTCTAAGTAGCCTCGGAGATCCTCCTCTATCTGTTGCTTCTCTCGTAGCTTCTGAAACGCTCCTCTTGCTTTGGCCTTTTCTCTCTCCTTGGAGAATTCCCTGGGGAGGATTGAAGCGAGGTAAGAATTACAAAGGAAGCTAGGAAGCCAGGCTTATGGCCTTATCAAAGCAACCATTAAGGCAGAGCACTGTAATAACAGCCATGTAAGAGCATGGAATGAAAAGATGATATATTGATAATATTGGCTGCGAGAAGTGACGAGGCTAAATGCATTTCCGATGATCGAAACCTGTTGTCTTCTGCTTATAATCAGTATCAATAGGAGGGGTAAAAGAAGTGCAAGGTAAAATATGATGAACAAGACGTTGTTCTATAGAATGCTTTTTCTCTTTTGTATTTAGTGTTTATCCTTCTCAGGCATGACATTGTTTTCCCATGAAAATTATTTTTTTGCTGAAAGAATCACTGATACAATTCCATTTTTATTTGCTCAATTTTCTTTTCAATACATCGGAGCCTGAAAATTTCGCATTTGTGTATTTTCCAGAATATATCTTTGAGTGTATGTTGATATAGAATATTTAAAGTAGCAACTATTCTTGTATGATATGGTTTTGACTCATGTAGATGTATGTAGTGCCAAGAGATTGACAATTTATGGGTAACAAGGTGGTGCAACATTAAATTTTAATTTGTGTCTAAAATATGAATAGAATATCCAAACAAGCAATCTAAGAAATCCATGAAGTAATTTAAAAAGTGTTATTCCTGGAATTTAGCCAAAGTGCTATATGTTTGCCATTTCACATTATACAATTTCAAAGGTACACATATGGGTATTTCCCTGATTTTCCTGAATATCCCTGTATTTCCCAGTATTTCCCAAGAAATTGCTTACCCTTCTAACATTACTAAACGCAGCTGGCTAGACGGTTTAAGGTTTCCTGCTCACACGCCTCACATCCCGTGATGAGGACAAACATTAGATGGCAGGCGGGCAGTAGCATGATTTGCGCACCCATGACATTCATCCATGCGATTCCCAGAAATGCTCTATGATTCCAAAGTTCTCACACAAGTTTTTCCATCTGATTAAAACTGAATTCAAGCTCTCTAACTGGAATTTTTAAAATGTATATCTTTCACTCGTTTGAAAGAGAAGACCTAAGACTTTGAGTCTCACTTAATTTGTAGCGAGGCAATATTCCACTGTATAAAATAGAATTAATCTGGAAGTTACCAAAAATTATCTAAAACTGTATGTTTTAAGCAAAATATGACTCAATTATTGGAAAGAGGGTATATTCTTTCAATGACTTAATTATTCAATATGTTAGAAATCTAGAAGGATTTTCCTCTTAAAGTTGAAAACAGAGTTTGCCAAATTCTCCAACATATTTTTGTTGTTATAGTTATTATGTTTATCTTGAAAGCTTTTACATGCACAACAATTAAAATAAAACAATGTTCATCACTTAATTTTGTATACAGATTAAATTGATCAGGGAGGGTTTAAGGCTTGTGCGAGCAAGGGATATTCATACAACAAACTATGTTTTATATAATGTATGACTGCTGCTGGGGAAATGCCCAGCTTTATACCTAAAAAGAAATCATTATTAAATCTTATGGTACACAGTGTGCACTGTGCCTCACAGATCTACAGCAAGGGCCTGGAAAGCCAAACATCGTAAGAGCTTACAAGCTCACATATCAGCTAAGGTCTCTTTGCATTGCAAGGGATAGCACAATGTTTCCTGGCTACAGGCTAAATGTGTAACGTCAGACTGATGTAAAAATCATAGTAAGACAGGCCTCCGTCTATATACATACCAGCAGCAGGCTAGCTAAGAAATGATGATGTGAAATCCATACGGAGTGGTTGGATGTTTGTTAAGCATGTTCTCTTGAACATGAAGACATGAATGTTTTGACTTCATAAATGATGGAAGATGCTTTAATCAAACAGGATTTACATTGTGATGAGATTAATTACTCATTGCCTCTAAGTATCCGAACAATTATCATGAATGAAATTTCTAGTAGAAGAGTTTGAGCTTGCATTATTTTGTCTGTATTGAGAAAGTGGCAATACATTACATCACCTGGTCATAGACCTACATATGCATATTCTGTTCTGGATGATTTTGTTTTTGTTTTAATTTCAATCATAACATTATATACGTCAGTGAAATTCTTGGACATGATTAGCTTTCCATGACAAAGAAAGATTTAGTATAATAGAATTGACTCGGGGCTTTAATAGCTGCCAAAACATACATGACACACATTCTATCATATAACAGAACATCTATAAGCAATATTGTGTATGTTACTATCTACATAATTACCTGATATATTAAGTGATGTTGGAAAGGTGAATCAATTAAAAAAGGCTTACCTAAATTCATTCTTAATATCAGACAAGATGGGCATATGTGTATCAGGTTTATAATCAGAGTCAAAGAGCATGCTACGTTCAGGATGTAATACATTGTGAAATATATTTGAATCACGGTTAATTGTATACTTTAAACAACAGTGATATGCTGCCTCAATCAAACTACATTCTAGGATAATATTTAAATCTCGAATAGAATATACTTATTTCAGAGGTATTAACAGTAGATAAGGTATATTAGTATCATACTTCCTCTTGTGTTTTTGCCCCATATGATTGCCTCATTCAATTTCAGAGTACTTCAATAGTGATTGATCCTATCCATTATTGTTACTATATTCGCATCCCCAGTCGAATTAACATATGTATGCAAGTCAATAAATTGTGTACCGGTATTCAGGTCAAATATGATAATAATAACAATAATAATATTCCATTCTTGTGTAACACAGATCATGAGCTTCCAAAAAGCTTTGGAAATGATTACCCTAGCTTAAGCTCCAGCAGTCGTTATTAGCATATAGTGCATTTGAAGGAAAAATCCTACCAGGTTCTGGCCATTTACCTCACCTGGGTGGAGTGTGGCAAATGTAGATTAACATCTTGCCAAGAGGATTTGAACCCAGTACCTTGTGGTTCACAGTCCTCAGACTTTATCCACTGGACCACATCACTTCTATATGTCCATAAAGAATACCTCTTTCATCATGATTACAACACCAAGCATATTTCATTGTAATATGTCACTTTAAAAAATCAAACACCTTATAAACTGGGTTCATATCTTGCTTAGATAAGCATATTATGTGCATGTCTCTGGCATAGAGAGGGAACATTCTACATAGTACACTGGCACCATGCTCAAAAAGATGATGATGATGTGAAATCCATTCGCATGTTCCCCACACGATTACCTGATTAATTAACTGAGTATTTTAATAGCGATGTGTTGCCCCCGTCAAACGGCATTAGTCTAGATTCAGATTTCATGCAGACAGGCGTACGTGTAATCCACTGCACGTTTCCTACATGACTCCATAATTAAGTACTAATATGTGCTTCGTTCACGGTGTAAGCCACGATTCATGTTTATCAACTGTATGGAGACTGAGGGGCTTTATCTTTCATCCGCCTACTTTAACACAGAGTTAACGCCCTTCTGGCTCCAAACAGACAAAATATTTTATGTAGATGGGAATGTTATTTTCTGTAAACAAGAAAGACAGTCTGTCTTAATAAACACAGGTTAACACCCTTCTGGCTCCAAACGGACAATATTTTATGTAGATGGGAATGTTATTTGCTGTAAACAAGAAAGGCAGTCTGTCTTAATAAACACAGGTTAACACCCTTCTGGCTGTAAGCGAACAATGCAACAATGTTTTGTGATTTAATCTACAGAGAAAGGAACATCGGTACAAAAGTATGGAAATGCGGAGTCCTTGAATAAGCATTTACATATCATCTGTTTGAAGCCAGAAGGGCGTTATTAACTCTGTGTAGAATGATATTAGTTTGATAACGCCCTTCTAACTCCGAACAGATGAATTATCCTCTGCTGAGAGCTAAAAGGGTGTGAAGCTTGTGTTCTAATATATGTGTCAAGGACCTTCTGGCTCTCCAATGAAGAAACTCTTCCTGTCACACTTACCCTGATTGATCAAGTAGTTGTTTTAGGATACACAATTATATTAGATAGCTTAGACAGATACCGAGATGTGATTGGTCCAGAGCTCATCACGTTCGAGGATCCAAATTGTTATATTTTACAGGCCGGTGAAATGAATATATTTTTAATCAATGTATGTCGCCCTCTTGAGGACTGTATGTCACCAATTACATACATTACACCATAAACGAGGGTCTTTTTTTTTTTTCAATTTTTTTTTCCCCTTGAAATTTATTTTTTCCACATTCTCTTTTTTTCCCGAAAAAATGCTTTTTTGGGAAAGATTTTTTTTTTCTTCAAAAATTGTTTTTATTAAATTTTTTTTTTTTTAAGGTTTTTTTTTTCTTCCTTGAATTATCTCGACAGATTATTTTTCCATAATTTTTTTTTTTTGCACAAAAAAAAATTTCGGGGAAAAAAAAAATATGGACCCCCCCCAAAAAATAAAAATAAAATAAAATCAAGGCTATCTAATATAACAGTTATTGACTGGCAGGGGGTATATAACATTCTTTGGACCTGAAGGGAGTTATATTTTCCCTCGTGACCATATTTCCGTCGTGACCATATTTTCCCTCAGCGCTGCGCGCTTAGGGAAAATATAACCACTTGGGAAATATAACTCCCTTCAGCGGTCCAAATAATGTCATATTACACCCCCTGCCAGTCAATAACTGTATAATATTTAACATAATGAGATACAGAAATCATCCATTGATCTTTGAAATATAATCCATCGATCAGGGATTTTCTTTGACGGGGATGATCAAGATCAGTGGCAAGAGCTATCTAGCTTCTAAAAGACAAAGTTGAGGAATAGTCACGTGGTTGCATATAGATTACATAAGAGTAGTTGTGTATTTTAAGGTTTTGGAATCATCAAAATGATAATGAATCAACTGTTTTCTTTACAAATCATACACATTATAAGGCACTACATGATATATATGGATGTATGGTAATACAAAAGTTTCGTATCTATTTTGGTCCACGGTTTTAATGTATTTCCTGTTATACTTAGAACATGATGGCATGCCAAGTGCAATCTTTTCTGAGTGACCTTGCTAATGTGATAATCTTCCGAAATAGAAATCAAGAGATACCTGACACACCTCATAAATAATTTTCACCTTTACCAAGTGACAACCTTCTCTTTATCAAATCACCAGCTCTGTGAAAGTTCACCTCCAAGTAGGTGACATGTCAGTGAATATGGAACACGTAATCAGTTTGATGATTTGGTTACCATCACAATTCATTGTTCCTGGTTTATTATGATTTGAAACTTTAATGCTGGCCCACAAAGCAACTCAACTTTTCACCTACAGGTGTATTGTTTCCTGTACTATAGAAAATTGGCCCCCACTAGCTTGCATTCTGATTGAACATTAAACTTTCATCACAAATTTGAATAAAGTAACCATCAATATGTTCCAATTTGTATTTATTTTAGGAAAAAGAGAAGAGAAAGAATGTGGCTGATAGAATTGTAACATCAAAATGAATATTGATGAAGGCTCCCTGACCTAAAATTCAGATTCAATTCCATATTGTCATTTGAATCTATCTGGAGGAATCAAAATTGCCATAAGTATGTCAGTACAAGTGGAATTATGTACTGTGAAAAAAAAATGAAATATTTATTGACTGAGGTGGCATTGGGATGAAAAGTGAATGCACTGTAAAAATCACTGGCTGATGCAAGGTTTAATAAAAACCTGTCTAATCTTTGCTATCTACCTAGATATGTCTACAAAGGTTTGTTTTCAATCAATCATATTTGATTAGAAAAAAAAAGAATTTCTCTTTCAATTTAAGTCACTGATTACACCAACTGACATATGCATACATCATGAAAGTGTGGGCATTCGTATACAAAACTATTGGAAAGTTGGAAATATCCTGGGGGGTGTTTCACAAAGATTCTAAGTCGAACTTAACTATAAGTTTGACTTAAATATTATGGAGAGCCATTTGTAGCCTTAAAATGAAATATATTGAAAAGCAAAATTCAAGTATTTCAGACTTTTCATGAATTCCACATTAAGGACATGAAATCTCCCAAGATAATAGAAAATATGAATGATTTGAATCAACATTTTATGCCTTTTAGAATAATTTTCATAAAATATTTTCAATGATGCTAACGGCTTTCCATAATTGTTAAGTCCAACTTAGAGATAAATTCAACTTAGGATCTTTGTGAAACACCCCCCTGGACTTTGCACCTGTTCTTTGTGAATTATCAATCCCTTTATCAAGCATATAAGGATTCTCACAGAAATAATAATATAAGTTTGGTTTAGATGTGAGTTGACTTGAGCGGATGAACTGGTTGACGTATATTTTAAGCAATTTGTTCTTCCCCACCCACTATCAGGGTAGGCGTCTAAAGGTAGTAAAGAAAAAATAGCAAAATAGAGTGTTTTCATGGAATAAAATTAAACCCCTCACCTATGGATTATGGTATGACATCAACTACAAAGTATATCTAGAATAATCAGGATACACAAAAATAAATTAAAGCAGTATTCTGATGATCTGTCGATTCAAAATCTATGTGTAGGTGTATTCAACAAATTTTAATTTGATTTTAGTAATCTCTTCGACCTTTGGCAACTTTGAATTTTTTTCGCTTAAAAACTTGAAAATTATAAATGTAACTTTCATACAAAGAAGCATGCAATTGTGTCACATGACCCTCTAATTTTAATTAAAATTTCTATACAAGTAGGACTACTGTACAAGGCACAAAGATAATTAATGAGAACAAGACTATTTCCAACAGAAAATCTTAGAATATCTAGATCATGAACCTTCATGTGGCATTTACCAGGAAACAAATGTTGAAATTGCAGTACGTTAAACTCTAAATAGTTATAAACCACCAGATACATCTCTATTCTACCGGTAGTTAGATCCTTTTTCAAATGACCAGCAACTTCAGAATCTTCTCATACTGCATTTGATACACGACAACCGTTGACCATGGATGACTCCTGGATTCCAATTTCCAAAAAGTCAAACAAACATAACAAAAGTTATCAAGCAAAGAGAGAAGGTCTACTACTCCTAAAATATTGGGGGTGTAAACATACGCCCCAAATCCCTGACTAGCAACAAAAGAAGAGGAGTTTGGTCCCCCTCTGACCCCCTTCCTCTTCTAGATCTACCCCTATCGACACAATAGTATGCTAGGACCAGCAATGGATAAAATTAGAAGATTGATTATTGTTTAAAAATAGCTGCTTTGAAAGCACCATGCCATATAAATAACATGTGGTCTAACCTTAAAAAACATGACCTTAAGATACCACGACCTTTTCTACCTTCACAAAAACAGAACATGAGGTGTGTTGAAATCCAGAATGGTGTATAAGGTTTGTGAGAACTACATGGGATAATGCCCTTCTACCTTTCAACAGACGATATATCGTAGCATCACTCTAAATCAACTTCCATTTTTGTTAACTATGAATATATGGTATGTTTCTGATCTGTGCTTGCTTTAAATTCTTTGATCAATTACCACTTCCCTTTTGATTTTAAGTTCATCATAATTTGCCATTTAAGTTATAATTCCCCTACCTAGTTTTGATGTTTTGTGCAATATTGTACCCATAAACTGACATAAGTTTATTGCGTAAATTATTCTACCGTTGTCTGATTGTTATGTATTGCTTTGTGCTTTTAATCTGTATTTGAAATCCAAACCTTCTTGGTTGTGACAAATAAATAAACAACTATATAAATAAAGCTATTGCAGCTTTGAGAACACTTCCTGAGTATCACGCAGGTCCTAAAAGATGTCTCACAATATAAGTACTCATAGTCAAAGGCTCATGAAATTCGATAGGTAACACAATCCATGCTAGTGACAAGCAATTATAGAAGTTTAGAAATATTTTCTTAAGTTCGATGTCAGCTATTGTGGTTGTTTGTTTTACTGGGCGTTGTTTTTTATCTTTCTTCTCAAGCACAGAGATGCATGGTGTTGAAATGCATCCAGGATGTGAAAAGGAACCACAGAAAATATAATTTTTCATGCATCTTATTGATCAAATTCTTCTCATCTACAACAATTAAGTAATCTGATATGTGAATTCCGAAGTGGATGTGACTTAAAATGAAACTGATAGCATTGGTAGTAATAGGCCCGTCTTCATCAGCTCAAGTTTGCAGAATAACCTGCTATTTTGACTATCCTGATCACAAATTATCCAGCTGATTTGCGTCTTCATCAGTCCGCCTTTGCAATTAGCGGGATATTTGGTAAAGAAAATATGCTGAGAAATATTGGTCTTGTTTCTAAAATATCCCGCTATTTGGGAAACAGCCAGCTAATTTCCGCCCGTCCTAGCCATTTTGCGATTTTTGCGGATTTTTTGGCAAACTCAAGCTGAATGAAGACAGGTCTAATGAGACTTCTTTGGGCAGATGTGGTTTCAATTTTGGTTCAAATGATAAATAGCATTTTTTGTATCATCAATAAGAATAAAAAGCAAACATGAGTTGAAAAATATCTGTGTCACTGGAAGTCTGGATCTAAAAGATCTTAAGTGCATTTTATTTTCCTTTAACTTGTATTCACAAAAGTTTATGCATGATCTCACAGAGGGTTTTGTATTATTATGCTGTATATTTAGGGATATTAGGATTAAACTGTGCTTTCTTACCAATTTAGCATTTTTATAGTACAGTACACAGCCTTGAACACAACATATTGATACAGTAGCAGATCCAAGGGACATAGGGTGCATGTGATTCCCTCCTGCCCCCCCCCCCCCATCAAACCAAACTTTGCCATTACTTAATACTCCCTTGAATACTAAATCTGAGGTAACTTGGGCTGGGAACTATGTGAAATATGTGTTACACCTTAATCAAATCATCTCAACAGATTAACAAATGCCATTTGTTTGGAAAGACAGGGGCTTTAGCAGAGCAATAACTCCCTTGTAGCTCCAAACAGATGATACATATATGTGTGTCCTTGTCTTTTGCTTGTTTGGACCCCGGCCCCCCCCCCCCCCCCCACTCAGTGTTTTTAAGGGTACGCGTATGCTTGTTCCCTCTTTTTGAAAGCACTCCTATCTAAGGATTGCCAACATTTCCGAAACTCCCTTTCGCGGGCTATTCGCTGGCTTTTCCTGCCTTGGAGACCCCCCCCCTAAATACGGAAAAATGCTCAATGTACCCCCCTAAATTCGGAATAATTTCTCAGGAGTCCAAAGAGATGAGAGAAAAAAAGAAAAAATACCCCCTTTTTAAAGAAATCTCCAGGTGAAAGTCAAATACACCCCCTTTTTTTACAATTCTCGGGCCGGACTTTGTCGCACGAAAAGTATCCCTTTACCGGACATTTTGGTAACATGCATGCGGTCATTCTGACCATGGAGTGGGGGGGCCGGGGTTTGGACAAACAAACATTTGAGCCCCTCCTCTACAAAAAGTCCTGGATCCACCACTGTAACATTTCAATAAGATATATTGTTTGAAACAGATAAATGGCTCCATACGAGTGCTGTGGATCATCATCATCATATAATACTGAGTTATGAATGATCTGTTTGAAACCATAAAGGTGCCACCTCACATATACTTTAACTGAGAGGTTAAACAAATGCCCTTCTGGCTCCAACCAGATGAATTATAAAAAAACTTGAAAGTGACTTACCCACTTAGGACACCAAGAACCAGGTTGAGAACAAAGAATGAACCAATGATGATGAGACTCACAAAGTAGAGGAACGGCCACCAGGGACCAGCACCGTCATTGATCTGAAATCACAAGATCAAACATCCATTTTAGAAATGAAACAAAGAATTAAAACGTTATTTAAAATTTGTATGTAATTTGTTCATTTGTGCAATAAATAGTATGTATGTAAGAGAGAGAGAGGGACAGAGATTTGATTTGTTTTAATTAGATGTTATTTTTTTTCCATGTATACAATATACATCATCTTTGATTTTCAACATGGTCACATAAAATCATACATAGAAAAAAGGGGTCATCATATGAACGGACATCCTTTTCATAAGTAAAATATGCTCATACAATACATATATATATACATAATATGTGAAAAATGAATGATGGAACCGCGATTGGCCAACAACAAATGAAAGAGAAAGAGAGAGAGAGAGTAAGAAAGGGAAAGGGAAAGGGAAGAGTTGCATTCATATAGTGTCAAGTGAAAAATTTAAAGTCTGTGGATATCAAACACCTTAATAACATAAAAGAGAGAAAAACAGAGAGAGAGAAACAGAAATAGAAATGGACAGAGAGAGAAGGAGGGAAGGGTTTCAACATTCAAGGGAAGAGCATAAAACCAATTTGAAAACTTTAAGCATTATACCTTTTGAAATTGATATCCTTTAGCCCATATATGGTATAATAATAATAATAATCTGTTTTTTATATAGTGTTCAAAATGTGCAAAAATATTGACGAACATATATAAGCATAACTAAGTAGGACAGCAAAAGTGGATTAAAAAACTAATTGTATCACAAATCCATCAAATTTTGAAAAACATTATGATAAAATGACTGCAACATAAAAACTGTCCTTTCATGTTTCAAGTTTTTAAAATATTTTTTTAAATGATAAACTATCCCATAGCAGAATTGAATGAAGCTCCAAGATATGAATGGTAAAGGAGGTTTCAATGTCTGGGCTGTTTACAATTTGTAGGCGATAAAATATTCCTACAAATCATTCCTTTCCGATAAACACCCCTTCTCCTCTGACTCTGGCAACACTTGTAAGTTAATCTTGGTTATCACCCAAGGAAAGGCTGAGTGCTTCTCCGTCTACATCTTCTCTTTATCTCCCTCTGTCTACCATCTTTCCTTGGAAAGAAAAAAAATCAATGAAAAGGCCGTCTGATAGGGGCACAACATTCTCTCCGGCGGCGTAGCATCGGCAAACACAGCCCAAGATCAGGGCAAACACTAATCCTGATGATTAAATCCTCATCATCAAATAATTTCCTTTCCTTACAGACATGGAGCTTTAGAAACCGCCTTGAGGGGAGGGGGGGGGGGGTTAGGGTGTGTAATGCGCTACCTAGGCAAAGGTCACGCGAGAGGAGGTATTCATTACAATGTTAACAGCAAGACCGGCTATCCATTGCAAGATGGTGCATGGCCTCAATGTAAAGCTATGTAATTCATCTTGTTCACTGGCAACACACATGGGAATATCATCAGAGCACTCAAACACAGAGATATATGTTCCGCCTGATTGATTCTCAGGAATAAAACATGACAGTGGTATACTGATATGCATCTCTGATTTTATAGCATTACACTTGGAAGAAACCATTCTGCACTACTGCTGATACATGTCCAACTAACTTAAGCTTAAAACCCAAAACAATGTGTTTTATGTCAGATATAAGTATGTAAACATGAGTTTCGTCAAAAAATATACTCTTTAGTATTGAATTATAATGTTAAGAAATAGTATAGAGAAGAAATAATATACAAAAGTGATAACCCATCACTATCATCAATTCAGAAAATGTATGGAATGAAAATTCAATGTATTTTGTTGTATAATAAAGACTTTAAAGTGCAAAAATGGTTAGAATACATAGTTCTAAAAATATACACACACTGTCTGTGCAACCCTTCACACCCTTTTACCAGTTAAACAGCTCTTTTAAAATTATTTTCTTGCTACCTATTTTGAATTGATTAAATGAATACCATCCTAATTTCCATCCTTAACATGGCTTACTTATCTTTAACCCATTAACTACTGAGTTCTCTCATTCCCATAGGCTCAACACAGGGTTCGACCTCTTTCAGTAGGCAATGAGTCAATAGTGGATGAAATGGAAATCAAATTCAAGTTAAAGTTAATTTTATTCAAGTTTGTTTTCATCCTTAGTTCGGCTTACTGCTCTCAAAGAGCCATATACATTTAAAAGTGAACTTCTGATTACTAAAACTAATTGAACAACTTTTTCTCTTTTTATTCCTTTGTTCCACTTCTGACATCATCTAAATTTCCTCGGAGTAGGTTCTACCCAAGATGGGATTTCAGTCAATTAAGGCCAGGTAATACAGGCCAGGTCTCAATTCACAAAGGCACATGTTTCTCCCTGTAAGATATCTAGACGAAACCCCAAAGTAGTTAAAAGTTATGACACAGAGCATCCATCATTGATGTCACACACGCAAGACCCCCTCCCTCTAGAATTGATCCTTTTCACACATGCAGCTGATGGATTAATAACCAAAAAGTTGAAAGACCTTCCAATTTCCCAAATGCCTGAAATAGATTTAATGGGAATTTATGATGAAATGCATCTGTTCATTCATTCTATATGCACTTGATCTTGTACTTGATTTTTTTGTGTAAAAATATTTGTGAGATTTTGATACTACTAGACAGACTTAACAGTCAATTTCTGCTACCCTTAATGAAAGATAACAATGCTGCATATAACTATTAATTAAAATCACATTGTTCACTTTTCAATCAAGCAAAATGGAGACAAAAATCTCTCATGACAAAGATATGACGAGTGACAAATTGATTCTTGTTACCATTAAAGCTGATCTTAATTGCAGCTGAACAAATACAAATATGACTGATCAAAAGCATATGACACATCAGAAATACAAAGTGAATAAATGAAAGTCAAAAGATATAGGTGCCTTCCTGTTACACAGAGCAAACTGACAAGTTTGAAACCTGATATAGGAGTAAGAAAATAACATAATACAGAATATGGAAAAAGGGGGTTATGACACATCAAAATAGAATTAGTGACCCCCTTTTTAGGTACGCATTCCTTTCAAAATACAAATTATTTCATAATGTGTATGATATTAGCAAATAATTGAATATATAATCCTGATGCCTGTAGCGCATTTAATCAGCCACAGTACACAAGGCTGTATTATACCACCAGTGACAGTAAACCTGTTCATTAGCATTATATACCTAGCCATATTACAAGAAATCTAGGCGATGCTGATGTACTGTGCACGAGTTACACTGAATTATGCATCTAATTGGGGAAGCTCAGTTATATTAATGACTAAATTGGACAAACTAATAGCACTTTGCTTTTAGGGGAATTCTCACCGGCACCCAGAGCCGTCCTCTCGCATGCATCTCTCCCCCGTCATAAAAGATGCATTATATATATATATACTTGATAAATCATACTAAAGACGAGAACGGAGGAACAAGAACATTGGGAAAGGTCAGAATACTACACCTGGGATCTGTTGTATAAAGGGGGTAATATGATACATCATTTGAAAGAACGTTAGCATTCAGCTATAGTGAAGGTCAATTAGGCCCTGTTCTAACATGCTCAGTCGGAGATGGGTGTTGATGGATGATCCACTTACTGATGTTGTATCACCATGTGGATTAATACGACATGGGAAACCAAACTTGCGACCTCTTGCATAAAAAAAGGTTGCATCATACTCCATAAGACCAAAAGAAAAAAAACTTTCAATTGAACAGAATCATTTATTTGGTCTTGCATCAGGATTTCTGATGTTGTGGTTGAATGTAACTCATTATGTAGTTGGCATCTGACAAGTGAAAACAATATGATGACCAAGGTAGAGTATCCAAGTAATTAGCAGATCCAGAGTGGAACCCCCCCCCCCCCCACAATCCAAAACTAACATCTCTTAATTACACATCAAGTATTATGCCCCCTCCCACATGCAATTGAACCCTTTTTTCCTTTTTTTTCCTGAGAATATTCATACTTGTTCAAGACAGACAACCGACAGACATACAAATGATTATGACGGTTGTTAGATAAAGAAGGGTTTTGTCATATATCAAGACAGACACAACCCCCCCCCCCCCCCCCCCCCCCTCCCCTCCACCCATTCCTCTCCGGCAGAGACAATCCTGGATCATCCACTGACTTATAACTGGGCATGACTTGGTTCGGGGATCTGCATGCACATGTCTGAATTTAACCTGAAAGCACCTACAACGCTCGATCAGCTCAAGACTGTCTATGGCACAAACCAGCGGCAATAACAGCACAATAGAAGGCCAGTGATACACAAGTCAATAATAGAATGTCATCTTGTCTAATCAGCTATCGAATGAAACACTAGTCATCCTGTAACATGAAACTAGAACATGAAAGTTGAGAGGTAGGGTGGCCGGGGAAATGTGCCCTTTGCCCAACATTAAAAGGTGATGATGAGAGAACAACCTGGATAGAATGAGGGTAATTCTTTATGGTCAGGACGAGACACTCATGCTACTATGGGTGCATTCAAGCAACACTTTTTCACCCTAGAAACATGGTATTTTTTTTGCTTGAACGCACCCTATGATATCATCAAGAACAGCACCGATGCGGCATAAAGCCGAAGATTTTTTTCTTCTAAACTCAACTTTCTAGTAATAAACACTGTAATTTTGGCTGCATAACATATGCTCTGGCAACAAGTGCTCCATGGAAAATATGCCACAGTAGCGAGTTTCTCAACTCCATCTCTGACCAAACACTCTACCTAATCCCAATCCTTGCCCTTAAAGGTAAAGACCAGTTATGGTCATGCGATAGCATTGTGAAAGAAACGTTGTGGAATCGATCAGAAAAGGTTGATCATCTAGCATCTAGCATCTGCAAGGTTCTGGAATCTTCAAAATGATAAAAAATTTGGCCCATTCTTCGTAAAGTTACATGCACTATACACAGAAAGATGTATATGGGACTACCCTATATCTCTCACAGACCATGAGAGAAACAAATTTACCAAATATATGA